GAACAATAAAGCCTTATCCCTACGGGAGAACATCTATATTGCTATTGACTAACTTCCCCCCACTGAATCACATTTGATTCCAGCAGGCCACATGTCTGATTACAGGAGAGGGTAAGCAATAAACTGAAACCTGAAACTGGCTGGGTGTTCCCAGCATCTCTCCAGCCGCAGCCAGCTCCAGCCATGGCTTTCAATGGGAATTTCAGCCTCCAAGGACGACATACTGACTAAAACAGTCTCTTGAAATTTCACAAGTACGCTGGTCAAAATCAACCTTTCCCCTTATAAAGCCAAAATGCCAACCAACTCAAAAACAACAACAATCAAATCATAGGTGAGTGTACAGGAACACCAGCAATAAACTCATGCAAGTAGTCTTCAAAATGATTTCACTCACAGGTAAGAGAGGTCATCTCAAGTAACAGAGGTCATCACAAGTAAATCAATGCTGCAAAGCTGCAAAGGCACTCAAACATGTAAGGCAATGCCATAAGTATTCAAACTCAAAGACTCATGCTTGAGGTGAATTATGGGTCAACTCCAGAAGTAATAGCTCCCATCCTGTCTCTTGAAACATATCTCACAAGTAAAAAAATATCAGAACATAGATGCGTTAGCAACCATTACATGCAAATCATAGCAACATCTGGTGATTTTACAACAACCAAATATGCAAAAAATACAACAAAAATAGCCTAAAATTAAGCAAACAAAACAACATCCAAAAAATTAGGTCGATTAGTAAATTAATTTAGGTCGTAACATAAATTTGAATTCTTATTTAGGTGGAAAAAATAATTTAGTACATTTTTTACCTAAACAGCTCGAATTTACGTAAATTTAGCTCGACCTAAATTTACTAATTCCGGAGACTCAGGGTAAAGGCAACTCCAAAAACAAAGCGAGTGACACTACGATTGCTCAGCTTACACCCTAAAACTGTTACTTGGGTTGGACATTATAACTAAACAAAATGCATTGACAGCTCTCGTTTTGCCTACAACGTGTTGGATTGGTTGGAATGGTTTGGTATGATTTGGGGGAGCTGTCCAGAGACGGAGTAAAACACCCCAAAATGGTGGGGTTCTTTGACCAACGACTGGATTTCGGGGCATGGTAGCACACACTCAGCTGCGGCATTGTCCTCTTAGTCCACTTAGTCGACTTGGTGGCTCATCCCATTTACTATTTAGATTATATCCCTGTTTATAAGTGGGATAAGTAGGGTAAATCATGGCTAATCCACTGACAACTGGGGTTATAACCTTCTTACTAAGTGGGATGAACCACCAAGTACTTCCCTGTTTTTTTCGAGGCCTTCGGTCACGCTTTGAAACGATGCCTTAGTCGTCCACTGTGGGCGTCCGAAGAGACGTCGGGGAAATTTGGACCTGGAAACCATGCAAGACCCGATCGAACCTAAAAAGTATGCACAAATATATGTGCAATGTGGGGTCCCCAGTGATGTGTGTTGTTTTAAAAACCACATGAATAATCATAATCAATCATAACCCATAGTGACATTGGAGCTATGTTCACCAACAAATCGCAATTTCGTGGCCACGGGGCCCCACTTGGACTTTCGCAGCATGGAATGAGGTTCAGTGCCAAGATCCCGATATGGCTGGTACCCCGTGCTTCAGCTCACCAACTGCGTTCGTCCAAAAAGGGTTTTCATGTGGTTTGACCGTTTAACCGACCCCCATGTTTGATGGTTAAACCCACCAATTTTGGGACAATCCCCCACTTTGGAGATGTTTCCACGGCTAAAAACCATCTTAAAGCCCAAGAAATGTTGCAGAAAACCCTAGTATTTCAAGGTAACATCCCAATTTTTCATGGTAACATCAGGGTAAAATCCAGCAATTCTGATCAAAACCAAGTCTCTGCATCTGCATGGACGTCCAGCCCGGGCGGCGGCAGCTGACTGATGGGCTGCCCCTTGGGTGCCGGCGGCGGAGGGTTGTTCGTCTCGGGGCTGAGCCAGGGATTCGAGTCGCCTCAGACGATGCTGTGAGTGGGTCAACGACAAGAAAATGGGAGAATGGGGGATAGACATCATATATTCTCATTAATATAGTATAGAATAGTATGGTATGATCTAATTTAATAGTCCTATCATCTTACATCTAAAGACACTATAAGTCCAAAAAAGTTATCTTTGCTATATGATTGTTCATTAAGAAACATGCAATATATTCTTCTTAAATATTTATGTTATTAATGTAAAAGTGTTTAAATAACTGCAACATGCCGCTGATTTATTCAAGAAGAACTAGTGGGATATAACTGGATTAAATGGTATATACGGGTATATCTATACACTATCCTATTTGTATGTATCTGGACAAATAAATAAAAATATATATATATAAAGAGAGAAAGAGAGATAGCTTATGTGATTTTCCTGGCATGGCCTAAGATGCGGCTAAGAATTTAGAATCCAGGTCTTAAAACCTATTTTTGGTCTGAATTTCGTGGTGAACTGGTTAGCAATGGCAACCCATTCTTCTGGGAAAATCTGGATTCCAGGCATTACACTGCCTGATCTCGAAATGGGATGGTTGCCACGGCCCACGGCGAGCTAGAAGATCCCCTTGGAAAACTTCCAGCCACGGCAATGACTTTCGTTACGGGTATTTACATAGATCGTATGGGCTTGTCTCCACATGGGCTACCCCCAAAATCTACTGGTTAATCATATCTTTTTCATATGGTTCCTTTCTTGTCTGATGACACAACTGAACGTTTAAAACCCCTATAAGATGGGCAACAGCTTCTTGGGAGCACTCGCAAGTGCTCTGAAAGTCTCATCGCAACCTGGGAAATAATAGTGATTCGAAAAGGAAAATCATCTATAAATTAAGAGCTTCCATTGCCATGTTTGATTACCGGAGGGTAAAGAACCCCAGTTGGTACCATTCAGAACCTTTCGTTCGGCGCACTGATCTTCATGTCTCAAGTGTGTGAGACTCTGTTTTGGCAGCAAATGAGACACACATGTATATATATATATATACACTAACTGGTTGGTGGTTGACCTACCCCTCTGAAAAAAATACGAGTTCGTCAGATTGGATCATCATCCCTATTGGGGAAAATAAAAATTCATGTTCCAAACTACCATGAATCAGCTAACCAAAGTTTCCGATGACTTCGCCTCTTTCGCGCATTTCTCTGACTTGAACATGGTCAATCCTTGCTAGTCGACATACTGAAGTACGATTTCGCTGGTAATTAATTTAATGGTGATTTTCCATTTGTATCAAATATAGCAGAATCTACTGACTCAACGATTAAACATATTAAACTACCTATCCAGTTGGTTGCAGATGTGAACTGTCACCCCTAATGATAGATACTTTCACTTCAGGCAATAAACGATTTTATAAATATCTGATAAGTTGCTATTATCCTACTAATATTCTTTTTAAATCAAATATAGTTGAATATTATTCTAAACTATCGGAACATATCTGAAAATATTTGGAAATAAATTCAGTGCATTTTTTCAAGTATTTTTCCAAGGTGCTCAAAACTTACAGGATCCAAACGATGAGAGCAGAAAATGATTGCTGGCAAGGAACAGTTGTAAAAAAAGATCGTTCCTGCAAAGGATAGTTCCTGCAAAGGTGGTAATTTCTGCAAAGAATAGTTTAGGTTCAAGATATGTCCTCAAGAGGCATGTTATTTGTTTTTCTGCATTTCAGATTTCTTTGGAAGATGTCTTTACTTGAAACAATTTGATTTCTTAATTGTTTTCTTTGTATTTTTTATTTGGGAATGTATCAAATTAGGAGTGCCCCAAGCTCACTTTTTTTTAGTAAAAAAAAGAAGGGCTTGGGGCACTCAGTTATGGCATCCCTATTCTGAGACATGCCCATTTAATGTTGGAAAAATTCTGAATTTTCTGGGTTTTCTGAATTTTCTGATTTTTCTGTTCTTTTTTGAATTTTCTGTGTTTTCTGTGTTTTCTGAATTTTCTGTGTTTTCTGAATTTTCTGGGCTTTCTGAATTTTATGAATTTTCTGTGTTGTCTGAATCTTCTGAATTTTCTGGGCTTTATGAATTTCCTGGGTTTTCTGAATTTTCTGAACTGCTTTTCTTTTATTTAAATTAGAACTCTGAATTTTCCCAATTGTTTGAATTTTCTGTGTTTTCTGAATTTTCTTGTTTTTTTCTGAATTTTCTGTATTTTCTGTGTTTTCTGCATTTTCTGAATTGATTTAATTTAAATTAAAGTTATGATTCTTCTGAATTTCCTGGTTTTTCTGATTTTTTTTTGGGAATTTTCTGAATTTTCTGGGTTTCCTGAATTTTCTGATTTTCTTGGGTTTTCTGAATTTTCTGAATTTTCTAGTTTTTCTGTTTTTTCTGAATTTTCTGTTTTTTTCTCTGAATTTTCAGTTGTTTTTGCTTGTCTTTCTTTAAGTTTTAATTCCTTTTTAACCTATATCAATTTAATTTTCACTTCCAAAAATATATATATATAATACAATAGATATTTTTTATCTAAGAACCATTACAACTAAAACACTATATGAGTTATGATCCAGAGCTATCACCTCTATAGCTATCATCTCTTCTTGGCACGCTGCTTGAAGAAAAATCTAAAATAACCAAATATTTTCTGACAAGAAAATTTCTTGGGAAAGATATTTGCTGAACAGGATAATTCCTGAAAAGGATAATTCCTGAAAAGAATGGTTCCTGAACAGGATAGTATCCTGAAAAGAAAAAATATTTGCTAAGAAAAACTTACAAACCCAAAAAAAAGGTAAACCTGCAACCCCTTTTATCCACGAATTGATTTCTTAGATTCAATTGTTTTTGCAACATATATAAAAATAAAACTCCTTCGTATTATCAGTTCTAAGCCTTTGGAAGTATCAAAAACATAAGTTAAAATAAGTGTAAAATAAGTTAAAATAAGTGAAAATAAGTTCAAATAAGTTCTATGATACCTTCGAATAAGTACTAATATTTTCATTAAGTGCCTGAAGTGAAAATATCTATCATTAGGGGTGTCAGAAGTATTGGACACCTCGGCCACAAAAAGTTCGGCCCCAGTTGCAAACGTCATCGTCGTCATCCGGTGGAGGAGTGATTTGTCTTTGGAAGATCTCCTTGGCTGGTGAGTTTAGGGGATCGTTTCATCCCGATTTTGGATGATCTTTTAGAAGATCTTCATGGATGAAGCCACAAGGTGCACGTTCCCCAATGCTTTGTGGCACAAATGAAGAGTTTATGCACCTCACATCAAATCCAGCATGGTCAAAAATTTTGAAACACATATCTATACCAATGTTCTTCAATCATCATCCTTTAAGACCTAAGAAATCAGCCACACTTCAGGGCAACACTTTTTTGAGCTAGGTATAATTATCGGAGAACATGATCTTTCAGGGTAAATTTAATTTTTGTGGGTGGCACTTCTGGACTGATTCCCCCCACCTCATCGTCAGGCGGGGGAGTTGCGGCACGTGCAAAGGAGTCCAGAGCCATGCAGCGCTGTCTTTCCTGTGCACGTGGTGACAGCCATGACCCCTATATGAGTGGCGGACAAAATTATTGACATGGATTGACACGGCAAAAGTGGGTGGTCCCCAATCGGTTGTGAAGGTTTGTCGGTTACTCATATGTAGATGAGATGACCTCTTAAAAATGATGATGTTCAAGCGCTATGATAAATAACCAGAGAGTAGCTGAAAAAACAATGCAGCGGAGCCAGTATGCTTAAGGGAAATGGGTTGTATTTGGCTTCACAACCTTCACACACAAAGTAACAAAGGAACAAAGCCAATCAATTGGCCAGAGTGACAAGGGATGTGATTTATAGCCTGTGGACCCATTTCAGAGGGTTTCTGGGTTTGGAACCATACAAATATCTGACCCCCTATCATCCCGGCCTTATCACAGCCATTCAGCGCATAGCTTGGCACATTCCGCAGTGGCGACGGCGTGGCGCGGCTTGTGGTATTGGGTGGCACTGGCGGCGGCGGCGGCGAGATCTTCTCGATGGATGACTGAGGGAACCAGCCGTGATGATTTTCAGAGCCGGACCTCCGCTCCACATGGCGGGAGGAATGTGGATTTGCCATGATTTGCCAGAAAATTGGATATATCATTGGTCTATATATACCCCAATCCAGTTGGTTTATCATCATGTTTCTATCAAACTTGCGATGTTTGTGGGACACTGGACGCCAATATTGAATCATACGGGGACTGGCAAAAAAATTGGATGGCGCTTGGAAAAATCCGATGTCCTCATGTTTTCCCTGTCACGGCTAGGGCGACCCATGCAAGATGATGCCCTCCAGTTCAACTGGTTGGTTTATAGCATTTTATAGCCCCATCGAACTAGATGTATGATGATGTATGGAGGTTTCCAAAACTGGAGGATTACACCCAAATCATCCATTCAAATCAGATTTTCCGTAAAAAAAACATCCATTCTGCGTTATCTGAGGATACCTCCATCTTTTTTAACCTAAAACCCTACAGTTAGCCTAGTTTCAATCCAATTTTGGTTTGGGAAAAGCACAAAAGTGGGAAGTCTTTGGTGCTCTGAAAGGACTAACTGCAGCAAAACTGAAATCCAATAAACAATATCCGACAGGAAAGGGCACAATAGTTATCTCCAACATACCAAAAGATATCAATCAGAGCTTCTTGCCACGAAATCACGATGGGAATCGACAATCCGCCACTAAACCATGTACAAAGACCCAACACATTCCACGTCTCAGCCCCCAACCACGGTGCCAATTTCTCAATTCACGGCCCATCATCACTTTCGCACCCAAATTCTCTTCTTTGGGCGACATCATCCAAACTTTGGATCTTTTGGCGATTCAAATCACCCCGTTGACAGTCTCCTGTACCCAACATAGCCCAATTCACTGCAGCTTCGGGTTGATCATCCCACTTAGCATACGAATCAAGAAATCACCACAGCCCATCTCAAGCCGCAGCGCCCTTTGGCAGCGCCCTTTGGCAGCGCCAAGGTGCTTATATCCAAACAGCCAGCCCCCTTCATGACCATCACAGCCAATGTACTCTACGAAGACCACCTGGCCCTCCTTCAAGACCTGGACGCGAGCCATGGCTTGTTTTCAGAAAGTCATGGGTATACCGACCCTCCCTGCTCAAGTAGCCATATATCATATGAATGGTGTTTTACCCCATGATTAAAAAAATATACGTTATGTATGTTTTTAGAATTGTTTGGGAACTTGGAGGGACTACGTAAAGCAGTAAATAAAAACATCACCAATTTTACCAGAAATGGGTGGGATTGAAAAAAGCAGCCAAATTCGGAACACAACGTGATACAACGACACCGAATCATTTTGATCAAGCAGATCTTGACAGTCTTTACATAATCCTGTAAATACTTAGATGAGTGACTGAGTGGTAGATCTACAAACTCAAAATTGCTCTCATTCATGGCTCTCATTCATGGTGTCAACGCCCGCCAGGGGCCATGCGTGTTGATGTTTTTGGGGGTGTGGTGGTGGAGTGGGGCGGGGTGGGACGTTCATTTGCACTTCCACACAGTGTATGTCATTGTACGGTACTGTGCGTTCTCTTGCACTTTCACACATGCGACATGCTACGCTACTGTGCAAAAAAAAACATCACAGGCAACGTCCTCAACAAACTTGGCGAAATTTGTGGTTGAACAAGAAGGACCGGGATCAAGAAATGACAATTTCGTTGTGGTAAAATGCACGATTTTCCAATTTTGAGGTAACCTTTCCATAGAAAATGGGCCACACATTTGATGAAGGACAGTGAACATATGCAAATTGCCACAGTTTTGGACACTTGACAGATCATAATGCTCATAGTGTCACTCACCGATGTCATCACCGACACGGCCTCTTACAGACGTTGATACCTCATTCATTCATTCGCTGATTCCTTGGCCGAGCCACCAAATAGCCGTCATCTTCAGCATATTTATCAAAGGGTCTTGTCACATAGTGACACAAATTTTCCCCTGGCACATAGCCAGTCTCACCGCGGGCTGCGTGCATTAGGAAGAAGCCATTGCCACTTCAGTGATCCGTTTCTAACAACGGCACCGTCACTTCAAACTACTCCGAAGCCAGCAGCTTGAACCGCAATGGCTGGGGTGACAACTGCATGCACCAAGACGCTAGACCGACCTTCACTATCCTCAAAGGTCGAAAGTCTTGTCAGAACATGTTTAAGATACATGTTGCAGGATCTATAGTTCACGTATCCAGCCTCCACATATCTCCACATCCTTGCTTAAAGAAGCCTTTGTCAATGTCGTAAAGGAGGGGAAACTTTGAACAGCACGGAAAACTCATGGACAATTTCTTGATCAGTTCCCCATTCCTATCCAACAAACTAGCAGTGGCGGGAATTAGGTAAACCCAATAATAAGCATTAAAAAATATCCCAATCCCCTGAGACAAATCAACCTCAAATAAAGCACATGTGACACATTCTAGCAGATTAACATGTATAGATATGTGAACTCCTGAAAAAAGTAATACTTGATCTATAACTTGGTGATTCTAACCATTCGTACCCTTTGGCACTTTAGCATGGCTGGCTGGAAGAATCCAACTGTTTTCATGTGAAATGTGGAACAAGCTCTCTCAACGGTTGGTTTTCCATATCTTTCTGTTTCATTGACCATCATTGCAAAGGCATCGAAAATATGGAGTATATGTTGATAATATATATATATATATACATATATATATATATGTAAATATATTAAATTTTATTAAATTATGTATAATATTATATATATAATATTATATATAAATAAATAAATATATGTTCACATCTGTTCATGTTTGTTCATATATGTTCATTTATGATCATATCAATTAGTTGTCCATATCAATGAACTATGGAAGGTATCCTCAAAGAATACCCCCTTTAGGACACGAGGCGCCCACGTGAAGTCGCTGATGGCTTGAAGTTTGAGCTTCAAGCCTGGACCCTGAAGGTCCTGAGGTGAAATATTCTCGGGATTTCGGATGTGGAGAAAGGAAGGCTGTCGATGTGTTGTTTTTTAAATGAAAATGGTGGAAGAAACAGCATGAAACATGATGAAACATGGGAGAAATCACCATCAAAAACAGGGTTTTTATATATGTAACCATCACAAATAGTGTTCACTTAGCTGACTTAGCTCGGTTCTGCGTTCCTCATCCTTGAACATTGAAACTCCCAAACCACACAAGCAGCCCGTCCTTGATTGGTTACACATGCACTGGATACATCTGGATACGTTATACATCCCGTGTCTGCTCAATGATTGCTGGTAAACCCCCAACGTGGGTACCCAATTCTTCTTCGGTCATGTTCCCCTCTTACACCCAACCTTCTAAGTTGATGTTCGCCAGCCCCTCTCATCAAATGTTAGATAATGTTAGTCAATACCAAAGAATCACCAATCATTTTTTCTGGGTGATGCCAATTGTTGGAAAACAAGCATGTATGTGTTGAGCCACTTTGATCTTACAAGCATGAAGGCAATCACCATATGAAAAGCCACTTCGAATGTGGTTTAGCTAATTCAAAGCCATCCCTAGTAAGACGATTGGGATAGAACGCATGCCCAAATAGGAGGTTTATGGTATAATTTATACCTATAACTGATTTACACTATATGGGGTATCAATGAACCTTGCCAGGTACCATGACCCAACCACTTCGCCTGCATGCTGAGTTTGAAGGTCAAGACATCTCCAAATCGCCAAGGGCAGTCCTGGCCAACGATTAGCGACGAATCTCAACGTTCGCCAACTCCGGAAATCGAAGGTGTCAATGAAACAAAACTTCAAGAGGTGAATCATCTGCCAGACATGCTTGATTGCTCAACTGTATCAGGGTATCCCCACGTCATCCAATTTCTGTTGCTGACATCCCTTGTTTGTGGTAAATATATCCTTATGGGCAGGTGTCAAAGCATATTTTTGTATGTTTGCATATTTGCAATGTATAAATATATATATATATACACATTTTTTTTGATGCATGCCTCTATTCTTCTGGCAAAAAAAACTGACGGTTGGTTGAATCCGCGCTTTGCTGTAAAACATGCAAAACGATTCATTGTGAGTAGAACATGTTGAACGACAATTGTTGCCCGTTAAATCCTTTTTCGTTGTGGCAAATATATCCGTTTATCCTTATTGATTGTGGCAAGTATTATCCGTTTTTGGTTGGTTAAACCATATGTCAAAGCCAAACATTTGAACAAGCCAGAAAACAATTTTGGGGGGTTAAGTCGGTCTAACCATGCTTTAACCATGGTTAATCGGTATAGACCATATTTTGGAAACCACCCAACCCCCCCATGGTCTGCACCTTGGAGGCTGAAGCAGCACCTCAAAAAACGTCGCAACCGGGGAAACCGTTTGACCGTCCCGTGGTGCCGATGGTTGCGGCATCCACCAGTTGATGGATGGTAAACATCTCATGATTGGGTTGAAAAACCATTCTTTTGGTGGTGCGGGATTTCGCAAGCATCCGCAGTAGGAAAAACCATGGTTTTGGTGGTATTTGGAGGCTCCAGGAACATGTTGAACATCGCTCTGCCTGATTTTTTGAGGTCTAGACTCTAGACCCGCAAAAAGTACGGCCAAAATATGGTAAAAAGTACGAAACCATGAGTAAAACACAATTTTGATGGTACAAATGGAGGGTCTATCTGCCTGATTTATTTGAGTATAGTTCTGGATAGCTTGCAAAGGTTCTTTTCAGCAACGTAGATCGGCAAATAGAAAAACTGGGATAAATCTTGATAAATGATCATCTGATAAAAATTTCAACAACCTGCAAAATTGCATCTTGGGATACTTACCCTTACCAACCATGATTCACAATGACGTTCCGTTGTGAGCTCGTCATAACTTCTCCAGACCTGGGTAAAAATTAGGGTTCCAATGGAGCACAGGAATTGCAATGATTTGGTGTTTAACAATCTTTAACAATCCACTGCGGGATGATTACTTGATAGTTGTCTTAAACAACCTCCAACAGTCTTAAACATTTTTTTAACAATTTTAAACAATCCATTGTGGGATATCAGCCATTGGTGCATGGATCCCATGTCCCAATGCAGGGCACCTTCCTCATAATCACCCAGTTCGGTTTCCTGGGAGCCCTTGGGCTCCATGGGTTGGTTGTTGTGGTCATTTCACAGCTGTCCTTCTCCAACCGTTATGGAAATGCCGGGGTCTTTCTGCAAATGGCCCATAGAAATAGTTGATTTACCCATTCATAGCATGGTGATTTTCCATAGTTATGTTAATCATGCAAATATGAATGCAAATGCTCCCGGATTGATACATTCAACAAAATGTTTGCAAGATGAGATGTGGGTATGGCAGTCCCTTCGCCCCAAACACTTGGATGCAATAATCACACAATTGACTGCTGACCACTGCCACAGGCTGTGTATCTCTAGGATGATGACCCATACCCAGAATCAATGTAAGACATGCAAGAATCTAAGAAGGACACAGGTGCAAATTCAAAATATGTCACGGAGCAAGTGCAAAGAACATGGAATGTATTTGGGATCATTCATCTAGTGCCGGTGTTCACATCCCCAAGAGGAAATACAAGTTCGACGGTCACAACCGCAATTCCTGGATGATTTTGTTTGGTGATGTTTGTTTTTTCTAATTGATTGAAAATAGGGAAACCAAAAAAATGATGACTTATCATGGCTTATCATTGTTTTCCCCAATGGAATTGCCAGAAATCGCGGGGTTGACTCAGCATTTTCCCAATCACAAGACGTCCTTATGCACATCGCCCACACTGACCTCAGCGGGGAGGCGATCTGATGCCTTTTGCCGCATGGATTACCAGATACATGTCCAGCTGTAAGCAGGTGGGAAGCAACATGCCCGCCATTTTCTGGGCCAACCTGAAAAGGTATCTCAGAATTCTACAGAGTGGGTCCCCCCAAATATCTAAGTTTGTAACTCAAATCGCTATAGTTTGTGATACTTATATGTGTATATATATATATACATATTTACATTTATATTTATTTACTTATAATTAACTTATAACTATAGCTATATATAGCTATAATAGTTAATTTGTTTTTTCAAAACCAACTTACAACTCCAGGGCCGACGGGGGCCCCGCTCATCGGGGGCCCCGCTCTTCACCCAGACACAGATGAGACGTTCTTGGGATATGGGCTGTTCCCAATTGCATGTGCATACTACAAGCATATGAATTATTATGAATCAATATATATATATATATATTTATATATATATAAAAAAATATACATTCCTAGACCCTCCGTCTGTACCCTTTGTACCCTTAAAACGGTGGTTTACCATGTCCGTACTTGTTTACCATTTTTGGGGGTATAAGCGGAGGGCAAACAGTATAAACTTGGTACCCCCGGGATCAAAGTGACTGATCAATGAATTTCCGAGCATTTTATTTGGTTGAATGGTAGGATTTTCATGGATTTTCTCATCATTAATGGATTGTGAAAATCCCTCATATATCGCGGTTTCCTAAAGATAGGGGCACCCCAAACCATCCAAATATCCAAGTCATTCGACCATGACTTAAAATTGAAACTCAGATAACTCATGGTGATTGTTTTTGGTACCCCCCAGTCCCCCAGGAAACCTACGTATGGCTATGGATCAATACCTACAAATATGTTCTTTTTCGGAGAATGCACATCCATTTACCATCATTTACCAGCTATTTTGATGTGAACAGAAGGGGTACAAGCTTTTGACCCATCCCCTTATTGGATATCTATTGGATATATCTTTTGGACAGCCATAAAAACACCGAAGGAATCATCGGCACCTCCAAGGCGGGTCGTTGCTGTGAAAGCCAGCCTGGTTTTGAAAGCCTCGGCAGAAATAAAGCCAAGACCTTGAGACCCCGTTGAGATCAAGAAATGTGCTGGAAATTTCATGGTAACTCATGGGGAATTGGGATTTTACAGGGATTTAATAGGGATTCAATAGGGATTAATGGGAAGATTGAGGGCTCATGGGGAATGTAAGCATCATTCATAGTTAGCTAAATTGGTTTGGATCATCAAATTGCGGTTGCAGGGAAAGCTTTGAGAACACATCAGTTGCGTTTTTGTTTTGGCTCTAAAATGTACGGCGGGGTGCCGTGAATCTTATCTTTGACCTAGTTTTGGTAAAGATGTTTGCCACTTGGAGCATCCAACGATCCAATTCCTTGGGATACCACTGGACCCACCCAAGCTTTTATGTTAAGTCATCTAGTTGCTGCAGACCTTCGGGAGCCTGATGACATTCAAAGTTCATGCCGGCAGAGATGCACCAACAAAACGTACAACAATTTCTAATTGGAACAGGAGTATGATATGCCTTTAAAAGTCCTCAGACGCAGTTTTTGACCTCAAATCACCCCATCCCTCCTGGTCCATCCCGCAGCCAACTTCTTCTTTTTCCTATCCTTACAGGCTCTCCACTTCATCCAGCCCCCATCCAGCCCGCCGGCGGCCGCATGGGTGGCGGATACGGACTATGCGCCGGCGGATACGGTGCCCAGTGCGGCGGCGGCAGGTGCGGCGGCGGATGGTGCGGATCCCAGCCGGGGCCCGGCGGCGGCCGACCTCGCCAGGGGTCCTCCCGGGGCCGGTCGCGGTCCTCTCTGGGCTCGGACCGGGGCTCGCTCCGGCGGCGCTGCTTCCGCCGGCGCGGCGGCTTCCGGCGGCTGCGGTCGCTCCGGGACCGCGAACGTGGCTTGTAGCTCGGGGAACGCTTGCGACCTTTGGAGCCATGACAAATAAACATTGAATGCATTTATATAAGATCTTTCCAATGGATTCCCGAAAGGTTCTGTAATTACATGTAGCATATATCTAAAACTTATTAAAACTTGGAACATAACAAATCATCGACAAAATCCAAGCAACTGGGACTGCGATACCTCTCCTGGTGTGAATTGTTGGGTTTAGAGATGCTCTTCTGCACCTCAATGGCATCGGGGAGCTTGCCATTCTCCACGATATCATCCACAGCTCGCTTCACCAGCTCCTGTTGTTCCTGGGTGACCACATCACCATCACCCAGTTTGGGATTCACCACCAGATGCAGCCCTTCGGATTCTTTGGACCCGGGTGCACCAACACCACGCAGATGCAAACGACAGTTGGCCTTCTTCATGATGCCACGTACGTTGGAGGCGCCCGGACCCAGGATGGCCAAATAGGCGTTTCGCCGCCTGGCTTCCTCCGTCTCGCCCTCAAACCTGAAGTGTGACAATCCAGTCCCCTGAGAAATCCAAAGGGTCAAATTTGCAATGCAAATATGGGATGGTTATGTTTAATATTGTTTAATTATATAATGTTGAAAATAATAAAGAACAATGATGCCTAAAATAAACAAACTGTTGTTGTGTTTTTTGAATGTTCTTAATTAATGGGATTGAACAGAATGACCTATGCCCATATAAGTTTGTACGAGTATATCGTCGGATTGGTAGAAACCACCAAGCGTCAGCATTGATCAAAGCCAACATGGTGTGGAAAGATAGCTGAAGGGGCCAACCAAAAGAAGCAACAACAGAAAAATAAACTTGGACCCTCCATTTGTACCCATGATTCATGGTGGTTTTACCACCATCATTCTAATACTTTGATATACATATACTTTGACAATTTTTCTTGGGGTAGAAATGGAGGGTCAAGTTCCCGGCCGGCGCATGAAAAATATTCACAGACCCAGAGACTTGTCAATGGGGATAAAGACCCGAATGATCAAATCTTTCGGATCAATGGGCTTTGGCTCTTGTTTCTCTTCATCCCGCGGATGGCGAATCTCCCCTTGCGAGTGTGCGTAAGGGCAATCATCACCTGCCACGTAAAGGCATCCCAAAAAAAGGACATCAAGACTACTCCGGGTGTACCGGGACCCTCCAAAATAGCCCCCCCCCCCGAAAAAAACATGTAGAAGTACTAAAATAATCTAAAATCATCAAGAAACATTGGGATACATCATTTTTTGTGGCTACCTGGAGGGTCTAGGTAGACTGATTGGTGCTTTCATCCCCAGAACGTAGTCAATCTGCAGGATTACAATCCCCAAGTAGAGATGGAAGATAATAGTTGACACCATCCACCCAAGATTTCTTTAAACAGAAAATCTCCCGATCCAAATTTCAACTCACCATTGTTCAGCTCAAATTGGATGTGACCTCTTGGACATGTGAGATTCTTGTAGACCTCATAGCAGGGTCGCGTCTTGAAACGCTCAGGTGCCCGATGGAATTCATCCACCTCTGGTGTGGTGGGTGCATTCTCACCCCAACGCAGCCGCAACTTTCGACCTTTGATCTCTATACCTGAGCTGACTGGTCAGAGGTCATGTGCTAAACCCAATGCCATAAACCAAGTGGCAAAACATGAAGATTGGTTAGTTTGTTATTCGCACATTTACTATATATCACAAATCTTAGTGTTAAATTGTGATATAATATGATATAACAGTGATAAAAATCACCAAACCTAAAACGTGTGGCCATGAAATGGAATAGTTATCCCTACTGCTTCAAATGAGGTCATGTGGTAAAAGCCAATATATGGACTAGAAAAAAAAACTAGACAAATCTCCAATTCATCAGAAATAGGTGCCTTAAACATGTAATGGCAGAATCATAATAATTCACTAGCCTGAAACTAGTTGAAAAGGTTGGGCCATTTGGGCATGATTTAAAGTCATGTCAAACATAGTGGAGCCAAAATTATGCGGCATCTAGCCATGAGTGATATGACACAATAAGACAAATAAGAGTGCGTGGCTTCAGATTGTCAGTTGCTGGGATGAACATTTAAAAAACCGGATCTATGGCATCACAAGTTTGACGAGATTTTCTCTGTCCAGTGTATCCCCCAGAGTTTGATCCATCAATGTTTACCAAGCCTTTGGAATACAGCCTACTTTGGAAACTCAGACTTGAAAATCCCCGGGTATAATCTGGTTTGATGATCTCCTGCCACCTTGCCTCCTGACTTTTGCCTTTCAGACAGCTTGCAATTAGTTTGGAAAGTACACATGTGCGACAGGAAACGATTTTGCCAAGTTCAAAAAGAAAAACTATTACATCACCTTGCATCAACTTGCAATTGCAAGCTCAGAGTAAAATGACCGTAAACAACTCCATCCACCCCAAAAACCAAAGTTCACTAGTATACATGCCATAAAATGTCATGCCCATCCCATCCGTTTTCAATTGCTGTTACTGCCATCGAGGTGTTCTCTCCATTTTATGATTTTTCAGAAGTTCGCAAAACCTGCCACATGTTCTGAATGGCTATGATGGGATGATATTTCTTCAATGTATCTGGGTAAATTATCTGGTTGGTGGTATACCTACCCCTATGAAAAATATGAAAGTCAGTTGGGATGATGACATTCCCAATACGATAATGGAAACATTTTTTTAAAAAAATCCAAACCACCAACCAGTAATGATATTAGGAATTGATCATTGGGATTAACTATATGCATTTTCTGATCACAAGTGAATTATAATAATAACCTAATTCATAGTGATTAATATTAATTAATTGGGATTATAATAATATTAATTTTGTTATTATAATATTATTGTTGCCAACTGGGATTGATCATTCCCTCCAAGTCATTCCCGACTCGCTGCCATCCACTTTCTTGATCGCTTCCAGCGCGCCTGGGGCACCACAACTTGGCCCCCTCCCCCCAGGGATGTTTGTTGATGAAAAAATCAAAAAAACAGCTTAAGTCAGTATAGATATATCCACCGTAAACCATAGACAAGCTAGTTACAAAGCAATGGTTTTAGGATGTTCCCTCTATTGTAGCAAACACACAAAATGGGATAATAGCTGACCAACGGTTGCACATAGCCCGGCTTGCTTCCACAGGCAAATGGCCGAACAAATACTCAAATTGGAGAACACAGACATATGCTTCACCTGTGAGGTATTCATTTGTGTTGACATGTTTGGAAATGTTTCGGACACCTTTCAGAAATTGAGCATTCAACAAATCTAACAACACAATGTTATCAGCTACAACTTGAAAAGAAACCTTGCAGGAAGGTTCTAGGAAGAAATACCCACCGGGTTCGACACACACAAAAAGAACAGAAACGACGAAAAACAAATCCAAGTCATCTGTGGATCATCTATGTATGCATGCATATATATGATATAGTATAAAATAGTATAATAATATATAATATATAATATAGTATAGTCTGTCCTGCTTTTATGATAGTTGAAAAGGTGGTACTGTATATTTGCATCTTTGGACACCACGGTCACTCCACCAACATTCACTACTGGTCTGAATTGGGCATCCTTAGAACGCTCGCTAGCGGTAGTGAATTGGGTCCCCTTTAACACGCGCTACCGATAGTGAATTGGGAACTCTTAGAACGCTCGCTACCGATAGTGAATTGGGAACCCTTAGAACGCTCGCTGCCGGTAGTGAATTGGGAACCCTTAGAACGCTCGCTAGCGGTAGTGAATTAATGGGAACTCTTAGAACGCTCGCTAGCGGTAGTGAATTGGGAACCCTTAGAACGCTCGCTAGCGGTAGTGAATTGGGAACCCTTAGAACGCTCGCTACCGGTAGTGAATTGGGAACCCTTAGAACGCTCGCTACCGGTAGTGAATTGGGAACCCTTAGAACGCTCGCTACCGGTAGTGAATTGGGAACCCTTAGAACGCTCGCTACCGGTAGTGAGTGTTCTAAGGGTGCCACCGGAATCACCGACCCAAGGATCATCTTGTGTTTTCGCTGGGGTTGTACTGAGAAGAACGCAAGATTTAGGGTGGTCCAGCGACTCCAAAACTCCACAAGTGCAGTCGCTAACAGGGAGTGACGGTCGCTCCCTGTTCGAACGCTCGATTTAGGGTGGTCCAGCGACGCCAAAACTCCACAAGCGCAGTCGCTACTGGTAGCTTCATCTAGTGTGTGTGTTTTTTCTCACTGGCTGGGTCTCCACAAAAAGCGTTGACAAGGGAGTTCAAAAGACCTTCCAAAGCATTTCAATTTTCAACCATCCCATTCATTTAAACTCTGGGCTCCATTCATCTGGGGCAGTGTCCCACTATCATGCAACGAAAGGTAGTGTAATTTGTCTGCAGCTACTGGGGCTTTGTTTGTCTTCCTTTTTTGACAATCTTCAACTTGTGCTAATTCCATTGGGTGTTAGTTGGGCTTACCTCCCCTCTCCAGCAGTATCAACTATTCAACTAGTTTCCTGCAGAATGCTAGAGAGTGTCCTAGCTAGGGGTACCCCATTCACCTGTAGTGATCGTTTCAAGAATGCCTCGATTCGTACCAGTAGCGAATACTGGTGGGTGACCATTGTGTCCAACGATGCCTATACATTCAGTACCACCTTTTCAACTATCATAAAAACAGGTCAGTAATATACTATAATGTAGTATAATATAGTTCTGCTTGGTTTGCCAATCTACATGTCTTGCCCTGGTGATGATTTGGCAAACATGCAGTACACATCAAGCTCGACGCGCTCAACGCGCTCAACGCCACGCTAGTATGTACATAAGATTACTGTAAACAAGCACATAATCATATTAATATATATATATATACCCTCTGGTAAACTAACATAACTATGGAAAATCACCATTTTTAATGGCACAACTCACTGTAAATGGCCATGTTCAATAGCTTTTTGTATGTTTACCAAAGGGTGTATATATATATATTATTACCGTATTGCTCAAAGTTATCCAAAGAACAAGGGGTATACATATCCCCAATCAAAGATGGCAATGAAGACCCTTTTCCCAGAACTACACAAGGGGTCCCACTGTGATTTCTGAAATTGACATCTTTAAGGGGTCCCACTGCGGGACCCCTTATTCCCAAAGTCATGCCAACTGTTAAAAGACATGTCCTGACCATGATTATATATAGGTATTCTATGGCAATCTCATCTGATCATGATGATATGGTATTCTATGTCTCACCTGCCCGGGTAGCGTTGCCGACATAGCCCCCCGCATATCAACATTTAGTCATGATATAGCTAAGGGATGCTAAGGGATCATGTGCATATATTCACATGAAACATTAAGGGGAGCCAGCCACAATAAATAAGAGATCATCTATAACGGTTGGCAAAAATCGATAGGGTTAGCCAGCCAAAACCAGTTCTTCATCCGACGTGGCAGAAACCAGACCGACTAGGATGTTGGTCTGAAAAAGCCTTTCTGGACCCACAAAATTGATCGATCTCTTTTTTTGACCAAACCCCACAAAACTACGACTCTGCGCGCCTCCCAAACTTGGTGGATATTCCCGACACTTTTTAAGGGGTCCCTTAGTGGGACCCCTTAGCCTAAGGGGTCCTACTACGGCACCCCTTAGGAACCACCCGCGACACGCCACTGACACGTTTGACACACCCTGTTTTTCGGATTTGGACAGATTTGGGTTACCTGGGTTCTTGCCCAAGTTTCTATAGTCCTAGACTTTTAGGAGATGATGTTTGGAATGTTCACGGACTTTCCAATCAGGGTTGCAGGCTCATGGTTTGGAAATCATTCTGGACACTGTTTCCTTGGTAAATCACGTTTTCCAAAAGATTGCCCCAGCTGTTCTTTCTCCAATCTCCCATGCCATAAGATCACCCAGAGACAATGTGTCAGCTGCTTCAGCTATGTGGGCTAGCTATCATGTTGGTGGCTATGCTCACATACTTTGTTGGTAGCTATATCAAGCGTGTGAACCTGGGACCTCAGTGATCAAAGATGCAAAGGCATGGTCAAGAATCCCCCGAAAACAGCTCTAAACCACCTAAAAAAATAAGGGGTCCCAGTATGATTTATGGTTAAGGGGTCCCATAGCGGGACCCTTTTGGCACTGCTGGTTAGATTTTTATGTGTTTTTCCCATAATAATAATCTTAAACAGACAATTTATAGAAAAATCCAGCATTTATAGATGTTATATAGATGTTTTTATTCCATTAATTAATATAATTATATATATATAATAAAAACAATAATAATAATAAAAATAATTATAATAATAATAATAACTAATAATAACTAATAATAACTAATAATAATAATAATAATAATAATAATAATATATATAGAGAGAGAGAGAAGATGTTCTGGGTATTTCACACACCTTCTTTGGGGTGCCGTGCGGTGCCTTCAGGCGTCTTGAACTCTGCGAAGCCGAAGCCCCGGCTGACGCCATCTTTTTGGATAGACAGGCGCCAGGAAACCATGCCTTCGATCTCTCCAAAGAGATCTTTCACCTGGAAACCAGTTGGGACTTAAAGCCAGAAATACCACTTTATAAGTCAGACATCCATAGATATGCCCTCAATTATGGAATGATAACCCATAATAACCCCATTTATGATCATTTATAACCGGTAAAGGGCTTTAACTGTGGGACTTAAGGCAGAGACTGGCTAAGATGATTCAACTGTGGACTGTGGGAAAATAATGGAAGATGGCCAAAAAGAATTGAGTACAAACTTTGCAAAAATGACTAAAGGACCGTGGCAAAGACCATCTTTCCCCCAGCCTCCTCCTCAGTTGTGTCAAAGGAGATGTTCCCTACGAAGACGGGCCAAACATCCTTCCGCCTGGGTGGATCCTTCCTCCTCTCCATGGGTTTGTCAGGGCCTGGTGGCCTCACCAACACCAGCGGTGGCAGGTGCCCCAAGCCCGGCAACAAGCCCGGCAGCGGCGGCAGCCCCGGCATGCCCGGGGGCAGCGTTCCGGGCAAGCCGGGCAGTCCGCCAGGAACCCCGGGTATCCCTGGGGGCAGCAGCAAAGGTAGGCCAGGCATCCCAGGTGGCATCCCTGGTAGGGTGCCAGCTGGCAACCCGGGAGGTGGCGGCAATGGCAATCCCAAGTTGGGTCCTGGACCTGTCATCCCAGGTGGTGGTGGCAGGGTACCTGGCATCACCGGAGCTGCCACAGGGGCTTTGGGGACCCCAGGGACCTGCGCCACCGGTGCCACATCTAAGGGGGGCGGGGCGGGGATGGGCGCATCCGCCATGGCCCACTCCCCCAGCTGAGGGGGGTGGGCACAGTTGAACCAAATGTCTGCGACACGATTTGCCAAATGTGCAACCGGCAAGCTTGAGGATTGGTGGCAACACAACACGTCCAAGCACCCTTCTTACCTGCAGGCAAGATCATTATTCCGAAAGTCCGAAAGTCTGAGATGAGCATGTCACTGCAAATAGAAACTGCAAAATCCCACACCTTTTATTCTGCCGCGAACACTGAATGCATGACAGCTGTGAACAGTAAAACCAAGAGTAGACATTGGAAATTGGCATGTCCCACCTTTTGTTGAATAATTCTGCATATCAAAGACACCATGAATCAGTAGATTTAGATTGCACTCACTTCTGCTCTTCGGATCTCATCTCAACACGCTAGATCAACAGCTGAAACTGCCTGAACTCTAAGTAAGTATAGAATGGTATAGAAACGACGTGAAATGATCCATACTGATCCATACTGATCCATACAGTATATCTACTCTGATGTGAATCCACAGGCTCTGACCCATGCTGAGGAACGTTGAAAGATCACCACCTGCCCTTGTGGCTTACCATTTCAACATTTGGTACCAACTCCTGGCAGGCAAACTCTGCTAGTCCCTCATGGAAATCCCATAGAATCCCATCATCGGCCCCAGCAAACCTCCCAGCAAACCTCCCGGCCGGCCCGGGTGCCCCTACCCAGGTGCAGAAGCGGCCACCACGCGGACTGAGAGCCTGATGCCGAAAAAAGAAAAAAAGGCCAGAAACCTGGGATTTGGTGGGGACATAGGTGACAGATTTGGGGACAAACCCAAACATATATTACCATCTGGTTATTTAACATAGCCATGGAAAGATCCACCATGTTTAATAAGTAAACCATCTATAAATTGGCCATTTTCCATGGCTATGTTAAATAACCAGAGGGTATCATATGGACAAAAATAGAAAACAAAACACAGTGGGATCCCCTCTTGCTGATCCGCCGTTTAGACTTGGGATATGTGAACAATGGTGAACAGACGCAAGCCAAATAGATATTTCACTAACCTGAATAGTTCTGCCATAAAAGGGGATGATTTCCCTTAACTATGATTTCCAGGGCTCGGTCGCAGTGAGGTCGTTATAATTTACCCAAATAGAATGTAGTTGGACATTCCAATACAAACCTACTGTGGATGGGATATCCAGCAGTAACCCACAGATCTCAGAAGCCTCGGGGCCAGCAGCGAGAAAGTGCTGCACAACAGAGGGTCCAAGCTACATCCATCAGGAATTAAGAGTTCATCCAACCCAGTAATGTGGGTAAAACAATGTCATTTTGACCACCCATGACTGGGAATGGTAGCCATACCACCTATAAAGATGGTGATGACTGGGGGGATGGTGCGTTTATGGCATTGTTTTACCCACTTTATTTTGGAAATCATCAAAAACTTCACATTCTTTGGGTCAACACCGGGGGAGATGGATGGACATCACCATCACCCAAAGGAAAATGTAACATAATGGAACAGATGTTTGTAGGGATGTAACATGATGTAACATTGTAACAGATGTTTGTTGCTAACATTGTTCACTAATGGAAAATCGGAGGCAACAAACATCTGTTACAATGCGACCATCACCAGCCTGTCCACCCCTCGTGGCTGTTATCCATAGCTCCCAGCGCCGTCGGCGCCTAAAACTGCTGGTCTCATTGCTCCGCTTGAACCTTTCGAAAACCAGTGCCGCGTCAGCTGAACCAGCTCCATGAACACAAACGGGGACTTACCAATCTGCAAATCCCACACCTATGATCTATGGATAGATCTATGGATATCTATGGCCCAAAAGGCTATTGAACAACCAGCAGTTCCAAATCTTTCAGCGCCTGGGGAGTTTGATCTCGTCCCAGGTTTGCCTCGAGCCCAAGGGAATGTGAACCCTGCGGCACCGCCAGGATTTTTGGGTGATGTTTTTTTGATGGGGTTATCTATATCTTCTCTATATGGGGATGGGTCAAAACCCTGTACCCCTGGTGAACCCCAAAATAGCTGGGATTTATGGATGTTCATCCCACTAAAAATGGTATCTATAGGTATTGACCCATACCCATATGTTGTTCTCTGACCCATTTCAGACCCCTCTCTGTAATTTCTTGGATGGATGTTCTCTGTCATCGACCTGGGATCTTCTCTTATTGTTCGACGCTTTCTTACCTTGTGATGTGATCCTTCCTTTGGGGCCCAGCTAGAATGTAAGATACTTGCAAAGGATGTACATTAAATAACTGGCAGATAGAATATTCACATTTTCATTGATTTCAAAATACCACATAGAATAGGGAAAAAATCATATGCAAGTTGATACAATGCTAGCGTGTTTTCATGTTGACATTGAAAACCATCTGCAACCACCTTTTTCTGAAACCATCCATGGAGGCCCTTTTTGAGCTGGTCACGCTATGTTCACAGCCGGAACAACCAGCCACCAACAGCATTTTCCCTGACTTCCTGGCTCCCAAAATCATGGTCATGGCCCATGGCAAGCGGAGATCACGAATCAAGCACCAGAAAGTGATGTTTAGTGATGTTTAGTGCCAAAGAATGAACATACATGAAATTTAAGTGATTCACCCAAGTATATCAATGTATATCAGCCATCTTCATGGTTGAATCCCGCTAAATCCCCCATCACCGCCTATTCTATCTCTGAGTCTCCTTTCCATTTCTATGTGCTTCCTACCATGACTATGTGACTATCTCTCCATTCATCCACGCCACGCCTCATCAACAAACCTCCACCAAACGCTGCCGCCAAGTTCAACATGGTCCTGGGAAACGCAGTTGCGTCATAGATTTCGCTGGGTGATCTCTATGTTGGTATATTGTTGGTATCTTGGTCTCTAGCCACAAACTATGGCTAGTCATATTGCTATTTCTGCCATTCTGTTCGTAGAAAACCATCGAAAACCCATGGAAAACCGGATCCCATCGTCGTAGCGAACTTCCTCCAATCCATCCCATGACATGTTGCATTCATTTGCATTCTGTTGAGGACAAATCGAAAACAGCCAGGGTTGGTATACTTGTTGAATTTTTATCATGAAGAATCTAGCTAGATCCTCCAAATACCACCCAATCTACCAAAGTTATGGGTAAAACATGTGTTTTTTCTAGGATCCCCCTTGGAATTTGGGGGGTTGGGTTGGGGGAGCCAAAACGTAGAGGCACCCAACCCCAAACTCCCTACAAAATGGTTTTTAAATGTTTTTGTTGATGAAAAACATTTAAAAACCATTGTGTAGCAATTATTTTACAAACCATTTTGTAGAAAAAACTGCAGATATCTTCAGATTTCCAGGAATTTTATAAACCATTCTGTAAGGCTCAATCATTTTTGAATCAATGAGGTAGCATTTTCCAAAAAAACTAGAAACCATTTTGTAGATGTACTCGTTGTTTTTAGAAAAGAACCAAAACCATTTTGTAAAGGCAACCCCAACCTCTGGCCAAATCCCCCAAAAAAATATAAAACCATTTAGTAGTATTCCTTGAAAAAAATCAGGTGTTTTTCATTTTTCTGAAAAAACATCAAAACCAGTTTGTAAAGTTGTTCAGCACATAAACCCATCTGTGAAAGGTTCCCCCAAAAAAAACAAAACCATTTTGTAAAACCAAACCTATTTGTGAACTATGGATTGACATTTTTCAAAAAAATGTAAACCATTTTGTAGGTTTGTTCGTTGTTTTCAGCAAAAAACTACAAAACCATTCTGTACGGCTAAATCATGCTAAATATATATATATATATAAATCTGTGTCTATCTGTATGTAAAAGATTGTAAAAGATTGTAAAAATAGATTCCAGATGATTCCAGAATCATCATGAATCATCCAGAATCCCCTTCCCACCACTATCATCCACTATCATCATCTATCATCCAGTATCATCCACTATCCACCGCTCCCATCTCCATGCATCACCATGCATCACCAATATTCACCAATCATATCCATTCATATCCAATCATCACCATACATCACCAGGCACGAAACCATATGAATCTGGCGTTTCTTTTTTTTTACCCCTGTGGCTGCGGCACTTTGTCGTTCCATTGCTGCATAGCTACACATAGCCAAACTACCGGCAGCAAACCTCTGCACTGATTGGCTGCACCCAACTGTCTCACATTTCACAAAACAATATAAAACAATGCAAAACAATCCCACTTGGAATTCGGGGGGTTGGGTTGGGGGAGCCAAAACGTAGAGGCACCCAAACCCACCCCACTACAGAATGGTTGAAGGCTCCCTACAAAATGGTTTTTAAATGTTTTTTTGATGAAAAACATTTAAAAACCATTGTGTAGCAATTATTTTACAAACCATTTTGTAGAAAAAACTGCAGATATCTTCAGATTTCCAGGAATTTTATAAACCATTCTGTAAGGCTCAATCATTTTTGAATCAATGAGGTAGCATTTTCCAAAAAAACTAGAAACCATTTTGTAGATGTACTCGTTGTTTTTTGAAAAGTACCAAAGCCATTTTGTAAAGCCAAACCCAATCTCTGGCCAAATCCAAAAATATTTTAGAAAACCATTTAGTAGTATTGATTGAAAAGCAAAAGTTTTTCATTTTTCTGAAAAACAAAACAATTTTGTAAAGTTGTTCGGCACATAAACCCATCTGTGAAAAGTTCCCCCCCAAAAAAAACAAAGCCATTTTGTAAAACCAAACCTATTTGTGAACTATGGGTTGGCATTTTTTAAAAAAAAACTATAAACCATTTTGTAGGTTTGTTCGTTGTTTTCAGCAAAAAACTACAAAACCATTCTGTAAGGCTAAATCATGCTAAATCTATATATATATATAAATCTGCGTCTATCTGTATGTAAAAGATTGTAAAAGATTGTAAAAGTAGATTCCAGGTGATTCCAGAATCATCATGAATCATCCAGAATCCCCCTCCCACCATCTCCCACCACTATCCACCGCTCCCTCACCATGTTTTTTTTACCCTTGTGGCTGCGGCACTTTGTCGTTCCATTCCTGAATAGCTACGCATAGCCAAACTACCGGCAGCAAGCCTCTGCACTGGCTGCACCCAACTATCTCACATCTCACGAAACAATAAAAACAATACAAAACATTCTTCATAATCTTCATCATTCATCACAAAGTCACTACAGATTGGTTCTGTAATTTTCTTGGAAATCAGCACTTATCACAAATGAAAACACAAAGTCACTACAAATTGGTTTTTCAGTTTTCTTAGAAACCAGCACCGAACCACCGACAAAGTCTACAGTTTGGTTGATAATTTTCTTGGCCAAAACTGAATGGGCACTTTTTAAAAACCAAGTCACTACAGATTGGTTCTGTAATTTTCTTGGAAATGAGCACTGAGCACTGAAAATGACTACAGATTGGTTTTGTAATTTTCTTGGAAATCAACATTTGGCACTTTGAGAACACAAAGTCACTACAGATTGGTTTTTTAATTTTCTTGGAACCCAGCCTCAACTGGCCGATAATGTCTACAGTTTGGTTTATAATTTTCTTGGCCAAAATTGAATGGGCACGTTTAAAAAAAAAATCACTACAGTTTGGTTTGTCAATTTTTTTGGGCACTACAAAATGGTTTCACCCAACCCTTCCAAAAAAGCTAAAAAAAAGACCTATATCATTTTGGTTCCGTTTCACCCCCCCCATTTCGTAGAGGAAATTCCAAGGGGGATTTTCTAGGCGCAAACGCAGGGTCAAACGGTACCGGTACTGATACGAGGGAAGCAGCGCCACAGCCATCGTCAAGGTGCCAAGAAACGTTCGACCGGTGGCGCGAGACACAGACGAGACCCGTTGTCCAATGACGAGTGGAGGATGCTATGCTTGGTTTGGGGTACCGGTATCATGAATATGGGTTGATTATGGTTGATTGGTCCATAAATCAAAGGTCTTGCTGTCTGCTGATGTAAGCGCTCTTGATACATTGTATGCCCATGTGAACGAACAGTACATGTCTAGTCTACTGAATGTGCTGGGAGCTACAAGTAGTTGATATGTTCGTGAATCTGCGGGGAACACCTTGACATTTCAGCATTTGTTGTCATTGTTCCTCGTTTTGTGTTCTGCTTGCATGACCTGAATATGTATCCACTGTTGGATGGATTCCCATTCAGTTCAATAGGTCATGGAATATCCGCTATTTGATCAAACTATTTCATGGATTCCCAGGTGAAGAATTTGATCATAAATTGCTGCAGCATGAAACATCACTCTACGGTCTTCGAAGACACACATTGATCAATCCCGCAAACAGTTTCCCAGTCTTGCCTCCTCCCTGCTTGTGCAAGGCAGAACTACACTAATTATTATTGCGTGGCTGTAATTTGGATGCAAGTATCTATGTAACCTCTGGTAAACCAACATAGCTATTGAAAATTGCCATTTGTAGTTGATTTACCCATTAAAATTGTGATTTTCCATAGTTATGTTAGTTTACCAGAGGGTATTGTTGGACTAATCACAAAAAATATGACCACAACGTTTAGCAAAGTTGATCTTCAGTGGTTCAAAAAGGCATTGTGATCATGCTTCCCTCCATTTCGAGCAAACAGATACATCTCTGAAAGCTCCCCAAAATCCATCAAAGAGCCATCAAAGTCCATCAGAATCCATCAAAGTCCATTAAAATCCATTAAAATCCATTAAAAACTTCATCAAGTTACCCTCTGGTAAACTCACATAGCTATTGAAAATGGCCATAGAAATAGTGGATTTACCCATTAATAGCATGGTGATTTTCCATAGTTATGGGTACATCAAAATTCATCAACATCCATTCCCCAAACCTCCCAAGACATCCCGCAAAGCTGCCTTACGCCTGTCCACTGCCACAAAACACCTCACGATCGAAGTTTTGGGCCGAAGAATGGGCCATGACACCATGAATTTGCTTCGAAGAGTACAACCAAAACTGTTGGACATATACCTCTCAATTAGCAAAACCTCAATTAGAATATGCAAAAAAGATACTACTATAAAATCCTAGAAATGATGATCCTCTATATTTTCATATGCATTAGATATTTCATAGTCTCCAGTAAATGAACACAACTCGACCCTGCCAAATAACTGGAAGAAACTCGTTTCCACCAAGCTCGTCCACCACAGGGGGGCCCCGGCGAGCGATCCACACGAGCCACCTTCAACAGACTAGGGCGCCTCAGCTCGAAAATCGTCGAAGTGATGAAGCCTTGATATTTTGCTGGTGAAATACGATGATCTGTGTTCACTACTACTATATCATGTATATATATATAGTATACATGAATGAATATATATATATATATTAAGATTGCTAATCATGGCAAGATATGAAAAGAACGTACAACAATCAAGATCCGTCGTAGTCCCCATCAAATTGCTTGGCAGAATGCTTGAATAATCTCAATGCTGCCATCAAGCAATACGGGGTCAACTGCGGAATTGCGACGTTGCTCAAAACGATTTCCTTCCGAAGCAAAGTTCAAAGATGCGAGAAAGCAATGAGAGTGGTTCAAAACAATCGTATGATCAGTTGAAACCGACTCATGCTTCTTTTCAGGGTTCCAAATGGGACTCCACAATAGTCAATAGTTGATGGTGGTTGAAGGGAACAAATCCTTGGCTAAATAATTGTCCAGTATATGAAGTATATGTAGTGTATCTTATTTTGCCACCCTAGTTTCACAGAGCTAGTTTCCAGGGATTTATCCTGCAGGAACCTTCACAGTTGATGATGGAACATAACTAAAATATACCAAAATCACAACAAAATGAATTTGTTGAAAAAAAACTGAAATCAATCATCAATGTATACAGATGTGATTCTACTATTGTTTGAAGTCCCCATAGTTGATGTGGAAAGCCGAGGGCTTCCTTTCCGTCCAGTTGCGAATGCACTTGTTCGAGCCCTCTCATCGGGTACCTGCTAGGCTTCATAGCTATGAACTATCCATTGGCTGCAAGAGTCTCCCATGTTTTTTGTTTCCCTGTATCAAACAGATCCAGAAATCAACCTACCCAGAAATCAAACATCAAACAACGGTCACAATCCCAACAGACTTCCCACTCAGCGCACACGTAGAAACAGGACCTTGCCCGGCAAAGAGGCGAAGCGAGCTTTCACCAGTTGTTTTTTGCAGCCGAAAACATAAGAAATGTCTGAAGGTACAGTCAATACTGGATTGGCACATCTTAGTTTCTTAGATATTTTCATATATCATCATATATCATATCTAATATAAAATTAACATGACATATACCCACCCCACAAAAAAAAAAACGTTTCAGCGGAGTATGATATGTTTCCCCCTAAAGAAAATATCAAAACAGCAAGCCATGTTGACCTATCCTTCATCAGAAGGTTTATCCACTGATGCAGATTCTCTTCCAATGTGTGTCATGATGGCTAGCTCCCCATTTCAGTGATTCTTAAGGCCCCATTTCTTGGTTGCTAAACCCAACTCTTACTCAGATATCCCAAATTGTTGTTGGTCATATCTTCTAGATTCCTTGCGTCACATCCCATATTTTGGTTGGTATGGCTCAAAAATGTTCACAACCACTTTGTGGTGTCGTTCAGAAACAAAAATGACTAGCGATCTGTAAGTCCATTGGCACCCCAATTGAGCTATAAGACAGGCGATATATCCCACATGTTTCCTGGATTACCTTGACTTTTCACGATGATCTTCCATGTTTTCCACACAACTGTTCTCAATGTTTGATAGTTACCCTCTGGTAAACGTTTACATAACTATGGAAAATCACCATGCTATTAATGGGAAAACTCACTATTTCTATGGCCATTTTCAATAGCAAACTGTGACAAATTACCAGAGGGTAGATTTCTCCGGATATAAAGTACCCTCAGAATCCATCATCCCCACTGATATCGCCATGGTGCTTCGCCAGAAAAAACCGCCTTTTTTCACCCAAAAATCAGGGCTCCAAACATCCAAAAACGGGATAAATTGGGTAAATGTAGAGGCAAAACCACTAATTGACCTCCCTTGTGGTTGTCATTTATACTGTAGCCGTTTATAGCTTGGAGCTTGCTTTAAAGGACCATTAAACCACTTAGGAAAACCCATGAATACTATAGTTATATGTACGTATCATAAACCATCAAAAAACCATCATAATTATTATTAGAGTGATGTTCACCAACTTAGCTATCATTTTTTCCCATGAAATCTCATAAAATCCCATAAAACCCCCATCATTTGCTGGTGAAATCGCCATTTTCCAAGGGGTTTCTATGGTCAACGGGTGACCCCCACGGTGGTCGAAAAAACCACCCAGGATCGAAATGCGCTTCCAACGATTCCGACCAAGATACCCGTGCACCGTGTCACCGGGCGTCTCGAGGAGCAAGGGCAAATGCTTCCGCGACTGGCTGAAAAACAATGGAAGATTTGGGGAATTAGTGAGATTTAATGGGATTTAATAGGGTTTAGTGACTAGTTTGGTGGGATTTAGTGAGATTTAATGGAATTTATATATCCACAAAGTGTTTGGATTCCCACTGGATGACAATAACTAATAACCTAAAAAAAAACATGGAACTTCACAACTTGACCAAGGCGCATATCTGGAACACCATGAATGTAGCTTGTCCAAACCGGAAACCATGGCGACTCGTACGTTTAGCCTAGAGAAATTATGGATTTCAGCTGCATTTTTTTTTCAGCTGCTGGATCTGAATCTCATTTTACTCGTGGTCCATCCATACTTTTCATGGCAACACATCTTGAGTCGCAGCCATTTACTCAAGATACATCGAGGTGAACACAATGAACCTGGGCCGGGTTTAGCCCAGCACTCCCATCCCCAGTCATGTATGGTTTCCAAATATGCAGCCTCATCTCCAGTCATCCCGTTCCTCATTCCCATGGTTTCTAAGGGGGTGTTTCATATACCCTCTGGCTATTTAACATAGCCATGGAAAATAGCCCATTTATAGATGGTTTACCTATTAAAAATGGTGATTTTCCATGCCTATGTTAAATAACCAGATGGTAAACAGGGAAAGGGATTATTAACCAATACAATTAGAAATACGAACTACTACCTATTATATCCATCATATTTTGTACACATCCCATGAATTTCATATGTTAATGTGGTGAACCCAAGGATAAACAATCCCATTGACCAACTATGACTGGGGTATAAGCAATTTTACAAACCTCTATTGGGGTTGGTAGATGGCACTGGGTTTACCACATTAAGTATTAACAAGAATTAACTATAGCATTTACCAACTACAAACTATTGTATCCCACTATGCCCACTTCATATGCCATTACACGCTACTTATCTAAAAAACTGTTATAATATATTATAATCTTCCCAATTGAATGAATAGGTTCATACCATACCCTTCTTAAGTCGTCGTCCCCAAAAAACGATGATAGACACCCCATGTCACGTCGTCGGCGTCATCGGAAGGCCGCACCATCAGCGTGCCGAAGCCGTCGTGGATGCGGAAGAAGGCTGCGATGCCTCGTTGGAGAATGGTTGCCCTGGGGGTCAAAGGATAAAATATGAAGGCTTCCATAAATGTGGGTATCCCAAACTGGATGGTTTATAGTGGAAAATCCTACTAAAATGGTTTATCAAATTTATATTGTATTTTATCCCCAGGGTTACCCATTAATGGTTATTCGTAATCTTATAATAACGGATATTCCCCATTAATTAATATACTGGTAATGCCTGAGGCGATGATTTAAATCTATTGTGATGTATCAGAAAGGATTATCATATGGATTCTTGCCATTTGTTACCCTGAGGTTAAGAATGATGGGATAGGAATGTGGAAAAAAAATGATAGGATTATCCATTGATTCTCCATCATCCCATTACATCCCATTACTATAGGTAAGATAGGATATTTCATTATATCATGGGTCATTAAATGTCCCCATTGAACATCACCCAACCATTAGGTATATGGTCTATAATGGCTACTATAAGGTGATGTCCAATATTCCCAAAATGGGACAGTTACCAACCCCTGTATATGGTACTACAATCGGATGATGGGATAGGAATGTGGATAAACAATGATAGTATTATCCATCATCCCAAAAACTATAGTTTTCCCTGGAATGGAAATCATAGGATAGGAATGTGGGATAGTAATCGCGGTGATTTTTTTCCGTGAGAATATTAAAATGGGATTATTGGATAGTTTGCTTGGAGAATACGGACAATGACGGGATAACCATGGGATAAAACACACGATATTTATAGCAATGATTTCGATGGCAATGGAAAATCCCACATTTAGTTCGATGATTTTCCCATTGAAACCTCCATGTTTTGTTCGGGGATTCCCAGTGCTGGCAGCATTCCCCATAGCTGGAAAAGCGAAAATCGCTTTTCAAACCCAGGAAGTGGAAATTGATGGGGATAAAATGGAATATCTATTGAAATATTAAAATAAAACCAATAATATTGAATTTCATGACATAGGCAAAAACATGGCTATCTAAACACATTTGGGAATCAAAAAATGTTGATGATATCACCATCTTAGGAGAAGTTGGGAATATTTACTGTATGCCGCAAGGGTATGTACAAAAAATAGGGGATTCACCAAAAAACAAAACATTAGGGATTCAACCATTAGAATAAGACCAACCATGTTCAACCCATTTTCGGGTTAAAAAAAGATAGTTCTCGTTGATGATGTCTTTAATAATGATCAAAATATGGTGGTTCCGGGAAAATGTGGATAGAAATGGGTGACTCACTACAAAGAACAGGGGATATTCATACATGTTATGGCCAACATAATATAATAATGGGTAGTTGATGGAGATAGAAGAGGGTACTGTATGTGATTGTAAACGCAACTTGAAATGGTGTGTGTGTCCAAGACACGGGGACACTCACCATGTCGTAGCCAGCTGATGATCAACATGATGTGGTGTATTGAAAATCATCGGCAATCAATGACGACGATCTACAATTTCTTGTTGTTCATACAACTATCTACATATCTACAATTCTCGGATTCGCAGAAAAGGAATCCAATGTAAAAAGCAGATCTTCCTATAGAATTCCCAGTCGTAGTGGATTTCCAAATTGGGCAAATCCAGGTTTTTGAGCCAGCGACAGGGCAATGGATTCTCTTCATGCTCCTTGGCTTGGCAAACATGGAACGTTGCGTTGGTCGGATGGTAAACTCTGTCAAGAGCTACCAAGTTTCACGGTGAAACTTGGCATAAGTTCTCCGCAATTCCTCATCATTCCTCTAACTTTTGTATTGTTTGTTTGTGTTTCCTTTTAGGTCCGCAATCACTCTTAACCACACCGTTGCCAAAACGGAAAAAAAATATCGATCCCCAACGTTAGATGTTTGAGTCAGCCTCGAGCTGACGAAACATCTTTGCATCCGTGCCTGCTGCTTCAATAAACCCAGAATGTTCACGCTTGATTGCTTACCATCTGGTAAACGTTTACAGTTTGCGAACTATAAATGGCCATTTGGAATAGGTACAGTAAATGAACTGTTCATGAGCCATTTTCAATAGCGAACTGTTAGTCGTTACCAGAGGCTACCCTTCATGGCTCCCATGGTATCCTACATTGCAACCCCAAATGGCCATCAACGGCAAGTTCCCTATTGAAGTGGCCACTTAGGGGTATCCACCATGTTCATGGATCCCCATATATTTATGTACGTAAAATATAGATAGATAGATAGATAGATAGATAGAAAGAAAGATAGATAGATAGATAGCTAGCTAGATAGATAGATTGATTGATTGATTGATAGACTGATAGATAGATAGATAGATAGATAGATATAGATAGATAGATATGTATTTAATTTATTTATGTATTGCCACCTTTGATGGCTAACCCCCTATTAAAAGACCTCAACGTGCAGACCGGGCAGATCTGGGCGTTCCGGGCCGACACCTTCATCGCTGTGGCCTGCGGAGGTTGACTTTTTAGAAACGCATGGAAGACCTCGTAAGTTGAACTTCAAGAAGTATATCAGTACCCATAGGATCCATGGTGCTGGTATATATGCTAGCATTTGGGGTATATTGATGGTAAATGTTACCATATATAGCATACATGGATCCTATGGGATATATTAAAATATTTTTTTATCATACACATAGAAAAATGTTGTATAATCAGATAGATATTATATGGGTCACGGTGAATATTTGTATATAGCTCCAAGTCATCAATTTTTCAGGAGTGTATTATCATTTTTCAGGTTTTGGGAATATAGCAAATATTGTGTTTTTTGAAGAGTGCATTATCGTTTCCCAAGCCACAGCTCTATTTCCAAAAATAAAGATGTCTCGAATACTACTTTCCGTTACGCTAAATTTTAGCTGTAGCTCGTATAATATATATATATATATATAAGTAACTCTATGTATCATTTAATTAAATTTAGATATACTATGACTATGATATACGTACTATGTCAACACCCATAGGATCCATGGTGCTGGTATATATGCTAACATAAAGGGGGTATATTGATGGGATCCATGTTACCATATATAGCAGCACCATGGATCCTATGTCAACAGATTCTTGGTATTCAACCCGCCTGGCCGCGGCGGCGCAAGCCCACCACTTCCTCTTCCAACTCCAGTCCAACCTCTGGCGCTGAATCAACGGATCCGTGCTGAAACTGGTTGGGGATCTAAGTTGATGTCCATTGGGAATATTTAAGGGATATAGTTTTTCTTTTATACTGGGACTATTACTTGGAATATGTTTTTGGGATATAATAACATTTGGTATATAATATATTACTGGTGGCTTTTCGTCACCCCTCTGAAAAATGATGGAGTTCGTCAATGGGGTTGGGATGACATCCCATATACTATGGAAAATAAAAGCCATGTTCCAAACCACCAATCAGATTACTATAATTAGATCTAATTAAGATCTATTGAGACTAATTATAATCATACAATGTGGGGCACCCTAGATAGCTAAGTTGGTTTATAACTCCAATAACTATTGTTGATGATGCATAGAATTATAGTTACTGGGGCTTATAAACCAACTTATAACTGGGAGGCCCCACATTGTAATCCCTCAGATTTCTGTGGCTACATTGCGTTTTTTTTGTGTATCTCCTTGCGGCCCCTATCCAATACCTGGCCTATCCAATCCTTCACAGAACTTTAGGACGGAATCCCTTCCCCCCGAAAAATGTTGTAAAGGAACTGGGATGTGTAGGGAAATTTGGGGAAAATACTGAGATATACTAGTCAGTAGTTAGGAATGCGAATAGTGAAGAATAATCCCTGCCCACATTCATATTAAACACCCCGCAGAAACCACGGTTTGGTAGGGGATTGACACGTATTTCAGACCATACCATAGAGTTGTTGAACATTCAGGGGATGTCATTAGCTATAATCGACCACCAGTTGGTGTTTACGTAGTGTGCAGGAGCGATGTCGACTCCACGTCATTGGATACGACAGCATAGAACATGTGATACAACTGGCTTGACCCATCCAAAACATGTTGATGCATCATGCCATAGAGATTTGCAAAGCAAAAAAGAAACAAAACACCATTATATATATATGATATATAATATTATATATAGTTGAGGTATATACTGTAGTTCAGTGTGTGTGTGTGTTTATATATACAATATGTATGCAAATATGCAAACAAAGCAAGCCCCCCCAAAAAAATAGAGCATGTGAAAGCTGGAAACCATCCAGATCCCACTGAAGGAATCTCTCCTGGGCCCCCCCGCAGATTGCTCGGAAGGAGCACCACCAAAGAGCTCGGCGCCAGAGATCAAGGTGTAGATGATGCAAAAGTGTGTCTGGCGGCACTGCGACATCCAAATGAGACCCAGATGTCTGCGGCCCTGTTAGGAAAATCATTGGGTACCCTGTGGTAAACTAACATAACTATGGAAAATCACCATTTTAAATGGGTAAATCCACTATTTCTATGGCCATTTTCAATAGTTTCTTGTTTGTTTACCAGAGGGTAAACCAACAACAAAACCTGAGAAGCCCCAAAATGCTGTAGGTCATACCATTGAACATTGAGCTGCCCTACCTTTTTTTCAACCGCTGAAAGTTTGGAACTGGCTGCCCTACCTGACAAAAAAAACAATCACCATGACATCCAAGAAGAATTGGCGGATCTCATCCAAATGGAGGTCTAGTGAAAAATGGGGGGTACCCCATTTTTCATCTATGCTCATAGGATTTTCCATCCAAAAACCATCCAGCTATTGGGTTACCCCCATTTGTCACCCTCCAACTCATCCATCATGTCCGTGCCTGTTTCCAGGCACCACACTTCACCAGTGCCACATTGATGTGCCGCACCGATTGCAACAAAGCCGCGAAACCCACTTGCAAGTCTTTCGGCACAGGCTTCTTCCATATACCTGGACGCAGAAACCAGGCACAAAGGGATCAATCGGTCAATCCCAGGGACTTGGACTTGGTATTGACATGTTGTTGAAGTGAAGAAACAAGGGGCCCCAAATCACTTTCGAGGCTACAAGCTGCCAAACATCTGCTTGACTTCAACAAATATGGCCTGATGAAATATCCGTTGAAACACCTGGGTTCCCCTCTTAATCAGAGATCAAGACAATATGTTACTTCTTCCATATCGCTTTACAATGAGTCCATATATGCTGTGGTGGCATGGACCCAAATTTAGGAAGAATGCAGAATGAGAAAGTCATTGAGCAAACATCGCAAAAAAAAATGCTATAAATGGCTAGACTACCAGTCTTTACTATAGCAACATACTGTTTGCATCACCTCCTCCACCTCATTGCTCTTGCACCGAGATGTTCTCCCATCTTTGTGTGAAAGTCACATGGGCGTTGAAAGCAGGCTATCCCCAAAAATCCTGCTTGATCATCACTTGCAGCATCATTTACTGGAAAAATATGGGCTCTAACTGACTCTAATGTCCATTATTCCTCGTGATTCCTCGTTATTTCTTGTTATTCATGGCTCCTGATGGCTGAATCCCACATGTGGGATGCTTGTCCCCCCATTTGGCTTCAGCCTAGCCCGGTCAATGGGTCGATGGCACAGTTCAAGACATCTTCGATGCTTTCGCAGCCCTCGAAGTTCCAAGGACACATGGAATAGGCAGCATTGGCCTGACGAGGTGAACCCATGACGGATCCATGGTGCTGCTATATATGGTGTGCCATGGATCCCATCAACAAAAAACCCAGTCATGTTAGCATTAATATACAAGAAAACCATGGATCCGTCATGGGTAATGGGAAATGCCTTCTGATTTTGTGGGGAGATATCATGGAAATATCGGGATATAGTGTGGATTCTATGGATTCATATCCATGGATTTTTAACACGAAGTAGTATAGGACCTATAGGATATTCCAGGATATTTCTATTCTAGTTTTACTATATTGGGATATATTGAAGATGATTTTTAACCAGACATATTTAGGATATTATGGGGATATCAAAATGGGATTTCTACCCACGGCCCCACGATCCCCACGGCCTCCTTCCAGTCAGCCACCTCGATGCTTGGAACCCAAGGCTCCTTTCGCGATCCGTTTCCGAAGCGTTTTTTCTCTGCAAATATCTGTGCCATGCCAATGATATTAGTGGTAGTTTCATATGGTCCCATATTTTACATATATATATATTGTTCGGTATTATTAAATATGGTTTTATATAGTTTGAAATTTGATGTAGTTTAGTTTGGTTTTATCTGGATAGGGAGAATATTTTGGGATAATCATGGGCCAATCATAGGATATTAATGGATTGAAAAATGGTATCCCATGGAATGATGTTCCTGGCAGGATATCCCCCAACATGATCCAAGCCAATGAATTCTTTGGCAACCAAAACTCGTTTCCGGAGAAGATCTCAACTGAGGAATGCGGGATTGATACCGCGGTAAACGTACCAAAAGAATCCAAAAGATGTGGAAAACCCAATGGAAACAAAAAAAACTTCGGACAAGCTACATTCATGTTGGCTTTTCTATACATCTTCTACGTTTGCAGGAGTGCATCCCATTCTGAATGTCTGCTTCAAAAACGTCGGTCAAGTTACGTCGGATTTGCTTATTGTCATCCCATAGTGGGAATCCTTATTTGGGTGTGTCTGAAAATAGTGTACCCCTAAACCCAATGGTTTTGCTGATCATTATCCCTATTAAATGGCTATAATTGGGAATATACCCTATTTTCAGACAAACCCATTTGGTGATGACCATCCCCTTTGATGGCTATATTTTGTTCTTGACCACACGTAACGACGTATGGTTTTTGTATTGTTGTCATATGTTGTCATTCTTTATGCCTTTGTTGTGGTTGTTTGATTTGTTTGATGTGCAAGGCTTTCGTCCTTTTTGTTGGAGGGTCGGTCCGAGGGGGCCTTGAGAGTCTGTTGCAAGCAGTGGATTTTGAACAGCTCTGGCAGTTTTTTGACAAGACCCCATACCCTCTGGTAATTTAACATAACTATGCAAAATCACCATTTATAGTGGATTCCCCCATGAACAATTGTGATGTTCCATAGTTTTTTGCTAACGTTTACCAGAGGGTACAAACTGTGAAGGTGGAAGGTTTGTCAATGATGCGATCAAACATTCTGGAGATGTGAAAAAAATTCGACGCTGGCTTCATTTTCTTGCAAGGCACCGGAAAAAAAAGCTCAAGGAACTCGAGGAATTCGATGATTCATCCCCTCTATACATGTCTTTTCTACCTTAGATCCATCTACTGGATACTTGACAAACACATGAAAGAGATTTTTCACAAGTATCAGAATACATGATCTCACCCAAGTATAGGGGCCTGTTCAGCAAAATCGTGGCTTTTCTCAGACGTTTCACTCTGTGTCCCTTTCTGCCGGTTTCTCCTCATTGAGGGGCACCTTGTCCGGCTCATCCTGGATACACAAAACACTGTGACTCACCAATGAACCCAACATTAAATGACCCAGCCAGATCCCTTCAGGGCAAGCACCCTTAAAAAACCCATGGATTTTGTGCAGTGCGTAGCCATGGACGCCATGGACACCAAAAGCCCTGTGCCTCCAACTTGTATTTCCTCTTGTTGTCGCCAAAGATGACCTCGACACGAAAAAACATCAACAACATCAACTCACTAGGTACTCCAAAGTCATCCTTAAAATCAACAACTTCAAGAAGAAAACAAAAGATTAGTACTGTTGTTGATTAAAAATACTTGATTTAGTATTTTGGACAATTAGTATTTTGGAAAATCACCAGATACTGGAAGTCATTTTTCCAAAATCTACTCTTGTTTAGTACTGTATAACCGCATGTAACCGCTACTACCAGTATACCATGAAGAAAACCAGTTGAACAAATGCGGTTATATATACCGTACTAAAAAAGAGAGTCATCGGATCAGGATGCGTCAGGAAATTGGCTTCGCGGCTTCACACAGATTTGCCCATCGCAAAGAGATACGACAGGAACAACCCGAAACCAACACGGTGACCATAGCGAGAAATCTTGGGCCTTGGACACTCGTAGGGCATGTTTCTTCAGTTGTCATCCCCATGGTTTCACTGGAAAAACACGGTTGCCATTTCTGAAAAGGGATGATGAAGCATAACTTCATGGCATGGTGGATCTTTCCATGGCGAAGTGTAACAAATAAGCAGATGGTAATTAACACTTAACACATAACATGGCCGTTTAGAATGGTCTGGGTAAATTATAATATTTCACTAACCTGAAATGTTGGGCCATAAAAGGGGATGATTCCTCTTACTAACCATGATTTCCAGTGAGGGAGAACAGTGAGGTCGTTATAATTTACCCAGATTAATATAGTCAACCATCATCAAGCCCTTTCCAGTCAGCGCTCACTGGGACCCCTGGGGACCCTGGGGACCCTGGGGACCCCGGGGACCCAGCAAACAGCACCACGGCCAGAAAACCCACAAGGGTAGTAGCCACATACCTTGGCCGAGGATCTAACGATCAGAATCCCCCCTGAGACGAGATCGCTAAGCGACCTCCCAGGTGCGAAACATAGAGTTGCTCATTTTCCGATGATCACCAGGTTTTTTTTGGATGGGAATTTCATGGAGGGGTTGGCTTCATGAACTTGGTGTCACATCTCAGTTTCGGACACCAACATGCTGTGAAACAACAGCCTGCAAGGCGATGGGGAAGAAATGGCAGTGCATCCTATTTCGCCTGAAAACAGGCTCAGTAATGAGTGGCAGTATCAAAAACGAATACAGCCCCTGTTTCGGTTGTTTTGACAGGAAGATCAACATCTGGATGTCTCTGATAATAGGGTATACAGATGTATACAGTATACCCCTAAATAGTTATATAATGTCCTATACATAGTATACCCCTAAATAGCTATATATAATCTTATATACATTTCAATAGGAACATGATTCCATGGATGATCCTTTGGATTTAGGGCCACAATGGGCCACTCCCTCGGGCATCGGGATCCTCAAGACACAAGCGCGTCTTTTCACGGGCTCATGGGCTCGATTTTAGGATCTTCCGTGGCTGTCTCTGTCTCTCTTTGGGGCATCTTTTTGTTTGGGAAAACCCGAAAAACATCAAGCCCTGAGAGGTTTGAATGAGAGGTTTCAATGAGTTTGAATGTGAACCTTCTGAAGTTCATTTATCTTTGCAGTGCTATTTCTTTCCTCAACCCTATACAGCATTTTTGGTGCTTTGGATCAGTCAAACGTGGGTTGGCTGCATGTTGGGAGTCACATCATGTGACCCAAAACTGCAATCTGCAAGGTGCTGATGCTGGCATTGCTTTGTTTCAAATGGTGGCAAGATGTTGCAAGGAAAAATGAATTTCCTTGAGCACAAAAAGCAAACGGCTGAATTTGCTCTACACATGCGTGAGTGACTGTACTATCTATGATTACTATGAGTGACAGTTTACATCAGTTTACCCGTTGTCCATTGGCTTAGCAAAAAGGAATTTATATCAAAGCCATCAGCAAAATCAGCAATCCAATCATAACTGCCAAAGATTCAATATATTTCAATATTCAACATTCGCATTGGATTTTGGCATTGGATTTAAACCAATAATGCTTATATGTTGATTGGATTTGCATAATCAAACATAATCATGCAACATCACTACTGTCTATTGCAGCACGATTCGCCAACCCCTCCCAGCAGCGAGTTCCGAGTTCCAAAGCAATCACAATTGAAAAGAGGTCTCATTTTTCGTCTGGTGGTTGAGACAGGTTGATAGCAATACATAGCAATACAACAAGAAACATCCCATGAGAATGATTTAGGAACATCACATAGATGGTTGAAGGGACATGAGACATAATTTTCGCAGACCTTGTAGACCCCAACCATCACAACACATGCTGCCACTTGTTCCAATCATGTTGACATCACGTGGTCAACGAGCAAGTAGTATCATAAAACAATCATCATCAAATCATAACCCATAGGATCCATGTATGCTATATATGGTAACATTTACCATCAATATACCCCCTTTATGTTAGCATATATACCAGCACCATGGATCCTATGGGTAATCAGATCACATTCTAATTCGGGGTCGATTCTATACAATGATTGTCACTTTTTTGTTGCCGCAAGAACTTGGTCCATGTTTTCCCCTGCGAAAAAGGCAGCAATGGCATCGGCAGGGATCAGAAGCCTGTGCTGTTGGTGCTGTTGGGCCGGCACGAACCTCCGTTTGTATCCAGAAAAATGGTCCAAAAAAAAACATATTTAAGTTGCACCGTCAGGTCAGTCTCTTTTTGTATGACTTACTGTATATGAGTTATATATACATATATATATATATATATCAATTCTACAATGGAAATGAGCTTAGTTGATGGTAGTGCAATGTATATACTTATTGTTAGTTACTCTTCAACTGAACACCGGCAAGAACGAAGCATGCTTGAAGGGACGAAATGTTGGACCTTGATTTCCAGTGGGGAAAACAATGCCAGCTTTACCACCCAGGGAATGGTATGTTTATATCACCTATAAAAATGGTAATGACTGGGTGATGGTTGATTATTCTTGTTTTACCCACATTTCTGCACTAGAAATACAAACAAAAAAAAACGCCCAGTGTCCTCAATGTCATTTTCTTAGGTGACAAGAGGGCCTAGGGAATCACTGCACTCCTCGGAAAAACCTGCAATGAACCGCCATTCTGAAATTCAGTGATTTTCTTGTATCGATCCTTGCACTCCCAAAGCCAATGATTTCCCTCCTCTTATCAATGAAAATCTTCGTTGTGGGTCTTGTATCGAGCAAAATCGAATTGCTGGCTCTAAAACATGATATATGAGGATCCTAAATTAAAACCCAACACTTCTGCCTTGTAATTGGATGTAACTGGCACATTTCCCCTATTGAACCGCGTTACTGCTCGACATGTTGATCGGGTCAATGTACCCAAATGACTATTTTAGGAGGGAGAATCTACGATGGAATGAACACTTATAATATACTTTGTCAATTTGCGGTCGGAATGTAGTGGTCAGTGTTACTCTGTATTTACAGGTGCTTGCTATCCAATGTTCTAATACTTGTACATGAATATGTTCATTTGACCACTACTTTGTGGCTTTGTCTGAAATATGAATCATGATGAACAATGGAGGGCGTCATCACTTCAAACAATCCATTGCCATTTGGGGGTATAGCCGATTGTTTATCATGGATTATCATCACATCTCCCTTGAAAAAATCATGGATTATCATCACTTTTCCATCAACAAAAACTAGATCTTAGATGTTCATCACTTTTCCATAAAAACATGGAGTTGATCACTACTTTTCCGTCAACAAAATGCTATGTTTTAGTGAGTTACTTCTAGGCCCTTGGCTACGGCTTTAAATATCCACCGGAGCTCGCCTGCCAGGATTTCGAGGCATTGTCCTGGGTCGGAATTTTGGACGCCGGAGATGCTGTGACCCTCCACGTCTTCATAGAAGTTGGCGTTTAAATTTTAATCCCATGAAGTTAATACTAATTGTTCCCATAGGATCCATGGTGCTGGTATATATGCTAACATAAAGGGGGTATATTGATGGGATCCATGTTACCATATATAGCAGCACCATGGATCCTATGGGATAGTTAATAATACTAATAATGCTATTATAGTTAATCACCCTATCAATTGATATTAACAGAGATATACCATATATATATATTATATATATACCGCTTGACCATCTGTTTGTGTCTTGTCCCAAAATAACCATATACCATGTTTTTGAGGAGTATAAATAACGGTATAGTAATAGCAACCCCAAGTCATGGATATAAAAGTGGGAAACCTGGAATATATGTGGAAAACATATGTTACGATCCGGGAAACACCTGTTCTATTTTTTGGGGGTTGCTATAATGTATGATAATTTCATGTAATGTCAAGGACGCATGAACTTTGGTTGATTGATTAGAGATGAATTTGAGATATGTTGATTGGTACTGTTGAAATGTATGGTATATAATGTCAACCACTAACCAAGCCCGGATGATGATGATGATGAAGAAGAAAATGAAGAACATGAAGAAAATGAAGAAAATGAAGAAAATGATAAAATGATGAGTTGAACTTACCTTTGACAAATTTCCCAACTTTCGAAGTGCTAACCTGGGCCTGGTACAAAATTAAACCCCCTGGGCAAGGCGATGGTTCAAAATGCTGATGCTTCTCAAATCAGTAGATGTTCCAAAAAATAGGTTATAATAGTATGTATGTATAATAGTATCAACATATTGTCGTTGTATGGTATGTTGTTGTTATAAACATGGTTCTTAATGAGTCAGTGAGTATTGAGTACAACTCCCGGTAAAACAACCCAACACTTATTCTGTTCTTGGCTCCTAAATCCGTCGAGCTTCCCAATGTCATGCAGTGGCAGTAGTTCTTTGAGCTCTGGGAGCACGGCGTCATGATCGCTGCCATGACCACGGCCAACCACCAGACATAAGGGCCTCGCCAGCCTCGCCCTGACGGTGGGAGGGCAATCAACGATCTTGGCCAGGGCCACAGGAACCCCTGGTTCCACATCCCAATATAAAAAATCTGTTAGGGTGTTTTCTGCTGACTTTTCCCTCAAAGCAAGATGTGAAAATTGGAAATTTCCTGAGTGATACATCATCTATAGCATCCAACATGGTTTCTCTCTCCCTTTCTTTTTCTGACGGGGACCCTAGCAGCCTGTCGCGACGAAGCAAGGCATAACTACTCGCCACATAGGCAACTTCCAGGCTGAAGCCGTGTAGATCCAACTCCCACCTGTGGCACTGAGCATGGGCTGCTTCATGGCAAATCCTGCAACATAGAAATGGAACAGTAATTATACCAATGCACTCACCAAATATATATATATATATATTGTATATACACTTATATTTATACGTATATACGTAATATTATATATATATGCGTCAATAGTTTGTGTGGAAAAAACAAGGTGAACTTGGGAACAAACATTGAAAAAAACTCAATTCACTTCCAGTGGGTCAGATCATAGAGATAAGATCTTCAGAATCAAGAGCCATTCAGCCACAAAATTCAACGCCTCACGTGTTCAAGAAAGCACCCACTGATACATCCAAGCGGCTCAGATATCCAAGGTTGCACCCAACCCTCTTCCTGGCTGAATATATCGATCTACTGTAACACATGCTACGGACTCCCACTTTGTAAGCAGCCATGCGCCGTGCATGGAAAACACATGATATTCAAGTCCGTCATAGATCGTCACTGGTTGGTGGCATACCTACCCCTCTGAAAAATATGAGTTCGTCAGTTGGGCTTATGACATTCCCTATATGTATATATATACACATATATATATATATATGGAAAGTCAAAAAAAATCCATGGTTCCAGTCACCACCAACCAGGTCATAGATGGTCAGGGCGTCCAAAAAAAAGTCGTCAACTGCTGCAAAGTCCTCCAAGGTCCCATAGAGTTGTAAGGCTCTTTCCACTTGGTTCACCCTCAGCAGCAATCGGATGCACCCCAAATGCAGCGCCACATCTGCCCCAGGCTGCCACCTGGTAGACATGACCATAAGTCATGGGGCATCTGAGGATCAACGTTGCATTTCCTGAACAGTCACAGTTGGGGCAACATGTCCCACAGATTGCCCAATTTCATGCGGTGAATATGTATTTTTTTCTGTATATATTCATAGACTGACCTCTTTCATTGACTCATTCCTCACATGGCCGGGTTCTCCTTACAAATCATACACCAGCCACCCCAACTAAGATAAGCGAGATGCACAACCTGTCAGCAACCCCATGAAAAAAGTGCAGACGTAGCACAGAAGTTGCACCGCTTTCTGCCAGTGGTTAGCATCTTCCAAAGCATCCAGTATTGTCAGCCGCAGCAGGGCGTTGGGTTGACGTTCTGCCAGGGCGGCTGAACGAATTTTTGGGATCTGCACGGCAACACAAAAGCCGTGCAAATTCTCAGCTTGTCAACCTCCAAAACCTCCAAATACCCACCAAAATGGTAAACATGGTAAAGATGATGGGGCAAAACACCATGTTTATTGGAACGGAGGGTCAAATTGGGTCAAACGGAACCTCCAAAAGCTCAACATAACTAGAGGATTTAGCTCGATGATTAATGATTTTGGCATGTTCACCCCAGGTCCCAGTGGCCTCGCTGTGACTGAAAATGCGAATCAGCCACATAGGATTTGGGGGGAATGCCACACATGTTTAGACAAAATACAGTAATACAATATAATACTATTATATATATATATGTATAGAACATATATGTCTACTAACATCCTTTGTGTGGCAACATTTATGGAAAGCCTCCCAAATCCAATGGGGTTTAGTACAGGTAGTATCAGGTAGTAGCATCATGTTCATTTTCCTTTGAGGTATGCCGGTATGTCCCAGGTTCATCGATACTTCACGCCAAGCAAGGCCTCCTTCCAGGGTCTCATAGAGACACAGTGCGCGTTGCCATTGCTTCTGTGCGCTGCAAGCAGTCAGAGCTGACATGAAACCTGGAAGCAACCCCTGAAAAGGTTGCAGAAAAAAACAGGAAAAAACAGGTTCCACAGGTTCCACTCATCATCAATGGAACATGTTCGGACACCACTATAATCAATCCTGGGAAACTTTTAGGACACTTTGTTGGGACTTCTGCAGAAGCCAAGGGACTGAAATCGGTGGGCGGAAATAGGTGCCTCCACTGTGGAGGACATGAAAACCTATGTGGGTCACTCTGGCAATATGCTTGACTCATGTTGAGTCAATACGACACCAAAACGATTGAATTCGAAGTAACCAAAACAAAAGACACAAAGGACTTATTTCCAACATCTAGATGTCTGTGATGTTTGAAATAAGTCCAGTTGACAACAAGAACTTCTTTTGGAACCTTTTTGGTTGCTGAACATCCCCACTTTGTGGGACCATTGAACACTGGGGCATGGCTGGACATGTTCGCAATTTGACTTAGTAAGACCAGTTTGGGTTTTGATCATCCCATGATCTTTCCATCAGAAAATTCCATGGATATTTCCAGGAGATTTGGATGTTTCCCGTCATTAACTCCATATAACTCCCATGATATCCCCAGTGAAGTCACTAAGTCACCATTACCCTCCAGTAAATTTTCACATAGACCCTGCCAAATAGGCTGGGGTGGGAATTAGTTTCCACTAAAAATTGGTTATCTTCAGGGTCCATGTTAATTTACTGGATGGAAAAAACATGGATCATGGGGCCATGCCACTTCTGCATCTGTTGAAGCAAACTCAGTACCTGGCGAAGACGCTCAACAGGGCCAGACAACGCTTGAGCCGTGGGGATTACTGAGCTGAGCTCCCCGTTGACTACAAAGATACACAAAGTGGGGCCCCCAAACGACAGCAGTCGATAGCTAAGTTGGTTTATAACTCCAATAAGTATGTTTTACGATACTTATACGTAACTATAGATAATATATACTTAACGGGACTCATAAATCAACAATAAAAGCCGGGGGTGTGGCACATTGAAGGAATATTCACCCATATGAATAATTCATATTTCTTCATATGCGTCCTTTTGATCATCCGCTAATCAGACATGGCTTGCTGGACCATTCCCGAACGATTCCTTCGGAGATTCTCGCTGAGAAAACCATCGAAGGAAAAGGATTTGCCATGGATCAATGGATTGCCGGACGGTTTTTTTCCATACAACCACCCAAGGTTTCATGATTTGGGTATGGGTCAATACCTATAGATACCATTTTTAGTCGGATGAACATCCATTTACCAGCTATTTTGGGGTTCACCAGGGTACCAGGGTTTTGACCCATCCCCATGTGGAAGGATTTCTTTTAGGAAAGCAATGTGGGTTACACAGCCAGGAGTTTTCTGGAAAAACCCAGGGGAAAGCCATGAGTCGTCCCTGCCCACCACAAGAAATGCCAACCACTAACCTATAAATAACATGTCCTTCAACCGGGAACCTTCAAGTGATTTGGGATCATATGAAAGTTGCTTGTAATTCTTATTTCTTTGATGGGATGGAAGATCCAAAAACATGAACATGAAACCACCTATGGACCAAACCTAATGTCATAATGTCATATGTTCATGTCCCGAACTACTGTTGCTTGAGTGCCTGTTTTCACGACTTGTTGCCTTGCACCATCTTTTTTCCCAACGGTCCCAACGGTGGTTTTCAATGAACTCCCCAATATATGATGCGACGACTTAGTTCCCCTATACATGAATCTGTAAGCACCCATTACTATGTACGCTGGAAACCTTATACAGTAATATACCATATCTACAACGTTCTACAACATTTAACAATGCTGATGTGTGGTTTGATCGCCTGGGAAAAAAAGGGGTCAATTGATACATTAGTCAGCTTGGGGTTATCATTCGAAAGTATCCCAAATATGGTTGACAATAAAAGAAATGTTACCACTATACTAGAATCTCTTACAATTATAATATACTGGGGAAAGGTATATCTCCCTCATCTGTCCCAATTGAATTATATCCACACCATTTCCCATGACTAATACAGGCCATTTATAGGTGGATGTCTCCCATTATAATCCATTATATGCATCTGATTGTATCTATATATACATAATCTAGTTCCGTATATTTAAATGTATATACCTCTATATGATCTATGTCAATTCGCCCTATGTTCCCATCTGTTCAAGGCAAAAATTGAGCCCGCCTGCATCCACTGAAAACACAAGGCCGCAGCGTCCAAGGCAGTGTCAAAGCTCACAGCATCAGGGGCGACCTGCTGAAGCAGCTCAAGCGCCTGCGGCCGTAACGGGCACCCCATGACATACTGCTTGGTTAAATAAACAACCAACCAAAAGAACAGGAAAGTAAAATCCGACTAAACTATGGTGGATGATTTGGGGATGACTACATCCCCAAATGATGATAGCTTATCTTGATCCTCAATACATTATAGGTAATACAGGTAGTAGAACCGAACCATGAAGAACCCAGCAGTATTCTCACCAGTCAGCAGTATGTTTTTCATGGCTCAGATGATGATGGGAGAATTCATCCTGGGGATTTCAGCAACCCCATTCATCATGATGTGACCTCTTCACCGTGGGAAAAAAGTGTTCACCACATGCTGAATACATCTCCATGAATTGTTCGTGATACCGCTCTATGATATAGCGTTTGAGCATAAAACAAGTACCCATAAATCCATAAAAAGGGTATGTTGCCCCATCATTGGAATAGTTTTACATAGTTTTACCATTTTTGGCGGTATTTGGAGGGTTTAGGTACCCGACGTTTTTCCCAAAGATGTGTCGGTCCTTCTCCCATAACAAGCTCTTTCCCAGCGCTGCAATGGCGGCATTGAAGCTGGTGGTGTCTGGTACCACATGCCACAGCTTTGCCTCGGAGGCAGCAATCACCCAACAGGTTCACGAAATGTGTTTGTTTTTCCTAGCAAAAAACGGTTTTCAGCAAACACACATGGTTTTTAGTTGTAACCAACGAATACCCACAGTATTTTGAAACGAGTGAGATCCAAAATGCGGATTTTGGGCTTCTCCCAAGCAAAGCAGGGTTTCAATCAACAACCAACGAGTTGCCTTTAACACACACACACACAAAAAAAAAAGGCGTCAACAAACAAAATTGGGTTTCAGCCAATCGAAATGAGGTTTCAAAGTTCTGACCAACATTTGGTCTTAATGTGCTATTTTGTTTTTCAAGATGATTGATGTTTAGCTAGAATCAGAGTCTTTGCCAACTAAAATTGCACGATGAACCTATAAATCGTATAAATACAGAATTTCTTGGTATAGTTGATCTCTCCGATCAAACCAGTTGAGATTTGACACTTCCTTTGTATCAACAGTGTCCACTGATCACCATTAGGAGCAAGTCCCCCAACTCACAACCGGTCAAATCATGTCAAATCTGCAAGTTTGGGCAAGACCATGGCCCCGAAATCTTCCAGAACAACCACAAATTACTCAGAGACGCTGTAAACGTTTGCACGTCGATGCGGAAAACTCACTATGGATGTAGATCATTTTCCTAGTGACACCATATGGGTTTTCCTTAATAAATATATGTAATCTTCAAGGACTTAAAAATCGCGTTGAACGAGGATTTCCGATTATGCCAAACAGTGAGCCCAAAAAATCAACCAAACTGTCACATGAAATCATAGCTTTCAAGTTTGGTCGCTTGCGCCAGGAGGGAAATGGCATGTTCCCACTTGCGACCCTTCTCACAGGCACTGACGGATGCACCCAGCAAAATGGCATCCAAGCGATTTCCTGCATCAATTCCCCCGGCGATTTGCAAAATGTGGGGACGCAATGCCCAACTTGGGGAATGGTTGAAATTGATTCCCCTCATTGCAACCACCAGTGTACCAACACACCATCCATTTCCAACGTCAATTGCCCCATATGGCCACAAAATAAATAGATCCAATACCAAAGCAGGTCAGAAGAGCATTCAGTGACTATCACTCCGCGACTCGTGAACCAACTCCTACCAACATCAAAAATAAACACAAAATATATCAAAATCGCCAGAAGTTCTCTGGTTATGGCTGAAAAACACCATAATTAGGGGATGATTATCTATACAAAACATTATAAAACCATACTGGTGGTGAATCATGGTTTCTCATATAAAACCACCATGGATTTGGATGGATTTGGGCCCTTTTGGTTGAACATGGTTGTCTCCTTGCTGGCGCGCGTCGCTCAGAAGATGCAACGCTCTCCTTTTCAAGAGAAAGGGGCCCAGTACCCATGGATTTTATGCGGTTTTTATAATGTTTTGCTGTAAATGACTCCAAAAACTGCAATCACTATGGTTTATGCGGGTTTATGAAACCTATAGCTAAAATTCATGAGGTTTAGAAACCAACTGTTGGGGGCACGTGGGATTTACCAACTTACAACTGGGGAGGGGGGGGGTCACATTGTATGATGTTGTCCAAACATATCCAAATATGGGACTGAAAATAGGATACCACCACTTGGAAATTATTATTTTCCCCAATGGCAATGGGTATAACAAATGTTCAATCAAACCCATATGGGGTATACGTTTGATCTACCCCCGGGGCAGTAACAGTGAGCACAAGCCAGGGGCACAAAATGAGCACCAGCCAAATGCAGAAAATAAGGGTCTAATCTGGTGATATGATACGGGTAAATTCTTATACCAAAACCAAACAATGGATCAGGTAGACACCATGAATATGTAAATCATCAAATGTTTGAAAAAATGTTTCATGTGAATCGGAAGGAATCAAGCTGCACAGGTGTATGTTTCTCTCTTCTCGGCTCTGGTTGCTACAGATTTGCTAGGAACTGGCCAACTTATCACCAACATTCCGTTGGAAACCTTAGCAATTCTTAGTAACTACGACGGCTTAGCAATGTGACAACTAGCAACAATAACAACAACCGCCCCCCACCAGCGAGAGCACCACCACGACCACTACAACCAGCAGTACCAGCAGCGGCAGCAGCAGCAGCACCACCACCACCACAACAACCACCACCACCAAACGCAAGGGTGGGGGGTTGGGGCTGGGCCTGGGGCTGGGCTTGGCTGGGCTGGGGTGCTGGGGGCTGGTGTGGTTGGGTTGGGCCTGGGGGCGCTGGGGCTGGGGCTGGGCGTGGCGCTGGGGCTGGGGCTGGGGCTGGCGCAGTTGACTTTTTTGGTTTTACTGTTTTCGGTTTTTTGTGCTCGGCTGGTGCTCAAATTGTGCCCGGCTGGTGCTCAAATTGTGCTCGGCTGGTGCTCAAATTGTGCTCGGCTGGTGCTCAAATTGTGCTCGGCTGGTGCTCAAATTGTGCTCGGCTGGTGCTCAAATTGTGCTCGGCTGGTGCTCAAATTGTGCTCGGCTGGTGCTCAAATTGTGCTCCTCGGCTGGTGCTCAAATTGTGCTCGGCTGGTGCTCAAATTGTGCTCGGCTGGTGCTCAAATTGTGCTCGGCTGGTGCTCAAATTGTGCTCGGCTGGTGCTCAAATTGTGCTCGGCTGGTGCTCAAATTGTGCTCGGCTGGTGCTCAAATTGTGCTCGGCTGGTGCTCAAATTGTGCTCGGCTGGTGCTCGAATTGTGCTCGGCTGGTGCTCGAATTGTGCTTTTCTTGTGGTCCCTCAGCTGCTTTGCATTGATTTTTGGTCATTTCTGATTTGCCCAGGTGCCGGTGCTCAAATTGTGCTCGGCTGGTGCTCAAATTGTGCTCGGCTGGTGCTCAAATTGTGCTCGGCTGGTGCTCAAATTGTGCTCGGCTGGTGCTCAAATTGTGCTCGGCTGGTGCTCAAATTGTGCTCGGCTGGTGCTCAAATTGTGCTCGGCTGTGTGGTGCTCAAATTGTGCTCGGCTGGTGCTCAAATTGTGCCCGGCTGGTGCTCAAATTGTGCTCGGCTGGTGCTCAAATTGTGCTCGGCTGGTGCTCAAATTGTGCTCGGCTGGTGCTCAAATTGTGCTCGGCTGGTGCTCAAATTGTGCTCGGCTGGTGCTCAAATTGTGCTCGGCTGGTGCTCAAATTGTGCTCGGCTGGTGCTCAAATTGTGCTTTTCTTGTGGTCCCTCTGGTGCTCGTTTTGTCGTCCGGGCTAGTTTTTTTTTCATTTTTTTCGCAATTATTTTTGCAGTCTCCTTGTGCTTTTTTTGTGCTTTTTTTGTGCTTTTTTTTGTGCTTTTTTTGTGCTTTTTGTGCTTTTTTTGTGCTTTTTTTGTGCTTTTTTTGTGCTTTTTTTGTGCTCTTTTTGTGTCTAGCTTGTGCTGGTTTTGGCGGTTGGTACTTACGCGTCAATGAAGTTTTGCGATTTAGGGTTCGAATGGGCTCGGGGTTTAGAATTTAAAGTTTAGGATGGATGCCAAGTATATAACATTTCCATTTTCCCACATGGCCAATCTGACTCCATGGTTGAGCACATTACGGTGCATTGTGCCAGTTGCATCAAGCGGCCAAATCCTTTCACAATATGTTCTAGTCCTTGCTTCGATGCAGACGCCTTGCTCGCACCTTCTCAGGGTAACGCATGAATGTATTGTCTGTAGTCTGCGCTCTTCTTTTCTCAATGTTGGAATGCAACTGATATGCTTGAAAGATCTTGAAAGTGAAGCCCCTGTCTTGAATTCTGAATTCTGTATCAGAGGTTTGGAGGGCAGGTTGACGTTTTTTTTTGGGCACCTCCTAGCCGAGATTTTTGGAGCAATTTCCTTGTGCTCGTTTTGAAAGGGTAGGTTAAAGGAAAATCATTTATCTGCTGTTACTGGGCGGGGGGTAGATCGAAGGTATACAATAGTTTATGGCAATTTGGAAAAACCATGGAAACATAGGAATTGACTCCTCCACAACTGAAGGCACTGCTTGAAAAAAATGAACAAACAGGTTTCATTCCTTCAGTGTTTACCCGTTAATTTTAATGGATGGAAGAACGCCAAACCATTGCAATTTAGCTATTTCATTCCTTTTGTTGGCTTTCTTTCCAATTCCAATGGGGATGCCTAGAAATAGGGTACCTCCATTCCATCCATGGACTAATAATCATTGTCTCTATTAAATCGCATCTTTTTGATCGTAAACCTCATTTTCAATCAAACCCAATTATTGTTATATCCCAGTTGCTACTATCGCATCACATCCCAATACATATCCCTAAATAATGTTGGTTCTTACATACATTTCCAATAAATGCCAATGGCGTTTCTATCTATCGGTCAAAAAACATATCTTTTGTTCGCTTTTTCCAAATAACATCCATCACCATAATTTCCCACTATATCCCCCTTAAATACGAATGTATTCCCATTAAATCCAATATCCCTACACGTCGTTGCTTCTTACATCAACAAATACCATCGTCAATCTTTGATCATCCACAAAATGAATCAATCCTTGGCTGGTTATAGGTATCTTCCGTTCATAACAAGACACTAAAGGATTAAAACTGCCAATCCCAGGTTGGGGATGTGCCAATGAACAAGTTTGCACGTATGGATTCCATCCTCGGTTGCTAGTCACCCCTTGGTCAAGCCGGGAATCTGCCATTGTTGGCCTCGCTCGCAAGCAGACACTGCGGCACTGAAACTCACGACGTCTGGCCGCTGCTGCCTGAACGTGCACGAGAAGGGCTAGGTACCGTTTGACCCTCCGTTTCTACCCATCAAAATGCAATTTCCCATACTTGCAATACTTTTAGCATTTTTTTGTTTATGGTTCGATACAACTATGGCCCTTAACAGTTATAAATGGGATTATAACTCCTGTAGCTAAGGCATGCTGAGGCTATACATCATTGAAATCCCAGTTATAACTGTTAAGGACCTCCTCCACATATTCAACCAAGGGCTCTGACAGCATGGCTACAAATGAAGAGGTATGAGTTTACCAACTAGAATGCTCCAGAATGTTCTTTCAACCTGCTTCCAACTTTATTCACAAAGTACTTGCATTTATTCGGCACGTTCAAAGTCCTCAAAAATCTGCGCATCGGTCAACATTTTGGTACCTGGCGAACATGAAAACCATGCAGTACTCTGAATGGATAAGTTGTCACTCAATTGGCGAACGGTTTCCTCACAGATCCCACCAAGTTAAAAAAAGTGTCGTCTTGATCATTAATCCAGTTGCCATGTTCACCTATCCATTTCAGATCATTTTAGGAGATTTGAGCTTTGGAACCGTAGCTTGGACGTATAAATGTGAATTCAACCCCACATTTGACCTCACCCCTGGACTCTTTTGATGACCTAATCCACCGGGAACGATGCCGACCTTGGTCGATGATGAATCTATTTTTTGGGCTTTCCATAAATGGGGGTATCCCTAAAAATATCATGGAAGATCCTTAAAAAGCGGATGATTTTTTAGGGTACCCCGATTTTGGGAAGCCCACAATATCAACAATCCAAATGGCTGGCTATCTGAAAAAAAACCAGCCATTGGATGGTGATTCCCACTATTCATTTTAGGTACCCCACAAGTTGATATCCCCCAAAAAAAAACGTAGTACCCAACTCCAGGATGGTGTTTGTTTCTCAACCAAAATCAGGGGGATCAACCACCAAGGTCAAACAAAAAACACCAAAAACGGGTAAAACTACTACCATCTGGTAAACGTTCACATAACTAACTGGAAAATCACCATGCTTTTAATGGGTAAATCAACTATTTCTATGGCCATTTTCAATAGCTATGTTTGTTTACCAGAGGGTAAATCATCATATATCCTAATAAATTCCATTAAATCCCATGAAAATCATGATTTTCCCCATTGATAGTTAATTTCCAATCAAATCCCACCACAAATGGGTAGACCGATGGTCAGGGTGAACGAGCCCGCCCCAGAGTCACCTGTAGCAGAGCTCCAGAAAACCCAAGGCGCTTTGCCAAGCGAAGCCTTTGCCACAGCTGCTGATCACCTCTGGACGCAACGATTCGGAGGTTTTTTTTTTGGATGGCTAGATGTGGTGATGAGTTATGACTTGGAAAAAATAGCTGACGTGAAATTCCTATCGTTGTCTCAAGCCAAATAAATTCTGGTGAAAAGCCTCCATTTTGACTCGACTACCGACCTACGCATCTTCATTTTGACGCCTGAATATGTTTGTTGCATGCGGGATTGATGGTGTTTCCATGTTGCATCTTTGCACAAACAAAAACAAATCGAATCAGAGCTAGCAAATACATGCAAATACAGATTGAGGATGTACAAGGAAGTTATGATATCAGCTGATACCAAACTCTGGATCCTCTCTGTTCTTATTGTCACAATGCCACTTTCAATTGTTACTCCTGTCGACATCCCCAGTGGCACCAAGGGGCTGTATTGAGGGCCACCAGATCGAGGTGAATCTTTCGACGTTCCGCTTCTGCACACAACAAGAGTGCCTGCAGGCCATGTCATCGGTCATCCTCCTTTTATCACCATAAAATAGGTGGTGTAAACATGTATAAACCATGCCCAAATTGGTGGTTTATGGCATTGTCTTACCCCCGATGAATGTCCCAGCAAACGAAACCGCCATGGCTGGGGATTTCCGGGATTTCCCAGCCACGTTTCATACACCGAGCTAAGCTCATCCATGATCAAAACGCTGGGACTAATTGACCCACCATTAGTAAGTCTAAGTCATGGCCATGGCCATAGTCTCCAAAAAATTGTGGCTTATCCCATCTAGAAATGGCTGTGAACTATGCTTATTAACCACTTATTAAGTGGGGTGAACTTCCAAGTATGAAACAATCTGTTTTAGGACCTATAATCCTAATATACCCTTGGTCCATACCCAAATGATGTGATTATTGTTTATGTCTATGTCCAGCTGCTTTGTGGCTTTAGATCAGTTAAAGAATATATTCTTAATTAATATTATATATATAATTCTTCCATGATATATCCCAAGTGATGGTTTCCTCTATCCATAAAGCATGAATAATGGGCTCCCACCGTGGGGATTTTTCCGTCGCCATGTCTTCGCCATGCGCCTGCTCCCAGAGGCTGGCTTTTTCGCAAGCACTCAGGGCGCTACTGAGGGCGATCAGGTCGAGTTCGAACCCTGGGCGTCGAGATTTGGGGCGTCCGGATCGAACCGCAGCGAAAATTCAAACATTGGTCAATTTGAAGCTGCAAAATAAGGATTCGATATGATTTGAGATATGAATTGTTCATCAAATCTGAGATAGTTACAGATGTTCCAACCTCTGGGAACTGAAACCAAGAATGTCCCTTTTCCCTTCGGGGATTGGGATCATCGTTCGACTGGAAAGGGACCTGGATACCCAGCTTTTGGCGCTGTAAATCTTTGGTTCACCCGAAGCCTACATTGACTATTGATGATAGGACCTGATAGGGTGTTGCGGGTCATGTTTTGGTTCGTAGACATTGTATTCACCATACAAATGATCAACTGGCTAAATCCATCTGTTTACTCATTAAATCCCAAAATCTTACTGCAACATACTCTACAATCTCTGCAGATTTGCTTGTGAAACCATGTTCTTAGTGCCTACCATCTATATATTTTGTTTTAATTACAGCTATGATAGCTATGGTATAGATGGCCCATTTGTAGATGATACAAAATGATGATGTACCATGATGTACCCTGTTAAAACCGGTGAGTGTCCAGTTCGCTACGTTAAATAACCAGAGGGTATACATCCATATCTCCATGTTTTGTTTGATGATCTCGCCTGCATCTTGGTTTGACAACAGCTGCATGGCCTTCTGCCATGCTGAAGCAGCAGCACAAGCACCTCAAGGTAAATGTCATTGCTGACGGGGAACATGATGATTGGCTACTGGGAATTGATTACACATGGCCATTACTATGTATATATATATACATATACATGTACTTGCATGTGTATATGTGATTGACTATACTTGTATATTGTTTATAGTTAAATATATATGTAATCATATATATATAGTTGTAATAACGCTAAATAGCAATAACAAGCATAACAACAATGATAATAATAACACCAACAATAACAATAATACACATGATCGTAATGCTACTGTTTCACATATGCAAACACCATGAATGTGAACAATACATCATAATATATCCATATGGACTCTAAAATGAAAAACAGCTACCCATGATGAAGACAAAAGCACAAGCACACACAATTGCGGAGTCCCCATGATCATCGAGTGCATTGTTCATGTCAATCAGCATGAGCTTTGGGCCGAAACAATCTGACGCAGCCACTTTGATCCCCAGGCACTTAGAAGCGCAGTGTAGGAATATTTGCAGGGGCCCAACGTTCGCCTCACCGGATCTTTCGGATTCTTTTGGGTCATTGGGGGCCCTGTTTCAACGACCTTCGGAATTTCCGCGGATCGCTCATGGCTGGGGATGTCGGGAAGTCACCCAGCTGGACCTTGGGATGACTTCTATAGAAAGGGGCAGCACTTCCGACCCAAAAAAGTGCGTTTTGTAGTTGAGTTGTATGATAAATCCCCATGATAAAATCGCAGTTTTTTTTCGCATGAGCTATTGAATATCCCCAAGAAAATATGTTACATCCGCCAAACACAGATTCATTGAACGTGATTGGATCATGAGGACCCCCTTTATTCGAGAAACTGATTCTCTTCCAACCCCCCATGGGATGCCATGGGCTTTTGACAGGGTCATAGGGGAGAAATCTGATCTCCATTTCGCTGCCATGGCATGATGTATCCATGGGTCTGGGTAAATTATAATATTTCACTAACCTGAAATAAGGCAATTTTGGGATGATTCCTCTTACTAACCATGATTCCAGGGCTCGGGAGAACAGTGAGGTCGCTATAATTTACCCGGTGGTTGAGCCATCGGTACCTCGTCATCTCATCCAACAAGAGATGTCCTTCTTGCCATCGCCGATGCCGGCCGAAGGCAGAAATGGCTTGCGCAAAGTGTTTCGGTGTCTGAAGGGAAGCCTGGGAAAACTGGAAAACTGGGGAACTGGATGGCAGTGGTAGATTGGAGCACAAAATGAACGCTTCGTCCAATCGTATTGGATACGCCATCCAATGATGAAAAATCATGGCCATCTTTGCAACTCGTGAACTATTGACCATTGGAATGGACACGTGTTTTTCAAAGAAAAAATAAACGACCACTGATTCACTCTTAACCATTGGAATTTGGGGCTGTCCTACTGGCTGTCCGCCATCTTCCAGAATATGAAAGATTCACCCTTCAGCTCCCGTCAAAATCCTTTCCGTCGGAATTACGAATGGTTTTTGGAGCAGAACATGGATACTACATCCCTAGTCTTCCTGGTAACCTTTCCCATAGGTAACTGGAAGGTTAGGGCATGATACTATACTTCATTGTCTTTATGATCGATTTGGATGCTTTTGGTGGGGCATCACTTGCCATTGTTTTCTGCCATTGTGCTGGGCTGGAGAAGGCCCTATCACAAACATGGCACCCTGTCGGCACCAAGCGATATCAGAGTGTCACACGGACTGGTTCTTGGTTGAAATTTCTTCGAAGCATAAAAGTGAAAAGGGACCATCACTGAAGGTGAGCGGGAGTCTAAATTTAAGACCCGACAAAACCACAGACTGGAATGTCTATTTTTAGTATGAATCAGCTCTTTCTTGTGGTAACTTTGACCCATATCCATTGTTGTAATTAATTGTTGTAAAAAACATGAACAACATTGAACAACCATCGCAGAATGACCTGCTCAAATGGAAAATCCATGAACGCCGAGATGGACGCCAATGATGCTTGCGGCTGCTAGGAGCCTGGTCCCTCGGCCCCTGAGATACTGTTGATACCCCCCAAACATGGTAAACGTATACTGGTTGGTGGTTTCAACCCCTCTGAAAAATATTAGTCAGTTGGGATGATTATTCCCAATATATGGAAAAATAAAAAATGTTGCAAACCACCAACCAGTATACTTGAAGAGGAGGGCAAAATAGGTACAAAGAGAGGCTTTTTTACAGTAATTCATTGTCATTGAGCCATGATTTGTCTTCAGTATCCCCATGGTTTGTCATCCCAAGTACCATCAGAACCTTAAGTCAGAACCATCAACTGCTGCCGCTGCTGCCTGGCCTGGTTCCTCCAAAGATGTTCCAAAGTTTCTTTCCTCTGATGAGACGAGGCTTTCCTCTTGTGCTTGGGCGACAACAGCGCCAAAGCCGCCAACGCGGCATTCCACGGCTCTCTGCTTACATCCTGCCGTCACGCCGTCAATGTCGATTGGGGACCCAATGCCAGAACTACCCTCTGGTAAACGTTTACATAACTATGGAAAATCACCGTGCTATTAATGGGTAAATCAACTATAAATAACAATTTTCACTAGCAAACTGTTAATTTACCAGAGGGTACCATGACTGGGGGTGGTTGATACTACAAACCACATCAATGGGGAGTCCAACTGGGGATGGTTCATGGCACCTTCCGTCCACAGCGTAGAGCACAACGTAAGGAAACCATGGCAACCACTTTTGCGGTCAGTCCGTGGACCACATCCCCCGGATGATGATGGGTTTTTGCGTGATGTGAACAATCTTAGTATCGACGACCCTTCATTACAATGTGATAAACCCAGTATAGACCTCCAATGGCAGAGTTTTTACAGCCCATGTCTGATAATTCATCGGGGACGGTTTATGGTACTGGGTTTACCATGGTTTACCATCGTACTTTGAAAACCCTGGCTGATCATGTGCACGCCTGCAAAGGCTATAGAGGGCCCGGTCTTGATTTCTATCCAAGTGCATACCTTAACCTTACATTACGCCACAAATTATTGGTACCGACTTTACAGGGGACGATTTTCTCGTATACATCATTTGGTCATCTGGGCCCTGGATTTATCTACAAACCCACTCAAATGCACAGGATCCGGCACAGGAATGTACCGGATGGATTGATACCCCTAGACTGCAGTGAAACCAGGACAACATGTTCCCTTACAAAACATTAGGATTTGCCAAGGTTTGCTTGAATTCAACGGCTGAAGCAATGCATAGTTGCCTGATGTCCAGCTGTGATACGCTTCGATTTTGTCTACCTAGACCCTCCAAATATCCAATCAAAATGTATATGAATAAAACACTATAAAACACAATTTTTATGGCCACACACGGGGAGTCAAACGGTGATGACAACAAAAAATCCAAGACCGACATCTTTGTATTCCTTGTTGAACCATCAATTGATTTCGGTCCAAAATTCGCAGAAACGCCCAACTGCTCACGAGGATTTCAAGATTGATGCGGGATTTCCCATGGATTTCCCATGGATGACACATTCAACAAGGTATCAACCTTCGAGGATTTTCACCATGGAGAGTCAGGTCCCAGTTTACTGGAAGCCCTCTACGGCCCCAAGGATCGACTCCGCGCGAAACGAGGCGGCTGGCTGCTGTTGGCCGCAAGTGAAACGGGGGAAAGTTGCAATCAGCAGCTGAGGAGCAGGTAAGGAACAGATTTGTGGAGTTGTGAAAACATGTGAAAACTATGGCCTATGGTTATTCGGTGATAAACCCAAAGAACAACAATAGCTTATGGTGAGAAAACAAGGTGGGCCAGAGAGCCCAAAAGCAAGACGGCACACAGTACACTTACATTTTGCACTGGTGTGGGCAGCTGTGCTCTGCACGAAATCGACGCAAGATCTTGGTTGAGACATCGTGAACATTGATGGTATCAGGGGCCACAATTCATCACAGCGTGCTGCGTCCGCTACGTCTACACTCTTTCAATCGCTATTTCTTCTAATTATATTTTTAAATGTTTTGCGATTGAAAGTGGGTCTCTGGAATTCAATTTCTTTTGGTGGATCCATATGTATGCAGATTGTCTGGCAAGGAGCTATTATATTTGAATATATTTGAATGTTAACTACTTCATTTTTCTTAGCTAAGTTGCAGATAAGTTACTTTTTGGCATCTAACTCCAGGACCAAGGGAATCGGAAATATACAATATATATATAATTATATGTATTTGATAGCATCGTTACGCTCATACCATCGCACGACTCCGAAGATACACGTATACACAAGTCACAAGTCTTGTTTTATTTGATTTTTCTTTTGTTTTGCACGTGCATTGAAACAGGTACATTGTGTTTTAATTCATGGTGTGCGGCATTTTTTCCAACACCAAACCAAAGGAATTGGAAGGAATCATGAAACACCATGAAACCCAGTGCCAAATACAACATCAGATTCAGAGGCGCAACATGAATGACTAACGAAATGTTAACCGCTTATCTATTTGGATCCAACCAGCAGGGAATCCATCCAATGGCAACCATCAGGATCCATTTACGACACAAGAAAAGGGGTAGGTGGCGTTGATCAAATCTGAGGATCTTCCACGGGTTGAATAGATGATCTTTCCTAAACATTTTGCATTGTGCTGAACGCGCAGAAGTATGAGTACTGAATACGTAATTTTCTAACCTTCAAACGGGGTAACCCCTAAATTAAAACATATCAAAACTGATGTTATCAGATTGCATTTTTTGTGGGTGGGCATGTGCCGCCTGTATTGTGGGGCTGCAAGCCGTCAGCAAAAATAAGAACAAAGTGCGTCCTGCGGTTGATAATGGGTCTTGAGACAGGCTGAAAAAAAAAATCGTCCTAAATCCGGCTGAACGACCCCGAATTAATTGAACGAAAACCATGGATTTTGAGTTTTGGTCCTAAGCCCCACTCGCGACATGTACCCCCTGAGATAGGCTGGACAAAAATCGTCCCAAATCTGGGGTCTGAGGTACATTTCCTCCTAAGTCAGCCGCGCGTTTTGTACCCTCCAGGCTGAACCCCACCTCAACCCCAGGATTTAGGCTGACTGGTTGGTGGTTGACCTACCCCTCTGAAAAATATGAAAGTCAGTTGGGATTATTATTCCCAATATATAAAAAAGGAGAAAAATGTTCCAAACCCCCAACCAGCTGATCATCAATATTGGATGTTTACCGCAACACTTTTGAGCCACATTTATCATGCGTGAACAGGATCTCAAACTACAAATTTGTTACAACAACTTGGTGAAAACTTATGATCATTCAGCGGCGTACTGTGTTTTGCGCAGTCGTGGCGCCTAGATGAACACGTTGTACTTATATGATTGCTTCCAAAGCTTGGGCTCATCAATATTCCGCTAAATTAAAACAAAACGTTCACGCTATTCAAACGCATCGTTTAACAACTTGAAATAGGAACCTTTGGTGACATAACATCTACTCAAAATAATGGACCTGGAACAAACACATATCTATGGTGCATCTATATATATATATATATCAATCGCCGCATGACACTGGGATTCTTTCAAAGAAAATATATGAGGAAAGCATTCAAAAATCAATATTTGGAAACTTCAATCGGGGAATGCATTTACAAGTGTTGGGGGTTTAAAACGTAAGGAGGGAACAAAATCCAAAACGAGGGGGTGGAATCCTTAACGGGGGGACCCATATAATAAAAACTGATTAAACGGGCGGCAAGGAAATAAAGTTTGACATGGGGAAGTACTGATAAATATGAATTTGAAAACGTTCGGGGATAGTCTGGATGGATATACTACTGGAATCTACTGGGCCGTTATTAATTGCAACGGGCGATTTTGAAAACAAACGGGACTCCGGGTAACCAGAACGGATCAGGATACAAATGTATCTCGCTGGCATTTAGTACGAAGGAAAACTTGGATATATAATAAAATATCTTACAGTATCAGAATTCTGACCCCAAATCAAATTCAAACAGCCCTGAATCAAATGCAGTTCCTTAATATCCCCAATTCAATTTTGGCATTTTTGTTTGCCAATCTGTAAAAATGAATGGGGATTGGGGATACAACCTGCTACAATATAGGGTAGATTAGGAAATGACAACAACCCTCCAGCAGCAAATTTATTCCCATGCATGTCCCATCGCCCTGCGTTTGGAAGCCATTTTTTCGGGACAATCGCAATGATGGAATTTGTCCTGGAAAACCCCTTGCACAGCTCTGCATTTTTATCGTCGCTCCCTCCCAACGGAGCTCTCCCCAAGCTATTTCAACGGTTTCCTGCCCTTCCCAGCGGAGCTCTCCCCAAGCTATTTATTTCCTACAGTTTCCTGTCCATCCATGCCGCACCCTCGCTTTCACCAAACTATTTCCAACCGTTTCCTTTCAGTCCACGATGTGCATGCACGCTTCCGTCTCGCTCCCGCGGCGAAGCAACCTAAACGAGAACCCAAGCATCGGAGATGCTTTTGGGAAAAAAAAGACTTATAAATGTTGGTAAAGAAAAACATCTTTGGGAGTTGCAAGTCTTGAGATAAGTCAATTTATGGAGAAGTGGAGCTGTCTTGGTGACATCCAGTGACTGCTTCCCTGGTTGGGCAGGGCGTCGCAAGTTTGGACCTGTTTCTAAATTGGAATATCTGGGATCTTGGCGCCACGATTTTACTCATGGATTTAATCCTTCTTCGACGTGGTCATTCTGTGTATGTATATCTGGTTGGTGGTTTTAACCATCACGAAAAATATGAAAGTCAGTTGGGATGATGACATTCCCAAGAATGATATGGAAAAATAAAATTCATGTCCCAAACCACCAACCAACTATTTATGTATTAATTAGTTACATGAGATTTTGATACCTTTGTTTGATAATGTTTGATACATGGATCAACAGAACTCCCGAATAATCCTGCTGATAGCATCCCAGGCCTTTGCCAGTCTGCAACCCACTCTGGGGTGGCTCCACTCACTATGCTCCACATGTTCACGAATGAAAACTGTCAAGCTTGAGGCAATATACCCTCTGGTAATTTGTTACATAGCTATGGAAAATCCCCAACATAAATGGAGCTTTCTAGCTGGGAAAATCATCTGTTTCTATGGTCCATTTTCATCCATTTTCCATAGCTATGTAACAAATTACCAGAGGCTAAAACGGGAAACGGCAAACGGATGGAAGTCCAGGAGATCCCACGGTCGAATTGGACTCATCAGCGACGTGTCACGTAGAACATTATGCCAGCAGCACCCACCAACCTCAGATTTTGTCATTGGTCCAAGGTTGTTTGGTAAAGTTACCACAAAATACTGAACAAATCGTGCATATGCATGTATATATATATAATTATATACATATATATATATATACATACTGTATATCGATTGGAAGTAAAGTTCCAGCTGAAAAAAATGGACAAAATCATCATGAACATCTCAAAAAAGAACTGTTCAGGCTGGTTGTTTCCTCGGTGACACCGTTCCAGTTGGATTCGTAAATGATTGGAAAACCAGTTTAAAGATAAAAAAAACAAACCACTCCAAGCAAAAATGTTACCCACTTACCAACCATAGATCTCAATTTGCAAGAGCACAAATCATGCCTGAAAATGGGAAAATGTGTCAACCCCACAAGACAAACGTTTTGAGATCCCCAAAATATCCAAAATTACGAGTTTAGTGATAGTGGGTAGATTGATACTCCATGTTCATCATTCATAGGTTGAACCCCCAAAAATTGTGGTGGTGATGTTCAAAAAACATGCCCCAGGGTGTAATATGGTTTAATACTTTCATATGGGTAAAACAATACCAAAGCACCCCCAGTCATGACTATAAATAGGTGGTATGGTTACCATTCCCAGTCATGGGTGGTCAAAATGGCATTGTTTTACCCACATTATATATATATATATATATTTATTTATTTATATGGAGGTTTCCTATGGTTTCCAAAGTCATAGGGCTACCCCTGTTCATCCACATTAGATGTGTTTATAATCTTATATAGATTTCCGAAGTCATAGGGGTAGAGTTATCATCCACTTCAAATGCTAGGATTTTCTATGAAACCAGCGATTCTCCATGGCTAAACCCCATGGATCCTGCGGTCTCCGTCTCTCGTTGGCTGGCGAAATCGCTGAGTCGCAAGAGGCCGTTCGAGGTGAAGGCGGAGCCCAAGCCCAGGTGCTCCGCCATCATGGCGGCGCTGAAGGAACTCAACAGCATACCTAGAGACATCGAGACATTAGAAAAGCGCGCGCTTGATACATAAAAAGGGGTGGCCATATAGGGACTGGGGAACTGGGTTTAGCCTGATATCTGGATTTTTTCTGGATTTGTCGTTTATGGATGTGAAAAATCGCCAGTGAATGGATAGAAATAAAAGAGATGGATGGGATACGCCAGATAAACATAGATCTAACCTCTGTTTAATGGATTTTCATGGATTTCAATGGATGTGTAATGATGTTTAGATGTTTTTTCTCAGCCATGTTAGGTTAGTTAGTGACCTCCATGGATGAATGGAAATGTCATGGGATAATCCAGCTGTAAATATCTGTGCATCCAAATCTGAGAACAGTTGGTTGGATGAACAGACGAACAGATATTTCCAGCTATCATTTGGATGAACAGATATTTGGATGAACAGTTGGTTGCTTAACATCACATGTTGATCTGGTAATACAAGTCTGGCATCATGTGTTAATGATCACATGATAGGTCAATCATGAATGGCTGGTTGGTGGTGCAATAACCATCTTGAAAAATGATTGTTCGTTCGTCAATGGGTTTCGGATGATCCCAATCACATGATGGAAAATAATCCATTCATGTTCCAAAGCACCGACCAGTTGGGAAGAACCAGTTGGTTCTTAAGGAGAATCACGAGCTGTAAATCCATGGTGAATATCCCATGACCCCATGGGCGTCTCTATCGAGGTATGCCGCCATATGGGATCATGGTATCATTGGACTGGCAGGAGATGTGGATTTGAGATGGATCTTTCCCACCATTAAGGTAGCTGATTTACCAAGGAAAAAGGCACAAAAAATTAGCTGATTTGTTGAACAACATAGTGTTTTTTGATGGTGATGGTTGCTTTCTGTTGATTTAACAGGTTGCTATTGAAAATGGTCATTTATAGTTGATCTACATGAATCTAAATAGTAAACATTGTGATTTTCCATAACTATGTTAGTTTACCAGAAGGTAGGTTTCAAGTATTGAACCAGGGATTTACATTGCATCTTCATCATTGTTCTTGTATCCGCAAGTCGATGAAACATGCAAAGTCAAAGAGAATTGAATGCAGGACAAAACCAAACATCCAACATGTTCATTCCTTTTCACTCATATTGTTTTTTTAATACCACCTGGTTATTCCCCACCTGCCAGGTGAGGGTTGTTAGATTTTATCAGATTTGTTCTCCTCCTCCTCGGCTAGCTGTCCTCCTCCTCCTCCTCCTCGTCCTCCTCCTCCTCTAGTTTCTCCTCGACCATGTCTGCATCAACTTCCACCTCCACTTCCGCCTTGCCAACTCTTCGCCAAGCTCTTTGCCAACTCGCTTCGCCAAGCTCTTCGCCAACTTCCCAGCTCAGTGCGCACCGCTGGACCTCAACCTGGGAGCTTCCCAGCTCAGTGTGCACCGCTGGACCTCAACCTGGGAGCTTCCCTGGGACCTTCCCAGCTCAGTGTGCACCGCTGGACCTCAACTTGGGAGTTTTCCAGCTGAGTGTGCAGCGCTGGACCTCAACCTGGGACCTTCCCAGCTCAGTGTGCACCGCTGGACATCAACGGCCAGATAGAATGCCAGAAGATATGCCAGAGTGTTAGAAGATATGCCAGATAGAATGCCAGATAAAATGCCATAAGATATGCCAGATAGAGTGCCAGAAGATATGCCAGATAGAATGTCAGAAGATTTGCCAGATAATATGCCAGAAGATATGCCAGATAGAATGCCAGATGGAATGCCAGAAGATATGCCAGGTAGAATGCCAGAAGATATGCCAGATAAAATGCCAGAAGATATGTCAGATAGAATGCCAGAAGATATGTCAGATAGAATGCCAGAAGATTTGCCAGTAACAAAACGTTTAGATGTCATGGTGGGGATAACTCGAAGTAAAGTAATTTAATCACCATTTTTAATAGGTAAACCATCTATAAATGGGCCATTGTCCATGGCTATGTTAGTCATAACCAGAGGGTAATAGGTTTTGATCCACGCCCATTTGAATACAGTGGGAACGATATTGAGATTTCCCAGATTCAACAAACGGACGAATCTGCAGTTCGCCAACATAGGAGGCCTGTGGAGGCCTAATTGGGATATTTGACAAGTTGAACGATAACAAAATGCTGATTACAAGTTTTTCATTGGGTAATTCATAGTAGCAAAATGGATTGGTTGGGATTTAAGTTTCTCTTTCAGCTAATGGGTCAAATTGTGATGTATTTAAAAAAATGGATGCGAAGATAGATTATTGACTACTATGGCCCTATGGCGTAATATAATAAGTGCCCCTTAAACATTCACATCACATCGCTTTTTTTGGAGCCACTACTCTGATCAACTCTTTCAACTCGAAAACTACGAGTTGCTGCGATTGATCCGAAAACCCTGACAGACGATTCTGACATAGTTTCTGACATATCATCTGGAAGTATACATACATATTATATATATATTATATATATTATATATATATATTATATACATAATTATACATACATATTCTGACATGTTATTTGAGATTTTGTGGCATAGACACTGACATTCTATCTGACATTCTCCCCATGTGTTCGAGCTTGCGATTCATGATCTTCGGGGCAAGGGAAGCCCACCCCGCCTGTGTCTCCGAAGGTGGCCCACAAACTCGGCACTTTGGCGCGATCTCTGACCTGAAACATACGTGGATGTTGGATGATTTTGGACCGGCATTCACAAAACGGACTTCAGACAAAATCATGGCATAGTCTCAAAAAGCATTCAGGGCATAGTCTATAGAGTCTATAGCTGGTTGGTGGATTGAACTTACCCCTCTGAAAAGTATGAGTTCGTCAGTTGGGATGATGACATTCCCAATATGGAAAGTCATAAAATTCCATTGTTCCAGACCACCAACCAGATAGAGTCTACAGTCTGAGGTCATCTTCTCTGGAAGTCAATCCATAGGGTAGATGGGTCGTGAAAAATCTACAAAGTTACGGTGGACTCGCCCCAAAAAATAAGACATATATACCTGGGACCATGAAAATATCCATGACAGCCCCAGCGACATGGAAACAACCACTCAACATGGGAATATGAATAACAGTTCAATGTATTAAACATCATATTAAATAACGCAATAGAACCATCAATCATCTCATAATCTCATACACCAATAGAATGCAGGGACTGCAGTCCGGGACGAAAAGCCAGCAATTCGACGTGTTGCCCCAAAAACCCAAACGGTCAATCCAACGTGATGTCGCAGTTTCCAGCCGTTTCCGAATCAGGACAATAAACCAGCCATATTTTGATGCTTCAACAACCACCCAAATTGAAAAAAAAACACATGTAGAATTGGGGATGGTGGATCCATGTGGATCCTATTGCCTAGTGCTTGATGAAAAAATTACATGATAATCCACACTGTGAGAAACCTGAAAAATCATCATCCTGTCGGTCCTGTCTGTTGAGTATTGAGGATTCACAGGTTACCAGCTTTTGCCTGGTTGAAAAATCTGGGGCGTGCCTGAAAATGGGGTATACCTAACCTAAATGGCCACAAATTAATAAGGAAAAATATGATAAACCATCAAATTTGGCAGTGCCTAATTCCATTTGGCCATGAACCAAAACCTTGCAACCCTAGGCACCCCAAGATAGCCATCCAATACCCATCCCCAACCGCAATCAATTGGTTCTTAGATCTTTCGAGATCCAGCAGCAGGGGCCAAATCCATCGCGTGCATCTGCGCTTGACCAGTCATACATGCCCCGATTTGCATCGCTGCAAGGACAGGTAGCCTTGCATGACAATCCCCCAGTCATAGATTCAAAAACTTGGACACCTGGAAATGATGTGAGAAAACATCATCTCCAACATCGTGAACTCGTTGGTGGTTGACCTACCCCTCTGAAAAATATGAAAGTCAGTTGGGATGATGACATTCCCAATAGATGGAAAAATAAAAAATGTTCCAAACCACAAACCAGTGAAAAAAGGGTTCATGAATTTGGAAGGACCCCTATAGATGATGTTAAGAATCTCACCAACATTCCAGTTGCACAACTGCTGGTTGAGCCGGTAGTCAAACATCTTGAGTCGGCAGGAATTATCACCCATCTTTGGGAATGGAAACCAACACATATTTGACCATTGGTGAAAGCATCAACCAGCTGTATGGCTTTCCTGGGTTTCCAGATGAAGCAACGGCGGGATACCCGTTCTCACTTTCACTTTCAGTGGTCAACATTCCTTACGGGGGAAGAACACCGTCCATCTGAATGGTGTGACACGGACCATGCATTCACTGAACCCAAACAGAGATTTGAATGGGAAATCTATTGCTCAATCCGTGGCTTGAAGCTTCAGCCCTCCAGCCATTGGTTATGCAGATTGAAATGGGAGATGTGTTCAAGTGAAATGATAGTGTGAGAGACGGTATTTTTTCTGAAACTCACGAAACCCGAAACAAAAATATATTTTTTTAAAGAAAAGGGGAACTAAAACAGTAAATGAAAAACAACGACCCCAACCAAGCGAACCAAGAAACAACTCAACCAAGGAGGACACGTGTGGCACCAGCATCAGACTCACACCGTACCTCAGTGATTCAGGGCGGATGTCCATTCCCCGATTCTCGCTGTTCGAGGAAACCACAGAATTCAGTGCCCTTGCTGAACCCTGGGGAAATTCAGAATGAAATAAGGCCACAAAAAAACAACAGATTTTGAAGAACCATATCTTTGGATATCTTGAGATATCTGGAGCTATTGATTTCACGTGAACTTTTACAAACAACGGAGCCTGGCTACAGGTGACTTCTGACAGGTGTTGGAAAGTTCAGAATTGTTAGCTCATCAAGCTCCAAATGTTCAGCAAAACAGGAAGATCTCTCACAAACAAAACTCCTTCCTGTCTTAAACGGGATTATGACTCCCCCTAACTAGGTGAGAATACCAATTACATGGGTTCTAAACACGATTGAGTAATTAGCAGTGTTGACTATTATTGTAAGCAGTTTTAGCATGCGTATATACAATGGTCCGTGCCAGATACCAATCCATCAATGGTTTCAAGACCAGTTCATGGAATCGTTTTGTTGTACCAGTTTTCTGACACATGTTACTCAAATAAAGCCATTGTTACTCATATATGTTACCACATGTTATCTTAACATATCTTACAATGTGGCCCCCAGATAGCAAAGTTGATTTATAACTCCATTTTTTCTATGGTTTATGATATATAGAACATTATAGAACTATATAGATACTGGGGCTTATATATAAACCAACTTATACCCTCTGGTAATTTAACATAGCTATTGAAAATGACCATAGAAATAGTGGATTTTCCCATTAAAAATGGTGGATCTTTCCAGAGCTATGTTAAATTACCAGAGGGTAACTGGGGGCCCCCACAATGTAGCACTAATCATGTCACCCTGAATCCGAGGCACAGCACAGCGCCCGGAAAAACCACCGCCATCTTGCCGAAGCGGTCCGCCGTTTTGGCGACCAGCGGCGTCACGCTGAGACTCACCTGACGGCGAGTTGGGAATTTCAAGAGACATCCAGTAAATCTGTAGTCAGACTATGTCAGACTTCTATGGTTTAAGGGTAGTGATATTGCATGACATTGATATTACATGACATTTGGGGTCCAGCCAAGAGTCCTCAAATATATATATTTTTCGTTTTTTTTTCAATATGTGTTTGAATTTTCTCTAAGGGGCCCTCCCCAAAGAGTTTCTGAATGTTTATTTTTCTCAGCACAATTGTTTTTTTTTAAATATTTGTTGAATTTTCTCTAAGGGGCCCTCACCAAAGAGTTTCTGAATGTTTGTTTCTTTGTTAGTATTTTTAAGTATGTTGAATCAGTGTTTGATGATAGCTACTATCCAAAAAAAAAGGAACCTTTTTTATATGCAAAATCAAGGAAAAACACTGTAAATACCAGTGAATTATAGGAAAATATGGGTTTTGGGGGGGTGGTACCATATATATATATATATATATCCCATAGGATCCATGTATGATATATATATATATATATATGGTAACATTTACCATCAATATACCCCAAATGTTTGCATATATACCAGCACCATGGATCCTATGGGTATATATATATATATATATATTCACTGTAGTTGGATGAGGAATTTTGGAGATTTCAGTAGAGCCGTGGCACGATGGCGTTGGCCGTTGAGAGTCCTCCAACCAGTGCGGGGGACAAGGCCAAGTCCACATAAACCAATGGAATCAGGGCAGTTGCCTCAAATGGCACGAAACTGGGCGAACCACAGGGGATTGAAGTCATGGAATCCAGCAAAAAATGGTGAATCAACCAACATGTCGAAGTTCATCAATCCACATGTGCATGTTCACGAAGAAGCATGAAGAAGCATGATTTCGAAAAATTGGGGGTCCCAGTTACTCAAACAAGTTTGAGGCAAATGACTCCCTAATACTCCTTGAGGTTTGATAAGAATGACCGACCGATTCGCGACCGATTCCTGTGATTTCTCCATGAAACACCAATTGCCGACAGGAATCACCCCAAAAGGCTGCATTGTAGCACCATCCGAAGGAGAGAATTTCACGAAATGGTTTCAACGCCAAGATGGGCGACCAAGATCGCATGGTGTCGCTGACTCCTGCCATGATGCAACAAGATATGACAAGATGAATCACCCTTGGTGTATCATGATTCTGCATAATGCGCTAAACCCCAAAACAATAAAGCATCGCCGAAATCATTATTTTATGGGTTGTATAATTATAATGGTGTTTTTTCTGCTTTACCGCATTATACCAAAAGTAGTTGCCTTAGTTACCAAACAACCCTTCACATATAAGATTATGACCGAAGGAAGTTTAGAAGTCAAACTTCCGACAATATGGACAGATGAAAAGGAGAGCAGGGAAGAGGCAGAGAGAAGAGAAATATTAGAAGAAAGAAAGGTAGATAGATAGACAGATAGATAGATAGATAGATAATTAGATGAAAGAGAGAGAGAGGGAGATAGATCGATAGATAGATAGATACATAGATAGATAGATAGGTAGGTAGGTAGGTAGGTAGATAGTCAGAGAAAGAGAGAGAAAGAGAGGAGACCTCAACCACCTTTCGGTCCATCAGTGGCTTCGCTCTGCCATCCCTGATTCACAACAACCAACCTCTCCTATAGGTTTCCTATTTTTGAAACTTCCGCCACCGCCTTGTGCGGTACTATTGGTATTATAATCAATATTGTGTGAGCTATCAGAAGTATGTACCAGTTGATACTGCAACAAATGACCGCAACAATAAGCTCGTTGGCTAAGAACTGGATTCCCAATTGCTGTCGAGTACTCCCAATACATTCACACTGGATTGCACATATTATATATAGTGTATATATAGACATACATATACATACATGAATGATTCAAATAACTCTAAAAAAACATCATATATCACATGTACATATATATATGTATAAATGAATACTTATATGCACATCATATTTACATATACCCTCTGGTTATTTAACATAGCCATGGAAAATGGCCCATAGAAATAGATGGTTTACCTATTAATAGCATGGTGATTTTCCATGGCTATGTTAAATAACCAGAGGGTACATAGATTAGATTGAACAATAGCCACAAAACAGCCGTTGTTGAACACGCCCAGTCACCACGCAGGCGTTCCCCTGGACGCCGCTGATGTGTCTCAGGCAGCAGCGCAAAGACGCAGCTGGCGGTGACCATAGAGGAGGCACCCACGCCCAAACACATCAGTTCCTAGGTGCGGGCTGCAACCAATTTCACGAAGGTGTCTACAGTTATGGCCATTTACCAGTTATAAGCACTTATAACCCCATTTATAGAATGTATAATCCCATTTATACCCAGTTATAACTAATAAATGGCCATAACTGTATGGTAGATCGATCTATTACATATCTGGTTGGTGTTGGTGGTTGAGCCACCTACCCCTCTAAAAAATGATGGAGTGAAAGTCAGTTGGGATGATGACATTCCCAATATATGGAAAAATAGAATTCATGTTCCAAAGCACCAACCAGTATAGTATCTATATATAAGATTCATGGGGTTTACAAACCAACTAACAGCACTTGAAAGGTCCACATTCTAGGGTTTATGGTAGATTCGGTGGTATATATATATATAGTTATATATGGTAAGTGGATTTTAACGGATTAAGTTGGTGAAACACAACTGCAAGAACTGTTGGGTGTAGGTAGATTTACCCATCGAACTAGTTAATGGATGTTAATGTTAATCAGTTCCAAATCAACTTACAATGACCTCCTCGTGAAAATCTGGAGCCCTGGTTCCCAGCTTTATGTTAATTAACTGGAGGGTAATGGGATATGCTTAACCTATTAAGCAACCATAGGGATATGCGGGACATGTACATATATATATATACATAAAGAGAGAGAGAGAGAGGCAATATAATAGCAACCCTGAAAAAGACGACGAACAGTTGATAGATGGTTTCAAATTTAATTGGTGATTCAACAAACAAAAATTGGTGGAATAAAATCAAGAACCATGGGGATATCATGGGGATATCATGGGGATATCATGGGGATATCATGGGGATATCATGGGGATATCATGGGGATATAGTGAGATAACCCCCTCCGGCATCTGGAGCCATCTTCATCGAACGACCATCTTGGAAATGCTGTTCTATTTTTTTTGGGGGTTTACTATTCATGGGACGAATCGGGTTATGTCATCCAACCCTAATTATGAAGGGGAATCCTCAAAGTTTTTTTTTGTATGTGTGAATCAATTTCCGGAAAATAGGCGTTCTGAACATTCCAAAATCTGGGTGAACCCAACCCAATTACGGCACATCTGGGAACCCGTTACAGATATCAATAAATCATAGGATCCAATGGGGAAGATCATGGAATATCAAAGAAGAACCATCCCGGAATCCCGGCTTCAAACTGTTGGTTTTCACAGGTTTTAACCGTATGAAATCGATTGGTTTTAACCATATTCTTCAACTCAACATCCTTCAAAGAATTCTTGATGGCTGAGCCCATAGACTGAAAAACAATCGCTACAAATATGAATTGTTCCGGGTAATCGATATCCATAGATATCCAATTGTCATTAGAATGGTGACATCTGTCGCAAAAATCACTAGAATATCAAGAAATGGGGTCATCTCCATAAAATGTGTAGATAATTTTGGCTTGAAAGACGAATAACATGGGAGTATAGCATGGAAATATCACCTGCAAGTAGGACATTCGCCAATATTCCAGCGGTGGGAAGGACCGATTTCTTAAGAATATGCATGTTCAGTCAAGACCTCAAAAAAGCTAGTGAATACTCATCATCTCAAAAATATATGGGAACACGATCGGACTTTCGACTTTCGGCCCATCCCCATCTGAAAGTTTGCGTCTCAAGATGACGTGAACTCCAGAATGACGTGTTTTTCTCCCAATGTTCTTACTGGTGCTAAACGCAGGGAATTTTCGGGAATGATCCCAGTCATCACAAGTAACTAACGATCCATAATCACAAGTAACAATCATCCCAGCAACCCCCAGCAACCCATCCAGCAACCCTACGTTTAGCACGCACCAGTAAGAAAATTCGTAGGATTCTCCATGATACCCTCTGGTAATTTGTTACATAGCTATTGAAAATGACCCAGTCGACATAGTGGATTTGCCCATTGATACCATGGTGATTTTCCAGTTCGTTCTGTGGGGATGGGTCAAAACCCTGGTACCTAGTGAACCCCAAAATAGCTGGTAAATGGATGTTCATCCCACTAAAAATGTATTTATAGGTATTGACCCATACCCATGTAAACTAAGCACCAGTAAGTTTTCACCTGGAAAATTGCCCCAAAAATGGCCACATTGCCATGTTCCCCCGGCTCCAACGACTCCGAGCTTCTAAACCAACGTGCTCCAACAAATAACCTGGGGAGACATTGTCAATTTCAATGGATTGGGATTGGTATCAATTCATGAATTGTTTAGTTTCACTCCAACTGTGAATTTTGAATAATTAATATGATTTAACATGATTTAACCAGCTATATAACTAGTAAATCAGAGGATCACCATAGTAATTTTCTGAAAATCAACACCAATATTAATCATAACTGGTTGGTGGTATACCTACGCCCCTCTGAAAAATATGAGTTCGTCAATTGGGATCATGATTCCCAATCTATGGAAAAAAATGTTCCAAACCACCAACCAGATAATATGGACTAAACATGTACAATATGATCAAGATGGATTGATCATCAACAATGTTGGTGGCTATTCCACTACCATGTTTTTGTTTGCCTAGAAGCTGGCAGAAAGGTGATGGTTTTTGGGTCTTCCAATGACTTAGTCATTGCGATCGACTAAAACACCATCCAACCACATCAACATGAGATGAAAAACATGTCAAAATCATGTTCATTTTATCATGAACAAAATTCCAATTTCTTCAAGATTTCTGAAACCCTCCATTGTTTTATTGCGCACATCTTGCCCTGCAGCAATGACTAAAAGCATGGCCTCCAATGGCTGGTCCGATCAACAACCCAGCGGACATGCCCATCTGCATGGGGGCCCGGGTGCGAGCCGAGTTCAGGGGATGCGAGATGTCGGTGACGTACATTCCTTCCGACAAAAGGTCAACGCGCCATGTGACTGGAACATCCACCGACTCTGGTCATACAAAAAACGATGGAAAATTGCCATTTGTAATGGATTTTCCCATTAAAAACAGTGATTTTCCATAGCTATGTTAGTTTACCAGAGGGTATAAGGTCATCAAATTCATGGTGATTGAAAGATTGTATTACTGGTTGGTGGTATACCTACCCCTCTGAAAAATATGAAAGTCAGTTGGGATTATTATTCCATATTATTCCCAATATATGGGAAAATAAAAAATGTTCCAAACCACCAACCAGACCATCTTTTTAAGGGTAGCCTTTGGCTATGACTAACATAGCTATGGAAGCCATGGCCCATTTACAGATGATTTTCCCGGCTAGAAACCTCCATTTATAATGGATTTTCCATGGCTATGTTAAATAACCAGATGGTAAATCAACCATAAATTACAAATGTGCCATTTTCACAATAGGTATGTAAAAACCTGATGTCAGGAAACCTTTTTGTTGGATAACTGCTGGTTTAGTCACGGTGTCACTGTGGTGAAATTGAATAAACTGTGGATCGTCAGTCAACCGTGAACACTTCAACTTTGAGGGCTTATTCCGAGCGAAACTCCAGACATGTAAGGGATTCTAATAGGGGCTTTACCCCACAAGTCCAAACTGTCAAAGCGGAGCACTAGAGAATGATCAGTTGACAAAATCTCAGTATCAACGCTCAACAAAGAGACAGAGATCAGGCTTATTCTCGAAGGCCACCAATTGCCGCGTCATTTTCGAGGATACAACCGTCATCTAGCTAGGCTATTCTTCGTCAATCTGCCCAACCTACAACACCCGTATTGTGTGCACAGATTGATCGGTCGTTTCGAGAAACTGTCATCATTTCCGCCGTTTGGAAGAACAACTCTCGTTCTGCAAAGCCAAAACATCTTGAGTCAGGAAATGATGCATGACTTGAGGAAACAGAAATTGTTATCTAATAAAATTCTCTGGCATGGTCATCTAATAGAGATTCATCCCCCCTCAAAAAATCAAATTCTGCCTTAAAATGGTCCCCCAAAATGATTGGATTCAATACTAAACCAGGGCTTCTGAGAAAGGTATTTCTTGACGGGAAGGGGTGATATATAGCAAACAGTTGTCATCGTTGATTTGCAATTTTAAAGTACTTTTTCAGCCTACCTAAACCACTTTAGATTTAGATTCATTAATCCCCATTGAAGCGCATAATAAGCTCATCGAATCCCCATGAAACTCAACTCCAAAAGCCACGAAACCATATCACATGTACCAACATTATACTTATTACATATATATATATAATTATATATAGTATTATAAGATAAATATATAGTATTACATATACAGTATATAGTATTATATAATATATTAATTATATAATATATAATTTCATATATAATATCACATATAATATCATATAAATATCCAACACCAGACCTCACCAAACCAAGCCCCATCCTGCGCCCCTCCTGCGGACGTAAAGGTTGACGCCACACCCAGGCCCACCGCCAGTCGCAGGATCATCAAATGCTCATAGCCAGAAGCAAAGGCTACGCCAGCTATGCCTGGACCACTGGACACGTCAACTGGTGGTGGTTTTCTTCGCCAAGGTTTCCTGAAAAAATATTGGAGTTAGTTATTGAAGATCATCCAATTTCGATAAAAGGAGAGTTTAAACTCAAATATCCTTTGAAATCTTTGAAACTAACCATTTATGCACTTTGTGCATTCATGGTATAGAATTTAGAGGAAAGCAATGGTTTTCCTGTAGGAATCAAAGTTCCACCCAAGAGTGCTGTAGCACCCTTTGGTTATCAAACGTGGCAATGGGAAATCCCTGAAATCCACTATAAATGGAGCTTTCAAGTCGATCCGAAAATCATCCATAATTTTTTGGGGATTTTCCGTTTCCATATGTTTCCATGGTTGATGACCGGAGGGTATGTGAAATTTGGAGCAAATTCCCCAGCCATTCTGGGGCGCTTAGAATCCTGAGCCATAGCCTCAACGAACCTCCAAATCTATCAGGTGTTGGTCAGGTTTGTCAGGTTTCAGCACTTGAAAGCCACGGGTTGCAATGGTCCTGGTCTGTGCCTAGGCCCTCCCTTTGTATCCATAAAAATGGTGTTTTACCCGAGTAACTTTAGTACATTTATATACTTTACCCTAACTTTTACCATCATTTCTTGGTGGTATTTAGAATCCCTCTGAAAAAGGGTGTAGAATAGTTTTTGGAATTGTTTTTGCCTCAGGTGTTGGATTTGTTTTTGGTTTTCTTTCCCGGTACCATTTGCCTTGTATTTGCAACAGTTTGGAACTAGAACCTGTCGTTTTGCATGATATTTGCTACATTTTGGCATGGTCACTTTGCATTTCGCATAGCATTTGCTACATTTGGCCATGTTTGCCTTCCATTTTGCATGGTATTTGTCATATTTTGGCATTTCAACCCCTCATTTGCATGGTATTTGCTACATTTTGGTGCTTCAAACGTTCATGTGGGTCTCTTGAAGGTTCTTTAGGCTTTCATTTAGGGTTTCATTTAAGGTTTCATTTAGGGTTTCATTTAGGGTTTTATTTAGGGTTTTATTAAGGTTTTTTTTAGGGTTTCATTTAGGGTTTCTTTAGGGTTCGGGTTTCTTTAGAGTTTCATTCAGTGTTTTTTCCGGTTTCATGTAGGGTCTCTTATCAGGATTTCTTATCAGGAGTTCTAAACGTTCAAATGGGTTTCTTTAGGGCTTCTTTAGGGTTTCATTTAGGGTTTCTTTAGGGTTTCATTTAGAGTTTCTTTAGGGCTTCTCTAGGGTTTCATTTACGGTTTCACTTAGGGTTTCTTTAGGTTTTCATTTAGGGTTTCATTTAAGGTTTCTTTAGGGTTTCATTCCAGGGTTTCTTATCAGGATTTCTTCTCACGATTTCAAAACGTTCAAGTGGGTTCCTTTAGGGTTCCTTTAGGGTTCCTTTAGGGTTCCTTTAGGGTTTCATTTAGGGTGTCATTTAGGGTTTTTTTAGGGTTTCGTTTAGGGTTTCATTTAGGGTTTCATTTAGGGTTTCATTCAGGAGTTCATTTAAGCTTTCTTTAGGGTTTCATTCCAGGCTTTCTTATCAGGATTTTGTTTCACGATTTCTAAACGTTCAAGTGGGTTCCTTTAGGGTTCCTTTGGGGTTTCATTTAGGGTGTCATTTAGGGTTTCTTTAGGGTGTCAGTTTGGGTTTCATTTAGGGTCTCATTTGAGGTTTCTTTAGGGTTTCATTTAGAGTTTCTTTTGAGTTTCATTTAAGGTTTCTTTAGGGTTTCAATTTAGGGTTTCATTCAGGAGTTCATTTAAGTTTTTCTAAGGGTTTCATTCCAGGGTTTCTTTAGGGTGTCAATTAAGGGTTTCAGCTAAGGTGTCAGTTAAGGTTTCATTTAGTTTTTTTTTCAGAGTGTTGTTTAGGGTTTCTTTGGGATGTCATTTGGGGTGTCATTTAAAGTTTTTTTAGGGTTTCATTTATGGTTTTTTTAGGAATAATTCATGATTTCTTCAGGGTTCATTTATGGTTTTTTTAGGGTTCATTTAGGTTTTCATGTAGGGTTTCTTATCAGGATTTCTTTAGGGTTTCTTTGGGTTTCACCTAGGGTCTCTCTAGGGTTTCATTTAGGATACAAACAGAACCGAATAAAGCAAAAGAACATGAAAAACAAAGAGACAGTAAACACAGGAAGCAAAGAAGCAAAGGAGCAGGAAGTAGAGCAGCAAAAACACATGACTGAAGAAAAGAAAAAGTAGAATAGTAGAAGTAGAAAGGCACAGAAGTACAAAAGCAGAGAAGCAGGGAAAACAGAGAAGCAGAAAAGCAAAGAAGCAGGAAAAGCAAAAAGCAGAAAAGCAGAGAATCAGGAAAAGCAGAGAAGCAGGGAAAGCAAAAAGCAGAAAAGCCGAGAAGCAGGAAAAGCATAGAAACAGGAAAAGCAGAGAAGCAGGGAAAGCAAAAAGCAGAAAAGCCGAGAAGCAGGAAAAGCAGAGAAGCAGAAAAGCAGAGAAGCAGGAAAAGCAGAGAAGCAGAAAAGCAGAGAAGCAGAAAATCAGAGAAACTGGAAAGCATATATAGAACCAGGAACCCCCCAAAAAATCCAAAACCTGCCGCGAAAAAAAATCCAAAAATAATAGCCCTCCTCTGAAAAATGTGAAAGTCAGTTGGGATGGTTATTCCCTATATATAATATATATATATATATATGGAAAGTCATAAAATTCCATGGTTCCAGTCAGCACCAACCAGAGAAGCTCTGAGGTGATCTTTTTTGGGGTCAAAAAAACACCCCCTGCCCCCCGCCGGATTGATGTCAATCAAGTCACCGGTTCCGATGGACATCAGACCACCCACCAACAGAGCTTTGCGGCCGTAGGCCTCCGAAAAGATGGACGATGGAATATTTCCACAGAGCCTCAACGCCAAGGTGCCATGACTGGCAAACGAGGCATGGCTTAATGTTCAAATGGGTAGGAAATGCATGGAATGATTCAGTGGAAAGAACTGACTTATCAAACTATCAAATGTTCATTGAAGCAAAAAAAAGGTGGGAATATCAAATCATTTGGTATTTTTGATATAGACAGATATATATTTCCACCATCCCTGTTCTCCCTGTTGAAATCGTTGGTCGTTTTGGTCTCATTGGCTCGCCATCCAGCCATGGCAATTCCACTATTGGATTGGGACCGATCTGATGAAATCGGCGGACATCGTGAAACGAGCAACCATCCAAGAAGAGAGAAACTGAACGCCTTCACTGGATTGGTTTAAGGGAACATCTACAGTAAACAATGTGTTTTTTCCTATGAAATATGGGTGGTTCCTGCAAATTTTCCCTTAAACCAATCCATTGAATATAGTCTGAAATGGCAGCCCGTTTTTTTTTTTCGTATCTCTTTGCTGGTTACGACATCCCCAATCTCCTCATCTCCAGTCGAGGCGGCTTGGCCATCGCAAAGGCCGTCGTCAGGGTGCCAAACTGCAGTTGCGACATGCCAAAATGTTGGATCAAGGTTGGTCCCATCCTCAGATGTTTCGAGGTCGCTGGACTGTGGACCATGGAGGGAATTCAGGGAATGGTGACGGGGGAGAATGGACTATAACATTCAACATCCCAATTTTTACATGATTTTGATCATGTTCATTCATATTATCACATAGGATCCATGTATGCTATATATGGTAACATTTACCATCAATATACCCCAAATGTTAGCATATATATACCATACATGGATCCTATGGGTATTGTGGTTGTGTTTTATATTTTCTAATGGGTATGATAGGAATCATTGGAGGTATAGGAACCATTAGCACCCAACTGCCCTGCTTTTCGGTGCCGAGGTGCGGAAAGGTGACAGAGAAGCCACCAAAAGCAATGCCTTAAAAGGTGCCAAGGGCGGAAAATCGAGGGACCTTACTTTTCGGATTTGTTAACTTAAGGTAACTTATAATTATCATATATATATATAATCTATGTTTCTTACTTATCTATTATTATGATGACTTGATGATCATATATTATCATGATTATTATTACTCACAGACCCCGTGGTTTGCCTGGACTGCAACATTGAGGATTCCCTGTCGTCGAACATGAGAAAACAAATTGTTTTCGGATGCAGAGTTTGCAGGGTTTTAGGGTTGAGGATCATAGGGTTTTAGGGTTTAGGGTTCGTCGTCTGGTAAATACCAAAACACTGGCCCTGCGCAGGTTTTTGAGCATGTCGAAGGATAATATTTGAACTCCATTCTAACCTTGCGGGCAAACCATAGGGTCTTGCCTTATTACTATGATTCTTATTATCCATTATTAGTCTACTATCAATAATTACTATGATTATTACCTATGATGAATATATATATATATATATTGCGTATTAAAAAAATGATTATGATTATTATTATTATTCATATTCATATTTTTCACAATATGGTTGTTATCATTGTTCCCTACAGGTATCATGAAATTATAGGTATACCATATTTAAGGTTCCCCTCCATGTTGTGGTTGTTAAATGGAGGGAACCTTCTATTCATCAACAAATCAGTGGGGGATCTTGACACGTTCATGAGGATTCAACCAGCTCTAATGGAGCGGGATATGTTTAGCCTATTCAACCAACTACATGGGGATATACCTACAATGTATATATATATATTATATAATATATTATATATAATATAAAATAAACTAGTATATAATATAATAAAATATACTGTAATATATTATAATATAATATGATATAATATGATATAATATAATATATTATCTATATATAATAAAATATAATTTAATATAATATAAAATATTACAATATTATATTATATTATATTACATTATATTATATCATATTATATATAATAAAGATATAATACAATAATTTATGTGTATATATATATGATATAATAATTTATGTATAATAAATTATGTATATATATATATATATATCGCACACCCCCCAAAAAAAACGAAGAGTTGATAGATAGATGGCTTCAAATGATAATTCAACCAACAAAATCGAGGGATATTTTGGGATAACCCGGTAACCCGACTCCGATGACCGCCCCCAAAAAAAAGTTTGGCGGCTGAGTAACCATCAACAACCACGGCTATGAAGGATGGTTCAACATCATTTTTTTGGCGGTCACCTATGGGGAAGCAATCATAGACATGCTAATTAAACATAGGGCAAGTGACGCAGCAACAATGGATGGCTTCAGATTCTCTCAATCGTCGTTATTGGTTGATGATATAACAAGGAATCGTCCCAAATAGAATGCAACAAAAAAAAGTGCAGTAAACCACCAATCAGTACCCTTTGATAATTTAACATAGCTATGGAAAATGGTCATTCACATAGTTGATTTACCTATTAAACATTGTGATTTTCCATAGCTATGTTAAATTACCAAGCAGTAAAACCATTTATCATTGACCCCATGCGTTCATCCCTTCCTCAGAGTTACCGATGGCGATTGCAAGGGCATACCTGGGCGTTGTAAACTGCGAAGAAGGCCCCGGGGCCTTCTAAGAGATATCAAGAGAAGAGCTACTGCACCAATTTGTTGCAAATGTGGTTCAACAGCTTTGATCAAGGGAAGTCTATTTTTTTTTAGAATTGAAGACTTTGAGTGCGTCAATTTCAGTAGCAAGATGCGAACAGAGTATCCCTTGTCTTTGGGATCCGGTTCCTAAATTGGAGATGAGCAGTCCATGGACAGCACCCGCCTATTCCGGAGACCTGCTAAAACAACTACCCTCTGGCTATTTAACATAGCCATGGAAAATCACCATTTTTAATAGGTAAACAATCTATTTCCACGGTCCATTTGCCATGCCTATGTTAAATAACCAGAGGGTAATTCAAACTATAAAATTCTACAGTAATTCTTCAAATTGCATTAGGTTCATTGCAATGTAGTGACGCGTCAAATTTCGACTCACCCATCAAATCATCAACCATGTCATATCTGTTTGTAGGCACAACCACCTAAATATATCTATCTATCTATCTATCTATCTATCGATATACATCCTTTCAGAAATGACACTTACCCATGAGATGAACGCACATTGTCATGTCTGCTGGTCTGCGAAGAAAGGCAAAGATATGATCCTTCCTGGTTCAAGGATAGCAAGGTTCCAAGGTCTTTCTTTTCAAAGTTCAATCCACCCTGGTACTTAAAAAAGTAAGTAAAACATGTTTTGAAAACAGGAAGGTTTACATCCCAAAAATGAACACATGTTTTGAATGTTTTGCTATCTTCGTTTCGCCAATGTGTCCATGTAAAATATATCAAATATTATATCTCAAGTTGATCGTATTATATAGCTCCCACTATCATCATACATACATATATATATATAATCCTATAGAATATAATTGTTCAACAATGCTCAACATCATATGCACCACCCATCATTGATTCATCATATACAGTCGCAAACTCACTCAAATTCCGGTAACCTACTTAAAAAGGCCCGAGCCGCGCCCGACGGTCTACAGGAGAAGCCATGGAGAGCACAGCTTCTTCGAACTCTTTGAAATTCAAAGCCCCGTCCTTGCCACGATGGTACCTGGCCACGCGCCTGGGTATGTTCAGTATTGGATCAATTGGGGTCCCATATGGTCTCCCAAAAAAGAGAGATGTTTTTCATGAGTGGGAGAAGAAACTTATCATATGGAAAACCACCCCAAAAAAGGGAGAAACGTTCATCAATATTTGTCACTGCTTATCACTAGTTTAGGATTTCATACTGCCAGTTATCACTATTTATCACTATTTATCACAGTCCTATCAATATTGTTTTTTTCCTATATATATATATATTTATACATGTCACATTATATCACCATATCACTGGCTTATCAATATGTGTCACTTGTTATTACTATCTTAGGATCAAATGTTGATTGGATCATGTTGACTGGAAATCCATAACTATAATAGTCTATAATATCCAATCAAATCCAATTATATAATATCAATTGTTCTCAATATTTATCAATACATATCAATCCCTATGGATCCAGCCATATCCAGCCGTACGAGTACCTTCTTAGGAAGTGGGACTGGGGTATAATTTGGAGGGTGATTTGTACCTTCTCAGACAGTGGACATGGATCCATAGGGAATAGTTATCCTGGTTGGTGGTTTCCACCCCTCTGAAAAAAAATGCTCGTCAGTTGGGATGATGACATTCCCAATATATTGAAAGTCGATCCAAATTCCATGGTTCCAAACCACCAACCAGTAATCCCATTAACCATTATTAACCATTATTAACCATTATTAACCATTATTAACCATTATTAACCATTATTAACCATTATTAACCATTGATATCCATTGATAGTTATATCCATAGGGAATAGTTATCCATATTTATCACTAGTCATTCAGGTCTGGCTTGGCGCCCGATCCGCTGAGTTGGATGGTCAACACACCTATTGGAGGACCGAGCTGAAAAATTCTCAGATAAACCACCACCATTGGAGGATCCAAAAAGGATAGAAAATCCCATGAAAATTCCTAGAAAAGTGGTCGTGAATTGCTGAATTACTTTCAAAAACATGCTGCCTACTATTAAAAAAAACAATCCATTCTGGGGATTCTGACTGATAAGTTTGACCCATATCCATAGCAAGTGATCAGGCTGTCCAAACATTTGGTCAGAACACACTGCCATCGTTGCTGCTAATATCCCATAGCACATCCGTATATCACCCAGAGATATCCAAGGAGTATCTCAAAAACCAACAATTTCCAGTTGCTCCCCACATATCTCCATCGTTGTTTATCCCAACATGGAAAAAACAAGCCAAAGTTCAGTGGTCCACCATGGTCCACCATTCTATTACTTACGTATTATAAACATGCCAGAAGTTGGGGTATAATTCAGTTTTGGAGCAACCAAAATGATAAAGTCTGCGGAGCTCTGGATATGATCTCTTGACTTTACCATTCTTGTTGGCTGTTTTCCCCAATTTCGTGCTGGTTCGGATCTGAAAAAAGCTGCCTGATTTAGCCAGTAAGTATCCAAATTGGTTGTATTTGGTTCATATCCCAGATAGTTCACACGCAGGCAAAAAACAACAAACACATATATATATATATCTGGTTGGTGGTTTCAACCCCTCTGAAAAATATTAGTCAGTTGGGGATACTATTCCCAATAAATGGAAAAATAAAAAATGTTCCAAACCACCAACCAGCATATATATTTATATATATATATACATAAGTGTTTACTTTGTTACAGTAAATATTTGACTTGCCAAGAGCCCACATTAATATGTTTTGATGATCGATCGCCACATTTTTATACACCCACTCCTGTGGAAAAATCCCCAATGCTTGCCGGTTGAGTCCCAACTTGCTGCCATGTTGGCAGGTTTCAACTGGTGAAATCCCCTGCATTTGAGCTGCTTGAATCCTAATGCATCCCCATACAGGTCTGTCCGAATATTATCCCACAATTTCATCATAAAAATTAAAAAAACATTGATATCCCATTGTATCCAGTCATATCCCCTACTTTATATACCGGCTCCAATTTCAACATGGTGTCTTGTCCCATTTTGTTCACTATGTTTGACTACCTTTAGCATTTCTTTAGAGGGGTAGAGGGTCATCTGGTTGGTGGTTTCAACCCCTCTGAACTATATGAGTCAGTTGGGATGATGATTATTCCCAATATATGGAAAGTCAATCCAAATTCCATGGTTCCAGCCACCACCAACCAGGTCATTTGTTGATGGTCTGTCAAAAAACGGGATTTCTATGGAGTTTCCCCCCAACAAAAAGGCGAATCGGCGCGAATCGACGCGAAAAAAAACGACGCGCACGTGGTCAAGAGGGCGTCCACGGCTCTGTCCAGTTCCTCTTCCGTGGCATGGTGCCCTTTGACCTGGACAGGTGACATCTGGTGACCACTGGGGATGGACATCGGAACAAAAATGTGGAGAAAAACCATGGGACAATGATTGATAGATTTCACCAGCATGGGGATTTGAAAAAGGGATTGGCTGATGAAACTTGGGGCCCACATTGTGGCGAGGCTGGCAAAACCTGAAGCGGGTTGACCAGTCATCAGGGATACCATCCACTAGAACGGTGAATCAATGGCAATTTAAGTGATGCTTCTTTCAGCATAAACATCAATTAAAACCACAGTCATAGGCATTTAAGTACAGTATCTTACCTAAAATTGGGCAACGCATTGAAAAGGGACATGTTACTCATGAAGAGGTCCTTGATCATCCCCTTCCCTTAAGTCAATGAACACCATCTCAGAAACCGTGGCTCACAAACGTGATGTTTGTTGGTCTATAAACCGCATGAATACTATAGTTATAAGTTATAAGCATCATAAACCATATAGTTATTGGACTTACAAACCAACTTGGTTATCTAGGGCCCCACTTTGTAAATATGTGATCTATGAAATAAATTTCATGTTGATCATAATTTTCCCTATATTGGATTATATATTGGAATTGCCATAAACAGTGGGTGTTCCCCCATGTCAAAATCATATCAAGTTGCATATCCAATTATCACCATTATACCACCAGTTTGTCCCAAATATATTCCAATTATTATCCCAATTACTGTATGTTATTAATTAACCCAATTCACAAATTTTATCCCAAATATATTCCAGTACTGCATATCCCCATATTTTGTTGGTATCCCCACAAAACATCTCTGAAATCACCTGAAAAACCTAGGCCTCCGCCATGAGAAGTCTCAGCTCCGAAGCGCACAGTGTTCCTGGATCACCACGTGGGCCCCTCCTGTTACCCAGATTTACATAGTCCAAAAAACTCTCAGTTTGTAGCCACAATTTTGTGGTGGTTTATCCCATTTATCCCATAAGAACTATCTACTGTTACCCTTTTTTTGGGAAATGGCTGGAGGGTCAAAAGGTAATTACGGCCACAAAGAATTGAACTAGTCTGTACAAAAACTGATCGTGGGCAGGAAAAAAAGCAATCTCGGACCAGAAATCTGCCTGTCTACCCTTGTGTCTATATGGAAAACACATGGAAAACACATGGAAAACACATGGAAAACACATGTTTCATGGGTATGCTACGTATGCAGGGACATAATTTTTACGGGATTTAAGCAAAAACAAGGACCCCAGGGGGATTCACGAAAACACGGACATAACTCCAATTAAGAAAAATCACCAGATTGGAAAGTATAATTCCAATGAGTCACATATAATACTATACATGCATAGATTAGAAATGATTAGAGTCCAATGTGAAAAACATGCATATAAATATAAATATATATATGATATATGATATATGATATTTATATATATATGATCATACTATCCATGGATAACTCCATGTACCCTCCGGTGACATAAATATGGACCATTGCACATTTAGTTCCGTGATTCACCTGACTAAACTGGCCAGAAGTAGCACCTGACTGATCCACATCTAGGCGTTCAAAGGCCTTTCTCAGCTCCTGGCTTTTCAGTTGACTTTGGAACATGTTTTTCTGGTCTCCATCTCATTTATGTATATTAATTATTATATATATATATATAATTGTTTCTATATACAATATATGGGACTATATGATAAATCTTGGAGTGAAAGTCGCAAACATTGGCATTAAGCAAAAAACATTTAAGTAACTAACTAATCTCTCGTTGCAACTCACGAAAATTGAAGGTGAATGGCTAAGAAGGTTATACAGTAGATACCTGGCTTTGCAAGACATCAAATATATTCGAATATGATGTGTTGAATCTCCCAATTGCTTGATACATTCTGCCTGATTTCTGAGCCAATCCACTTGAAACTAGCTGCTGGCTATTATCCCGCCATTTCGGGATGATTCTCCTCCATCGAACCTCTGAAAATCACCATTTTTTGGTCGGTAAATCATCTATAAATTTGAGGCCATGACTTCCATACCAAACGCTTAAATTGCCAAAAACTATTTCACCAATATTCCATTAATATACCACATACCACTCATATTGTATAATTATATCATATCATGGTAAATTACAACATTTTCACGAACCTGAAATAAGGTCAAAAGGCCATGTTGTGGGCTACAAAAACCATGGTGAACCAGTGAGGTCAAAGGTCTGCGACAAAGTTACACTGCCATAATTTTACCACCCGGACTGGGAATGGTAACCATACCACCTATGGCAATTTATGGTGAAACATGGTGAAACATGGTGAAACATGGTGAAATTGGGGATGGTTCGGGATGGTTTATTGTCCTCGGGCTGTGCGCTGGCCACTCTCAACGCCTGGAGAGATTGGAGAAGGTTTCCTCAGACCATGCAAAACATAGGGGGGGGAAAAGAACTGGCTCATCTGAGATGTAATGATATGATTCAATGATGATTTTTCATGGTCTTTTAATGGTGATTTAATGATGATTTAGTGGCGATGTTAAATTGATTTAATGGTGATTTAATGGCGATTTAACGGTGATTTAACGGTGATTTAACGGTGATTTAACGGTGATTTAACGGTGATTTAATGGTGATTTAATGATGATTTAATGGTGATTTAACGGTGATTTAACGATTTAACGGTGATTTAACGGTGATTTAGCCGTGATTTAATGGTGATTTTATGGTGATTTAATGGTGATGAATGGGATAATTCACGAATTGGTATAAGGATTAGTTATCATGACTGGGTTTCCGAAGTCACGTGGGTTACCCCCAAATCATCCAAGTCATGGATGACCATTTTAGTGTTGAAACGTATGGTCTTGGGGATCCTCCATGACTTCAGAAACCCCCGAAAAAGAACATGTGAGAAGATAGTGAGAAAATAACACATCCCCATGAACCGCAAAACCTATAGAAACAAAAAAACAAAACTGTGGCCTCTCTCTCAGTCAAAGCTCCGAAATCCCATTGAAGTACATATTAAATATGGAACTAGGTATTGATAAATATTAATAGGATTTAATAGGGACAATCATGGATTTTCCATTGCTGGAAGATAAATGAATCATCATGGCTTCTATATATTAAGCCACTGGTAATCAATCATGGAACTACATATGAAATGAATTTAAATGATGCCCTCTGGTAATGACTAACAGTTTGCTATTGAAAATGGCCCATAGAAATAGTTGAATGACCTATTAAAGATGTTGACTTTCCATATAGCTATGTAAATGAATCCAAGTTTTTGTAGCTGTGAATGGTAATCCCCCTATGTAAGTATAGGGTTTATATAGGATCTATTCACATAAATAGGATCTAATGGGATGTATCCTGATTTATGGGATCTTTTCTAGGATTTATATGGGAAACAACACCATAAATGTCCATCAATATGGGATTGGGATTTATGGATTTAAATGGATTTATACTGATTGTTAAGCCTTAATGAAGACTTAACACATAAATATGGGATCTCAATAAGTTTCTGATCCATCCCAATTTTCTGAGACCCATAAAGCTCGGTTACGTCTGCAGCTGGTTTTTGCAACTGGCTGACAAATCCCCCCAATCTACTTCAGTTACTTCAATGCAATTTTTCCGCTGGACCTATAAACTACTGGATATCTCCATTTCATAAAAAACAAGTTATACCAAGTTTTCAGTTTCCATGTTAAACATCTCATTTTTCATAGCTTTTTTTATATAAAAAGCTGGGTTTCTAACCCACCCTCCGTTTCTCCGTTTCGAAAAATGCGACGGATGTCTCCCTGGTCCCGTTGCGGAAGATGGTCGGTTACCGTGCGACGGACACCTGGATAAAACTCCTCGGAGGGATGATCAACGCCAGCTCCTGTTTTCGACGTCACGGTGCGGGGGTTTTTAGATCTATAAATCCCAGCTATATGACATGTTAGTTATGTATATTACATCTTGGTTTTGAATATGGTTTAAGAGAGATTTATTAAAATCACGATTTTTATATTGCAATGATGAAGTACAATTAAGTTCCTGTATATTGTATAGTATAGTCTGTATAATTATATATATATAATATAAGTTGTAAGATGTTGTTATAAGTATCATCAACCATAGTGACTTGCCTCCCACGGGGGCCCTGGCTGTGTGTTCCAGGCCGGTTTTGGCCGGTTTTTCTTCTCCAGGTGTGGTTGAAAAGGGGCGAAGCCGGCGAAGCCCCAGAATCCAATGGGAGCAATCAGTTTTCAGCCATCTAAGGTTGGTATCATCAGTTCATCAGTTGGTTTACTCAGTTTACTCATCACTTTTTTTTCAGTTGCGATAAAAAAAATCGAGTGGTTAGAGGGGAGCAATTTGGAGCTATGGGTATGAATATATTCCCTATTAATTAAATGTGGAGCTAATGAGCTACCAAGAGTTTCCCAACCCCATACGAGTATACTACTATACCAATTACTTTTTGGGATTCCAGATAGGAGATGGCGTTGCTACCAAATCACGATAGATGGGTTTACTAGAAATCTACCTTAACAATCATCACTATAAGTTGCTGTTGCTATACTACTAATCACCTTTTTCAGGTAGCAATTTTCAAATCCATCTCTTTCCAGATTCCCAGTCTGACCAGTCCCTCCCGAAAGCTCCTCTGAACTCAGGCTCAGGGTTTGCTGATCATCATTTGACGCCTCAAGATATGCAGGATGGCAGGATGCGGATGCAGCTTCTGGTGGGAAATAAAGGCACCAAGGCGCCATCTCGTGGGATCTATTGAATGGGATCTATGGATGATTGATGACTAGTTGATGAATGAATTGATGATCATTGTCACGTTGATGTTATTTCTTTGGCTTTATCTGAAGAAGTTGAAAACCCCCGAACTCACTGGCTCATTGCATTTTTCCACCATCACCTAAGGTTGAAATCACCAAAAGTGGAACGTGCACCAACCTCTGTACAATTCCCACAGTGACACAGCCATCAGGAATCAGTGGACTGGCTGAAGAAAAGTTTATGTTGAAGCTGAATCATCTGTGGCAGTATTTAATGTCTTTTTTTTTACGGTTCATGTCTCTTAGTGTATTTCAACATGTTAATCTATAATGTGGTTTTCCAGCAATAGTGTTTACTATTCCCAACTTTACCATACATGGGGGGTATAAACCATCAACATATTGGTGGTTTATTATTGCTTTACCAACATTAGCAGCTGCATGTTGGATCACTCTCTGCGCTAACTAAGTAACTTGGGAGAAATCCCATTTCTGGGGGGCCTTGGCCCCCATCGATCGCTAGCGGAACTCACGAAACAATACCAGCTATACCATACGATAACAGGTTGTAAACCCCCAAATACACCAAAGAAAACACAAAAAAATACATGTGGTAATTATTAGCCATAGATCCCAACAAATCATCGTTCATCATGAAAAATCATCTAAAATCCATTATAACTGATGGTTTAAAAAAGATCAATGATATTGTATATCCATTATATATATTGACCATATGACTTTACAAATAAATCACCATATTATATCCCCTCCTAGTAAAGTTTACCATAGCCATGGGTTGGGCGACTCTTCCCAGCCTCGCTGGCGAAGCTTCGCCGGAGGAGACCCAAGCGCACGCGCACAGGCGGCGCTGGGATCTTCGTCGGACGACGGAGCCAGGCCTTCTGAAAGGACGGTGGGCCCTCCATGTTTTCACAGAAAATATGGATTGATGGATTATGGTTTGTACAAAAATCATAGAGTTTGTAGAACTCCCTACGTTAACAAATGGAGACCCAGTTTTTCAATGGTGAATTTATTGACGTTTGATATGATTATGGGTCAAAAAAAAACTGATCACCTTTGTACACTAAAATAGCTGGTATAGCTGGATGGTTCTTCCTCCAGTCATATGGTAGATTCGAATTGGTTTTGGCCCATCCCCATATGGTGAATTGTTGGCTGATCCCAAAGAAATCTTAAGATTTTTCCAGAGTCTGGGACAAGGAAAGATATGGAATATATACAAATGTGTACAAAAAAATGCGCAGAGTACAAGATAGTAGAAGTGGATACAAATGGGGTATAGATGGGTTGCTAACATCTGATCATACTTCAACCCCCCCTCTTGTTGAAAGCGTCACTTGAGGTGATTGCAAGCCACAAGGGAGACATGCCTACTGCAACTTCCCCCTTGGGATGCCAAAAACCATTGCCACACGCGTCGAGTCAACTTACAGTAACTTGCGACCATTCAGTTTTGTGAACCTGAAAATCAAACTTTGTGAATCTGCACAACTTCTTGCACAGCCAACCGGGCTGTAAAAGTTCCAGTGTGCTGCCTGCCGATTGGCCAACAGCAGCCGCCCACATCTCGCGCGAAACATGGCGAATGCTGTTGCTACCGCTGGCTGTTGAAATTTGAAGTGAAAAGGTTGGCTGCTTGGTGTGGGGGGCTACAGCGGCTACATCTTGGAGTGGCCCGTCATCCAAAAGTTTCTGGAATGCTTTCACCCCAAGTTTGCAGGGTTGATTTGTGAGGCTGCGACAACAAATTTGGTGATCTGGACCACAGATTGACCACCGTTCTTGATCTTAAATTATCTCAAATTCAAACATATCAAACATTCAATTTGATCAGGTGTACTGGAGCAACATCTCGACAGTTGTTCATAATATCAGCACGAAAATGCCTTTCTCAATCCATGGACCATCATTGGTGCTTTCCCATGAAATCTCTGTCTGTTTGTCTCAAGCTCAGCGGCGTCGAAACCCATGGATTTCCTCTGCACCAGGCTGTTGAAATTGTATCTCAAGTTGGACCAAAGCATGTGATTATGCCAGTTGAGGCATTTTGGTGCCTGTAGTCTCGTTCAAAACACCAGCCAATTTTCAACGCAGGTGATGTCCTGACCCAAGCAACAGTAGACAGAAGGTAGGGCAGGCTTGAGGATTTCAAGTGAGTTATCCACAGCCCCTTTTTTGGCACCTCAAACTCCTTACAAATTCCCATGTCACCATAACCTGCAGCCAGCAACCTGCAGCCATTGGAGCAGCCATAGTCCCAAGATTTGTTGATTGGGCCCCAGTGCTATCCCGGTATCCCCAGTGGTTTATAGTTGTTCATCCCAAACTTCATGGGGGAACCCAAAAATCTGGATTTCAGCTGACATCGTGACCTCGATTGGATTGGATTCGAATGATTCGACTTTGTGACTAAACACGCTACCATGTTACGTGACCATGCTGAATATGGCTCAATCATGCTGACGTCATGATATATTCAGAATTGGTGAAGTATTTTCAACCCTCAACAAGACATGAGTCATAAGGAACAAAGTCCTATATCTCTTTAGGGTTGGAAACGAAACACTATGATACTATGTCTTTGCTAATAAATGTGCCGTGAAATCGAGCTTCTCGTTCTGGAGCCTATGAGTTGCAGGAAATCCCTACTTTTGATGCAGAAAAGTCCTTGGATTTGCTTCAGGAACCCCCCAAAAAAAACCAAGTTGCGTGGATTTTCCATGGGGAAAATCTTCAAATAAAATCGATGTCGGCACCCACCCCAGTGATGTAATTGTTTATTGCTTAGTTTTTCAAAATCCCATAGTAATACTACAGTATACTAAGTATCTCAGCCATTTTGTAGTGATGTTCACCAATAGTATGGCCATCAGTTATGAATCCCATGAAAAATCCTGATTCTCTTGCTGATTAAATCACCGTTTCTTATGGTTTTTCGAAACAACACGGCCCCCCCCTTTTGCGACGTTTACGAAGTCTTTTTCGGCTCCAGGGTGAAATTCAGATTCCGCCGGAGCCTCGGTTGATAGGCAATTCCAATAGGGAAAATGATGATCAACATGGAATTTTCATTAGATCATATACTATCATATACTATCATACCCATAGGATCCATGGTGCTGCTATATATGGTAACATGGATCCCATCAATATACCCCCTTTATGTTAGCATATATACCAGCACCATGGATCCTATGGGATATACTATCATATACTATCATATACTATCATATACTTACAAAGTAGGGCCCGCTAGATTTCCAAGCTGGTTTTGAACTCCAATTTTTCTATGGTATTTGCTACTTATATTTGTAGTTTATGGGGTATAAACTAACTTTTAAATTGGGGATCCCAAGTCACCATGGTTGTTTCAAGTGGCCCGCTGGCGAGTAGCCCAATAAGCAGTTCTCAAAGTTAGTTTATACATGATCATAATATGACAATTTAATATGAGAATCCAATACAATATTAGTTATTGACCAATATAGTCCAATTATAAGAATGATAATAAGAGTGATGCTAGTTATTAATGCTAGTAATAAGAGTATTAATAGTAATATTATTGTTTAATATTGTTTAAACAATCAAACATATATACATAGTAAACCTAGTAACAATAGTAATAATAGCAACAATCGTATTAACCGTAATAAGCAATCACACAATCATTGTAATATATTAAAAGATACGATGATCTAACCCCATATCACTTCAACAAAGCTAACCGAGGATCCCCCCACGTGTCCCCCAGGTGTCCCCGGCAACGCATTAGTCGCCCGGGTGTTCTTCGCAATGAGCACCGCTTGTTCGTGGCAGAAACGCAACTCGTACAGCTTGGAAAGGCCACTGCTCCTGCTCGGCTACGGGATTTTCTCACCAACTGGGCCCCTTAGAATCCTTCGAACTTACAAAAAACATCCCAAAAAACACTTTAATAAAACAGATTGCAAGTTGGTGTATCCCAAACTCCCATGAATTTTCACATGATGTGAAGATTTTCATATCAGCTAGTCATCAAGCTACAGGGATGTAGAAAACCACTGCTCAGCTGGTTTACCCTTTGGTAATTTGTTACAGGTTGCCATGTAAACCATGGCCAATGTAGTTCGATGATCAATCTCTATGAATACTGAGTATTTTCCAATTCGCAAAATGTATCATACGGATGTGTAGTTATACCCCCATTATGCTCCCTATATGTCCCCATGTTGGTCGGTTAAATCCCATTGCCCTCCGGTCGTTTTTCACATGGCAACTGAAAATCCACCATTTTCTTCGATGCTTTCCTAGAAAGCTGCATGGCTAATTCGGGGATTTTCAGTTCATGTTAAGTTCATATTATCAAACACGCTCTATTCATCACTACCCACCCACATTCCAAAAAATGTTTCGCAATACTACTTTAGGTTGGTCACTCCCTATTGATAAACATGTGCGAAAAACACCCTTCTGGAAATCCTATTTCTTATCTGTGGTGGGAAAGTAAATGGGTTCGGATGTTTCTCACCTGATGGTTCTGGTGCTGGTTTGAAAGTGATGCAAGATACAAATGGTTCAGGATGGAGGAGATGCTTTATAATCATTGCAATACATATGTATGTATACATGTATATATACATATATACATTGACATATGATTATATAGAATTATATAGATATATTGAAGGTTCAAGGCACAAAATCCCCAAAATCCAGGAAAATGCCAAAATTTCTGATTGGGAAAAAATGCATGTTCCTGTTTACTTTCTTATTCAAAAAAACAAAAACATGTTGAGCAACTCACAAAGGGTACCCCTTTAAATTATGTGCATCTGCACCCCCAATTAAAAAACACCCTCAGCTCCTTTACTTATCAAGGAAAATCAGTTGAAAGTAAATTAATTTCAATTGACATCCTTATTTATGTTCTAAATTTAAAAGGAAAATCTCCCCCCATTGGGAGGGAGGTTGCCACTGAAACGAGAAATCTCGACCCATTGGCAGGTTGATTGTTTTTTTTTTTAATGTATGACAAGCCTTAGTGTTTTAATTAGGGGGGACTCTTACCTTCTAGGGGGGTTATTAACACGAACTTGCCATTAGCTATGTTTGATGACACTGGAGGAGTGCATCAATTAATACAAGCATGATCCAGATATATCCCAATCAATTCTCCCTATACGAAAAGCATACGAAACTGCCATGAATATCCCTTTCTGTGGGTAAAAATCAACAAACATAAACTATCCCCAGTCATCACCATTTTTATATAATCTTATATATAGGTGGTATAACGTTACTTACCATTCCTCCATTCCCAGTCCGGGTAAAAATGGTGATGGCATTCCCACATTCCCACAGCAAGTTGGCTTCATCCCGAACCACCGGGGGATCTCCTCAGAAACTTCCTCCAGTCACTTGGGGGTGGACGATAGCGCCCATCATTCAGCTGCAACTGGCGGAGGATCCGCGGAGGATCAACGGCAGCATGAAAACAATACCTGGTTAATGGTTAATGGTTAATATGTGGTTAATATTTGGTTAATATATGGTTATAATGGTTAATAATGGTTAATATTAGTGGTTATTATTGATGGTTAATGATGGTTAATCATAATCTGGTTGGTGCAATGTGCCCATCTTGAAGAATGATGGAGTGAAAGTCAATGGGTTTCGGATGACATCCCATATATGAAATGGAAAACAAAATGTTTGACACCACCAACCAGATACATTTATAGAACCATGAAAGAATAGTTTGCAAAACAAAATAAACTCAACGACTAGCCGACTGGTAAATAAAAGCAGTTGAACACAGAGTATGGAAAAACGGAAGAAATCTGGATTGAATCCTAAGCACATGTGATTTAACCATGAATTCAATGGTGCTGCAACATCAAAATCTGAAAATCACTGGCCAATTGGGGATGCCAATACACATCTTGCCCATGATGTCCTCAACTGGCAATATTGCTTCGGCTCCATAAACCATTTGCCACACCATTTGCCATAGTTTATCAATTCTCTATAGATATAGTAACTTCTCAACAATCATCCCAAATAACCCCCAGTTCTTAAGGAAAAACCATGATAACCATGGGGGGTTCCAGGTCCAATTGTTTCCTGAAAATATTCACCATCATTTAATCATCATTGAACAATCAGTTAATCATCATTGAGCATCATTTACCCTCTGGTAAATTAACGTAGACCCTGAAAACGCCACATTTTTAGTGGAAACTAGTCTTTCAACCCCTGTCTGCCAGGGTTTATGTTAATTTACTGGAGGGTAATCATCATTAACCATTATTAACCAATACATTAACCATGATTAACCATTATTAACCATTAGTAACCATTGATAGTTATCCATATTTATCCACTAACCATTGATAGTTATTAACCATTAACCCATGGAGAATTCTTGCTGGTCCATCCCGGTCCATAGAGTTTTTGATGATCTCCGCCTGCCAGTCCATGCGAACCACTGCCAAGGGCACTCGTCCCGATTTCAGAAGTTCCACAGCGCCTAGCACAGCGTTGCTTGTCGCGTACGTTTCAAGCTGGCTTAGCACTCATGGGATATGGATGGCTTATAACATGTGTGCAATATAAGGCAACAACTATAAACATATACCTAGACCCTCCATGTAGCCATGAAAATGATGTTGTTTCCCATAATCTTAGTACTTTTTTAAATCATGTGTTGATCTTTTTTGGTGGTATTTGGAGGGTCCCCCTAATAAACCACCCGTCATATTTCACAGAATATAGGTAAAACAACTGCGTACAGTCAAACGACAAACTCATGCCTAACTCATGCCTGGGTCAAAACTTGCTAGTAAATCACCATGGAATCGCTGTTTCAAGAAACTCATGCCTAAGTCATGCCCAAATCTTAAAACACCATGGAATCGCGTATATATAAGAAGAATGTTTCCACACTTGGGAAAATCAAATGTTCGCAAAAATCCGTCTACAGTTGCGTTCTACCGTTCATGTTTCTGGGGTTGAGAAATACTTGCCGCTTCGGTCCGCTGACTTTTTACGCTTTGCTGACTCTTTTCGCTTTGCTGCTCTCGGTCCATCAGTGGCTTCGCTCTGCCATCCGTGATTCACAACAACCAACCTCTCCTATAGGTTTCCTATTTTTGAAATCACGACGTGCCGAACGACGTCCGAACGACGTAGCAAACGACGTCAAAAAATAACAAGAAAGGCTCTCTGCCCACCCGCCTGCGGAACCACATAAGAAACTAAAACCGACACGAAGACACAACAATGACCCTTCTCACCTCCATCTCAAGCAACACGCTCAAGTGCCACAATGCCGCGTTGAGCACGCAGTGAAAAGTGAAAATGGCTGCCGCAGCACACTGGAAAGAAAAAGATAGAAACACCAACTCATCGCTACACTCACATCCAGTTTGACTTGGTATGGAAAAGGTTACTCTTGATGCTAAACGCAACCTAAACGCAAGATTTAACATAGACCCGGGCAAGCCGGCGGCGGAAGTTTCCCAAACATAAATGACCTATAGTTCAAAGACACCCTGTCCCGACCGTGTCCTTCCCTCGACACTCCACACCTCACACTGCACACTGCACTCTTCGCACTCCAAACTTCAAACTTCACACTCCACACTTCACACTTCTCACTGCTTCCTTCACACTCCAAACCTCACACTTCACACTTCACACTGCACACTTCACACTTCACAGTCCACACTTCACACTTCACACTTCACAGTCCACACTTCACACTTCACAGTCCACACTTCACAGTCCACACTTAACACTTCTCACTTCACAGTCCACACTTCTCACTTCGCATTTCACACTTCACACTCCACATTTCACACTTCTCACTTCTCACTGCTTCCTTCACACTCCAAACTTCACACTTCACACTTCGCACTCACACTTCACACTTCTCACTTCTCACTGCTTCCTTCACACTCCTAACTTCACACTTCTCACTTCGCACTTCACACTCCACACTTCACACTCCACACTTCACACTTCTCACTTCTCACTGCTTCCTTCCCACTCCAAACTTCACACTCCAAACTTCACACTTCTCACTCCACACTTCACTCACACTTCACACTTCTCACTTCTCACTGCTTCCTTCACACTCCAAACTTCACACTTCTCACTTTGCACTTCACACTCCACACTTCTCACTTCTCACTGCTTTCTTCACACTCCAAACTTCACACTTCACACTTCACACTCCACACTTCACACTGCACTCTTTGCACTCCAAACTTCACACTTCACATTTCATACTTCTCACTTCTCACTGCTTCCTTCACACTCCAAACCTCACACTTCACACTTCACACTTCACACTGCACACTTCACACTTCACAGTCCACACTTCACACTTCACACTTCACAGTCCACACTTCACACTTCACACTTCACAGTCCACACTTCACACTTCGTACTTCACAGTCCATACTTCACACTTCACACTTCACAGTCCACACTTCTCACTTCGCATCACACTTCACACTCCACATTTCACACTTCTCACTTCTCACTGCTTCCTTCACACTCCAAACTTCACACTTCACACTTCTCACTTCGCACTTCACACTCCACACTTCTCACTTCTCACTGCTTCCTTCACACTCCTAACTTCACACTTCTCACTTCGCACTTCACACTCCACACTTCACACTCCACACTTCACACTTCTCACTTCTCACTGCTTCCTTCCCACTCCAAACTTCACACTCCAAAACTCACACTTCACACTTCTCACTTCGCACTTCGCACTCCACACTTCACTCACACTTCACACTTCACAGTCCACACTTCACACTTCTCACTGCTTCCTTCACACTCCAAACCTCACACTTCACACTTCACGCTGCGCTCTTCGCACTCCACACTTCCCAGTCCACACTTCACACTTCTCACTTCACACTTCTCACTTCTCACTGCTTCCTT